GTCGAAGCGCGGCCACGCAAAAGTCAAGTCATGAGCGCGTCGAAAGTAAAGCGTGTCATAAGGTCAATTGTTTTGACAAAACAAACCAGGTGCACTTATCTTTCGCTCGGCGAGCTATTTGGAGAGATAGCAATAAGCAAAAGCGCGGCTCGAAAAAATACCAACTGGCGCTGCAATGAGTCTGTACGAGGAAAGTGCCCAATTTTTTCTCTCTCTCTCTCTCTCTCTCTCCCATTATCGCAGCTGGGATTGCGAAAGAGGTGTGAAAAGCGCACGTGGATTTTTCGTTGCGCAGTCACGTAACAAACAATTGAGCTACGTCAGAGCACGCTCTCGCGATAGACGCCCGATAAAGTTGTGTACCTACGACGAGTCTATAACACGTCGAGTGATTGAAATCCGGCACGCGCGAGCCTGCGCTTTAATAACACCTTTCCAAGCAATAATCATACCATTTCACACCAAATCTATTGCTGCGCTAAATCTCTACCTTTACATTTTCACGACTAACTGAGCTCTTTGATTTATCGATACACATATTGCGGCATTAATGTGCTCTTCAAGGTTTTTCCTATTTTAATCAGTTACCGTCGAATGTTTCGCAATCGCACATCATTACAAAGCAATAACGTCTCGAACCCAATTTCAATAACTCCAAGAGGTAGTAGTAGGAGCAAGCGCGTCACACGCCAAATTAACTTGGAAAACGCGTGGATAGCCTAATTAATGTTTACGTCACAGCCGTTGTGCATAAATCATAGAACGGTGTCGAGCACTTTTTCTTTATTTAGAAAAGCCTTTTCCATGCATGCCCAGTCTTTTCAATATTCTAGGTACCTTACAAGTTACGATAACGGCCAAATCGATATCCGGTTTGCGATATATTCATTGCGTTTTCTTTGCTTTCCTTTTCAACCATTCTTACGCATATGAGAGTGCAGGTCGCGATGCTGACAGCAGTCAGGATTTTCATGGCTTACGAAATATTTGCTTGTCGCAATAACAAGCTGTTTGACAATCAGTTTCAAATGCCTTTACAAATACTATTTCTTCAAATTTCTTCAAATACCCGCGTCGCCTATTTTATTCCCTCTAATAACAGTATTAATTACAAATTAACGATATTACGGCAAACAATTATGCGACGAAATTATACAACTCGTCAAACTACAAATACATTTGATTGAATCTTATCGAATTCGATAACGCATCACTTATCAAAAAGCCAATATTTTTTAAATGGCTCGAAATATGAAATGTTGGCAATAATTGGACTTGAAAGACAGAAGGCATGAAAATAAATGCAAATATGTCTGCTACTTGACAGACAATGAATCATAGCCACGTAGAATGCAGGAAAACAGAGCTATTAATCGAGACAGAGAGAGAGAGAGAGAGAAAGTTGTTTGCCTTTGAGGGGGTGGATACACAAGAGAAATGAGACGGCCTCGAGCAGCTTATTTATCAATTAGAGGACCCTTAATAGGCCCTGGGCTGAAATGCGCCGCGACAGGCAAGCAGCGGCGACTGGCGGGACACAATTCTCCCAGGATTATTGCATTATTGGCACTGTTAATGACGTCAAGGCGTATTTGTCACGCGCGCCGCTTGCCTGGTAGAGGCTGTGCCTTCGAGAACGTGGAACTTGTTGCTCTAGGTCGGCCAGTCGGCTCTTGCTCCCAAAAACACGGCGAGCCGCGGCACTGCCCTGCCCGGGCATTAGAATTTATGGAGGGTCGTTTGTCTCCGCGACGGCGCTACCTGATCGAGCTCAACCATTCCTTGACGTCAATGCGCACTGCACTCACAGCCCTCGGCAGCTTTACTCGTATTCGCTCGCGATCGCGATGAGACAGAAATCACATCGATTCGCTCGCTTCAGTCGACACTTTATTGCAGCTAAATGTGCTCGACCGTCACGGCGGATCGTCTTTCGCTGAAAAGCATAAGCGAATAGCGCCGAGGGTCCAACGACTTTGTTTTCATTACGATGAATTGAGGTTTACGACTGCTTTTTTCTTCTCCTTTGACACGGGATGTCCTCGGCGCTCGCACCGCCTCTCTCTCTCGTCGCCGCGCACGCCAACTATTTTTGTTCGAATGAACGATTATTGTTTTCCTCATCTCGTTACGAAACTCCAGTTCGCGACTTGTCTGGTGCAATCGAAACGTTTCCTGCCTTTACTTCGATTTAAGCATTGCCTCTAGCTAGTCGAAAATGTGCTCTAATGATTTTTTAACGATTCAGCGAGTCATTGTCAAATTTCACTTTCTCTTGGAAAGAACGCTCCGATAGTGTTCGTTACTGTAATTTACAAGTGAATACTTGACATTGAGCCTTTTCAGCTGGTCACATGTACAAACGAAAATGAAGCAATCAGAAATTCCGATAATATTCGATTACACAATTAGCGCTTATCAACGCTCGTTTCAAACTTTCTTTTTTTAACCTGCAAATAAATGTCAGGTGGTCTAACAACCTGTTGGTTATTCATTATCGAAATGAGCGTCGCGTCGATCATTTCTGGAAATGTCACAAGAAGTGGACGTGTAAACGGCAGACGCAGCCGATGGTAAAACAATCAAGTGCCATAATACGCGGCATCTTTATGCGACTGCGGCGTAAAAACATTCTTCGTGCGGTGAAGAGAAGCGGAAGAGCTTATGCGATTTTCCACGGAAAACAGAAACATCGTTATCGTTAACCTGAAAAATAACAGCGCGCCTTAAAAACAACTCGCATGGAGATGGAAATTACCCAAAGCCTTTTACGAGGAAGGAGTAAAATAAATAAGTCGAGCGAGCACCTCTTTGAAAACAATGTGGCACCAGGGGTGGGCCAACCGCTTGGCGCGTCAACAACATTCCAGCATCTTACAACTTGCATACTTTTCAAAGAAAACATATACAAATGTAGGATTTTCATAGGACTTGTTTTCGTATCTCTAACGCTTTCATCGGTAACGCAGATGAAATTCCTTTCTCAAAGTGCACGAATTTCTTCTTCCTGAAGTTGGTGCACTGAATAAGCGAGTGTGTCAGCAATTGACTTTACAATATTTAGTGGATTCGTAGTAGCAATGGGTCAGCGAGCGAGGCGTCAAGTATATGGGAAAACTTGGTTAACGTGAAAAGGCGACTAATTGGCAGTCGGAAATCAAGGCGCAGCGATAATGGAGCTTTTGAAAGTCGCCTCGACACAACCTTTTTTTGCGAGCCCTTTAATTAGCCTAATTGTCGGCGAGGCCGGCGTGTGTGCAAACAGGTGCGCGCGCGCGCGCGCGCGAGGCGACGAAAACATAAGCAGAGTTAACGAACGAGGACGACACGTGAAACTCATATTGTCGGCACAGCAGCAGTGTATGGAACATGGGAGAGATAGCGCGCAACACGTAATGAGAGGATCTGCACGTACGTGCGCGACGACTATACGGACTGGTAGGGAGAGCCGAGGAGAGTGAGGAAGGGGAGACGCGCGTGTCGGTCTTTGCCCCCCTTGCCAGATGGAAGGGACCAAGGGCATTGACGGCGGTGTGCAAATGGAGGGCGCGAATTCGCGCGATGTCTCATCGATCGGGACGCGCGCACTAAGCATCTCTCTCTCTCTCTCTCTCTCTCTCTCTCTCTCTCTCTCTCTCTCTCTCTGCCTCTCTTTTTCTGGCGCAAGAACTGCAAGGTTGTTGGCAACGGCAATGATTGTGTGATGCATCACTCGGGCAATCCGATGAGTGAATCAGTGACGCTCGGCAGCCTACAGGCGATACTATCGACGTCGACGCTAACGTCGGCTTTTCCCGGCATTGCCTTTTATATTTAGACTCGATAATGCGCTTGGAAGCTTATCGGGCCTGTTCCGAGTAAACAAATAAAGCAGAGCGAATTGCCTGCTCGTCAGCAAAAAAGAAAGCACTGATCGACAAACAACTGGAACTTGGACGTGTTTCGTTTCACTCGAGACGAACCTGCATAACGCGTATAGTGATGCAAATGCATTAAATATTTGAAGCATATATCGCTACAACTGAACAATTGGGCGGTATTGTCGAGCATGTCGCATAGAAAAAGAAACATGAAAAAGATGCGTGGCTCATTGACGCGCGGTAAATTCACCGAAGAAAGCCGGGCTTTCGTCATTATACGTGCATTTTATGCATTATAACAGCCGCAGCCGAAACTCGCCTGAATATATGTAAAACAATTGACACCGCACAACGAGCCATTGCATTATATAACGTGGGATCGTTTACAACTACAAAACTTGGTCGTCATTTTTGTTCGCCCGACTAGACGCATATATAGAGATCTATGTGAAAGACGCTGTAGTCCCCCGCTCCAGGCACCATTATTCCCTGCAACTATTTCAATACAGTTTGCATTATGCATCACCTACTCAAAACTTTCCCTTATTCAACGAAATGCAAATTAGCTCGAATTTTAAACTATCCTAAGAGACTGAGGTACACGGATCTTTATCGCGAGCATTGACGTATGCCCAGTTAATTGGCACTTGTTCCCAAACGGGCTCAAAGACAGCAATCGTGTATCTAAAAATGGCAGAGCTTCGAGCTGATTTTTTCAAAAAAAAGACAGGCAATAAAAACAAACAGCAAAAACCAAAACAAAAAAGGGGTGAAGATAAACAAATGATTACGGAGGCACTTGGACGGACTTTGAACCGTGCGCGCCGGAGGCGGCGGCGGCGGTACGCAGCAGTCGGCTAGGAAGAAGAGCAACGCCGGATGGAGCAAGACGGAGAAAAGGAGAAAAAGGGGGAGAAAGAGAGAGAGAGAGAGAGAGAGAGAGAGAGAGAGTGAGTGCGCGCGCGCGCGCGAATGTTTGGCGGGCGGAGGGGAAATGCGTCGACGGTATGGGCGAGGAGTGGGGACGAGACAAATCCCCACTCTGGCGGCGCTTAGGGCTGGGGCGCCTAGCGTGCCGCGTGGTGGGGCTCCGAGGGCGAAAGCGCGGGCTCGTCGAGAATGCGAGCAACGTTCAGTAAGCGAACGGCTCTCCGAGGCCTTAGACACGGTGTGGACTTTTCTCCCGAGACCGATACATCGAACTCGCTTCACTTGTTTTCAATCAACTTGTCAACCACACATAACGTCAAGACATCGCACACCTTCAGTTCTCCAAGTTTCTTTCGCGCGCGCTGACTCGGTGTACGCGAGGTGTTCAGATCTAGAGTTTGTTATTGTACCCTTTGGACTTTGAGGAAAAGTCTGCAAGTCGTGCAGACAGCATCATTGCGCGACTCACAACACACACCGCCAATTGTCGGGCTCCAAGTTCTTCAGCGAGCTACATCGCGACATCGCGAACAGTTAACATCGACGAGTGACGAGTAGCAGCCAGCACGACGAAGTCGAGCAACAGAGTCGAAGAAGAGAAACAGCAGCAGCAGCAGCAGCAGCAGCAGCAGTGCACGGTCATCCCGACGCATCGGAAAACTGCTGGATGCTGCTGCAGCGAGGCGTGCCGAGGTGTCGCCGCGGCCGTCGAGGGGCAACAATCGCCTCGACTCCTTTCCTTCGGCTCAGTGTGGCTAGCAGTCGTCAAGCTGGATTCCAACAAGCAGTACGTGTCGCGATTGCATCGTGGCTACCGGAGGCTTAAGAAATTGTTCAAGGTAAGAGTCTGCGACGACACTCATCGTGGCCCTACCCACTCACGTGTCTATGTTTTTCTCGCTTCTGCTTTTTCCGCGCGCATACCTAGTTCGAAGCCTCTTTGACACAAGTTTCGTGCAGCGAGCGTCTGTCCATCTTTGGCACTTGCGAAACGCTTGTTATTGTGGCTATAGCTATGAGCGCGCTGGCTCGACGACGCTTCCGACATACACTCGTGAGAGTAGGCGGTATAGAGCCTCGTTGCGCCAGAGCAAACTGCACGATCGTGCGGTGCGCCAAAGACAACTTACATAATATTTGCAACTCGAAAAACATTGCCACTGTTGCTCGAGATTTGCTCGCTTGAAAGCAATAGAGAGAAGCACAAAGATGTAGTACGGCTCTGCTGTGTGCGCCGCCAAGGCTGTTAGGCGAGTGTGCAAAAGAGGAAGTGAAGCGAGAGAGGAAGAAAAGGGACGTAAGACGAGATGGAAAAGAAAATGCGGGCGAGGCTTGGTTGGTTCTGTTTGGTTACAAGAGCAGGATGGGGTATGCGCGTCCGCGCGGCATTTGTCGTTCTTTACCAACAGCGGGTCTTTCAATGATCCCCGTGGCAGCTAGTTGCGAAAAATTGCGCGGACCCGCAGACAAGTGCAGAGCAGCCGCGCGCGGGCGTGGGGGCGACTGCTCTGCGCTTGTTGTCTCGACAGTTGCTTCGCGTTGCCATTACATTGCTCAGTTCTCTGGATGGTGTGCTGTAAGTGCGCTGAAGTTGAGCCGCCATATCGATTGGTGGCAGGTAGGCGCCAATGTTCTGGCCTATAGCGCGGTAATTGGTACTGCTGTCGACGCCAATCATCGCGCTACGCCTCTCGGCTTTTTTGCATACGGCTTTGGAAGGCGCGCTGTCGCCTTGACAGCTGGCGGCGCTCTAGTTGCACTCGTCGCATATTTGTAAACAAGAACTAGTTAGACGCGAAACTAGCTCGTCGCCGAGTTCGGCAAAAACACGAGCGAGCGAGAGAGCGGCGTCAATTGGACAATCTCTCTCGTGGCGATTATTATTGAACGCGAGCCAGCAGCGTGATCGTCAACAACATGTTTTGCGCTGGTGCGGGGCAAATATTTTGATGCGCATTGAAGAGTGCGAGCCGATAAGGCGCGAGACGCAGCCGGGGCAAAAATGAAGAAACAAACGAATAGCGATAGCAGGAACCGCGAATCACGCTTCCGATCGGCTGATCGGAAAACCTCCGAGTCAGTTTTCCATGGATGGCGCACAGCGCGACCTCCTTCCAACTTTCTCACGAGGTTCTTTCCCTCTCTGTTCGGGTTGCATTCCCGAGCGACTGCGTCCCTCTTCCTCTATCGCGCTTCCTGTTCTCGATTATTGATGACGGGGCGCAGTCTTTGATTTCCTCGGGGCGTCTCGCCTGTGCGCGCGTATGCGCCTGTGCGTGTGACCGCCAATAACTCGTCCCAAGCTTATCGCTGGAAATGTCAAGTGTACGCTTATCGGGAGCGCGGCCGTGTTTTGCTTGTCGAAGATGCAGTTTTCTTAATGACGCCGATACTGGAAAAGCTGCTTTTGTCAGTCGCTCGCTAGACTTTCACAGCTCGCACGCGCGAGTGCGCGCAAACACTGCCGTACACCGCGCCTTGTTCGCGTGTGCCAAGGCATAGCAGCGCAGAAAATCGATCGGTGAAACCTCAGCTGTACTTGGAGATTTTCACGCATGTATGTAGATTGAAATGAGGATTATCACAACGTCGCTTAATTGTATAAAGCGGCGGCGACGACGACGACGACGACGACGACGACGACGACGACGACTATCTGCCGGAGTACCAACTGCACAGCTTTCACGTGGCCTGATATTTTAATTCTGTAATTCACGCTCGTCGCTCTCGGCATTTCGAAATCCCCGAGATCTCCAACCTGTCCAGCTTGATTTTTCAACTTGTCCGAATTTGCGACATGGCAGCTCTGGAGCGACAGCGAGGGACAGAGGAAGCAAAGAAAAAACGCTTATCGCGTCATGGTGTTTTCATATATCGCACTCGCTGCTGCCCGAGGTGCTTTAAAGATTTAAATGTTAACGACCTTTGCGAGGGGCGTCGCACTCGAGACAACAAATATTTCGCGTCTTTCTCGCGTGAGCGCGCTCCCGCTTCCGCCGAATTTCCTGGGCGCAGAGAAGGGGACGCAGAAAAGTTGCGCACGGAGAGCCCGCTGCGCGACGCGATGCCGCACGCGCAAGTGCGCAGCGGATTTTCGCGCGCAAACTCCGCGAAGGGCAGCAGCTCGTTCCAAGCAAATTGTAATTCGACGTCGCTGGATGCAAGTCAGCCGTTACACTACACACGCGCCACCGACGCCGCCGCCGTAATCGTAGCGAAAGCTTGGCATTCCAACGGGTATTTCTAATTTTAGACTGGCTCTCTCGAGCAAGCGTGCGCGCCGCCGCTTCCTATCCCCACTCTATCAGCCTTCGTGCGCGTCTTCTATACCCCCACTCTTTTCCCTTTTCCCTCGCGAGTCGGTGCGTCCCTTTTTCACGTGCCGCCGCGTCGTCGTTACGTCGCGGCAAATATTCACGTGTCATACGTATGTGCAGCACGCGTCCACCGTGTGATGCATTTGTTTTGGTGGCGCGGCAATGGCAAGGCTTTTCGAGAATAGGCTGGCTCTGATACGCACGTTGATGGTGGGCACCCATAGCTCAACCGAAGCTCGAACGGCCATGAGTCATGCACGTGATTCATAGTTATTTTTCATTGGGCCGTCGATCTTGATTCATCTCTGCGCCACGTCGCTTGCAGGGATTTCGTGATCCAATGTTTAATGCAATCGTTGCGTGTGCGGCCTTCGCTTTTTCTCTGTATGTCGCTCGGGAAACTTTCAAAACAAACAGCCGCTTCGGGCGTTTGCCGCAAGGGGGCGCCAGCGTTCAAGTGCACAGCATGCTCTGCTCTCTCTCTCTCTCTCTCTGCATGGATGTACGCCGCCAGCGCGCGCGCTCAAGTTTTCCGAGAACGGCCAGGAAAAGGAAAAATTCGTTGGTCAAAGCGAAGATATACCGAGAAATTGTTGTCTTCCGAGAGCTCTACTGATAAACAAGGGTCCACGGCCACGCGGTCCAAGCATACTCGACTATTTTCCTGCTTCCACCATATAGCTAATTCGAAATTGGCTAGACTTGCGAAAAATCGGCGGAGCAGCGAGCCCGACTCAGTCAGCCGAGCAGTTTATTTGCATCGAAACCAATTTAGATCAGAGCGCGCGCTTCAGCGTCTGCGTATGCAAACCATTTCATTGACGGGCAGTCGTCGGGGCTGGTCCTTGCAATGGAAGCGATTCGGCCCTCCGTAAATAGATGGAGCTAATTTTTCCGGCGCGCGGCGAATAAAAACGGCCAATACCTCCCAGCTCGAAATGTTAGCAGGCGGGAGAGGGGATTCTTGGAAGTAAGACTTCAGCCAGCGGGATCAGCTGAGCGGCGGCTTCTCTTTCAAGGCGCAGGCAGCTTTCAAAAAGTCGTGAGAAGTGGCCGCGGGGAGGGGGGAAGAGCCAGCGTTTTCTCTCATAAGGAATTTCGAAAGGACCCCGCACTCAAGTTCTAAGATCGCGAAGCGCGATCCCACGTGAAGTTGAGTAAAAAACGGGGAAAAGAAGAGAAGGATGGTTGCCGGCAGAATGGTAAAAGGAGCGGCGTGCGGGCGTAGCAGAGCGACGATAAAGAAATATCAAAGTAAAAGCTCGATCGATCGTTCGGTCTGTCTCGGCTTGGCTGAGCCGCATGGCGCGTGTGTCTTTCGATGACGAGGCCAAACTGGAGATGAATGGGATTCCGGGGAAACGGAGATGTGGAGAAGGAACGTGAGAACAATATGCACCTGTAAATAGAAGCGCGCGAGTCGCGACTGGCTTAGTAGACCGAATGTCAAAGTCGACTGGCATTCCCATGGCTTTCTTATCCTCGTGGATCATAGGTGGAGAGTGAAAGGACGGCCGCGATCTTGCGTACGAATGAATGAAAAGCCAGGAGGAAAGTGTCGGCTCTCTCTCTCTCGGCCGCGAGCCTTGGAGTGTTAGGCAGTTATAATGGTGCTGGCAATGGTAGACGGCAGTAGTAGGAGAGCGGAATGCTCTGCTGTAGTGATGTTCGATTATATTCGATTATTTAACAAATTATTCGATTTTTTTCGATTATTTTTTGGCCAATAATCGAATCGATCTGCACTTTTTGCAATTTGTGTTTTGCGCATGCGTGGATATTATTCTCTCTATTTACATACGTTCGTATAGAAAAGAAATTTGTGACGGTTGAATGTGAGACACAGACAAAATCAAGGTGCATAAAAAAATTTTATTTACATATTTACTACATTTAAGTTTAAAAATTTTATTGTAGTAGCAATTCAAAGTTTATTTAAATCATTGGACGATGTTGAATATTTGCCTGTTAAATTGTAAATGATTGAAATAAGCAATGACCTTTTAATAAATACCATCAGAACGTAATTTGCATTGTTTAATTTATCAGTGGTTCTTATTTCCTACTTATTTTTCTTATTATAATATTGTTGCCACATATTTATAAGCACTTTATTCTTTTTTCTAATTAAAACAACCATCGATTATTTTCAAATAAAATTGATTATCAAGAGTCGATTATTTTGGTAATTCGATTATTAGGAATCGAATACTTTTTCGAATAATCGAACATCACTACTCTGCTGTATGCTCGGAGACGGTGCGTCAGGCAGCGCGGGGGCCATCGACCCCTGGCGGCTGGAGAGCGAAGGAGCGCTCGCGCGACTCTTCTCATTTATTTTCCTCTTTGCCTTGGTTCACTGATCTCTCCTTCTGCTCGGTCCCCTTCTTCGCTTCCTCCTCCTGCCGCTGTTAGCGCGATCCGCGCGCGGCACACAGCCGAAATCGTTCCCAGTTCATTGAGAGCCGTCGAGCGCGACGACCCTCTCCTTTCGCTTTCCGCGCCCGGCCGCGACGGTGGACTCGGAGCAGGCGCCGTCAGGCCAAAGACTCGCGCGCGGTGCACAGGTGTGAAAGCAGCGCGGAGAAAGGGAGAGAGAGAGAGCGCGCGCGCGAGAGCACACTGCCAGCTGCCGGCCGATGCTGCTCGCGCGAACGTGATCGTTAACTTGAATTTGCTGCATCAGGTAGGTAGATTGGTAATGAGGCGCGGAGGCGCGACAAGGGGGCAACGGCAGCGCCGATTGCGTGCGACTGGCCTTGAGACGGCGAGCGAAGGCCGAGGTCGCCGACTCCCGCGCGCTGGGCACACCCTCTTAATAACACTTTACGGCTCTTGCTCTGTCCCTTCGTCGCTCGAGCCCTACAGCTTCTTCTCTGCCTGCGCGCCAATCCACCCCGCTCGACTTGCAGTCTGCGCCCGAGCATTGTTTGCTCCGACGAGTAAACAAAGTCGTTTGCTCGCGGCGAGAAGCGAGCAGCGAAGCGAGCTGGTCGCACGTGTGACGGCAGCGCCGCAAAAAATCGCGAGGAATACCGGGAAAGGCTCCTCCGGCGCACGCACACGCGCGAGCGAGCGAGCGAGTGCCGAGTCCGCACGGACCGAGCGAGAGAGAGAGAGAGAGAGGCAGGCCGAACGAGCAAGCTCTCGCTCTCTCTCTCTCTCTCTCTCTCTCTCTCTCTCTGGCGCTCGTGCGCGCGCGTGTCTTGTTTACGCGCTATTGGCCTAGCAACAGCTGTTTGGCATTGAGACTCTCGGCGGTTACGCGTGCGGCCCTCGCTATCTCTCTCGCTCGTGAAAAAATATCAAGCAGTATATTTCTGGCTAGCGAACGCCGCCGACACTTGATAAATTATTCCGATAGATAGACTGGCGCTCCGACCAAATAATCCAAATAAGTAGCGCGCCTGCTCTGGCTGGCGACGTGGCCATTTCCGTCCTAAAACTGTCATGAGCCATTGCGAACGCGTGGCACGTGATAGCGAGCTTTTACGTAACGCGCATTGGCACTGGACGCAGCACGAGGCGCCTGGCGAGATACCGTTCTCCGGTTCCTTCCGCGGCTTCGTCGGAACTCGTTGCCGCGAGAGCTCCTCGCCCAATCGAAACGCAATAAGACCGCTGGAAATCCCCGAAACTCGGCTGTCGCGTGCGTACGAGCTGCTTATCGTCGTCGTCGCACGCTCGCGTTCCGCCTCCCTCGCCCTCGTCGACGTGCCATCTACTCGTGTATCGTTCGCGCGTAAACTCTCCCACTGCTCGGCGCTGCTATGGCCAAACGGCTCTCCTACTCTAGGCCGGGGCGCGCGTAGAGCGTGGCGAGTGCTCTTTTGATCGTCTCGGCGCGGAGCGCGCGACCAGTGTCGCTGGCGCGCTCGAGGCTGCTGCCTCTTCCGTGGACGAGACTCGCCGCTAGCGTAGAGACCGACTGCCTCTTCCGTAGGTGCGCGCTCGTCGTCGCGACAGGCCCACCGACTCGCGACTGGGACTTGGGCAGAGGGCAGGAGCAACCCGTCTGACCGTTGCGCGTCGCTTTGTGTTTCAGCGTGTGGCGAACCAGACGCTTACCGCTTCGCCACAGCCGGCAGTAACGGTGGAGGGGCCGGTGTTCAAAATGTCTCCACCGACGAACGAGGTGACGAACGGCCTGGGCCTCGCGGCTCCCGAGGCCCCGGCGAGGCTGCCCGCGCAGCCGGCCGGCGCCAACACCACCGCGCATCGGCCGAGCCTCGCCGCCAACCTCGACACCAGCACTGCCGCCAGCAGCCCCAACAGCGCCACGCTCGCCACGCTCGCCAACACCCGCAAGCGCAGTCCCGAGGATTTCATCTTCGGCAAGGTCATCGGCGAGGGCAGCTTCTCCACGGTAAGTGTGCGCTGTGCACGCGTCGCTCGCCGCTCCCCGCTCCCCGCTCCCCGGGCCGGACTCACCCTCCTGGCCTCTTTACTCGCAGGTCTATCTCGCCAAGGACATTCACACGAGCAAGGAGTACGCGATCAAGGTATGCGAGAAGCGGCATATCATCAAGGAGAAAAAGACCGAGAACGTGAAACGCGAGAAGGAGGTGCTCAACATGCTCGCCGCCGCCAAGCACTCCTTCGTGCGCCTCTTCTGCACCTTCCAAGACGTCGAGCGGCTGTACTTCGTGCTCTCGTACGCCAAGAACGGCGAGCTGTTGCCGCACATCAACAAGGTGGGCAGCTTCGACGTCGAGTGCACCAGGTTCTACGCGGCCGAGATGCTGCGTGGCCTCGAGTACCTGCACGGCCTTGGCATCATCCACCGCGACCTCAAGCCCGAGAACATCCTGCTCGACGACAATATGCACGTGCTCATCACCGACTTTGGCAGCGCCAAGATTCTGCGGGCCGAGCCCGAGGCGTCGCTGCTGCCGCCACAGCAGCAGCAGCAGCAGCAGCAGCAGCAGCAGCAGCAGCAGCAGCAGCAGCAGCGACCGCCGCCGCCGTCGTCGAACGCCGAGCAGCAGGCCGCACCCCGCAGTCGCGAGCCGGAGCCTTGCCGGCGTGAGCGGCGCAACTCGTTCGTCGGCACCGCTCAGTACGTGTCGCCGGAGCTACTCACCAACAAGACCACCAGTCGCGCCTCCGACCTGTGGGCTCTCGGCTGCATCGTTTACCAGATGGTCGCCGGCCTGCCGCCTTTCCGCTCGCGCAGCGAGTACCTCATCTTCCAGAAGATCCTTGGCCTCGACTACGAGATCCCCGACGGCTTCGACGAGCTGGCGCGCGACCTCGTCAGCAAGCTGCTGGTGCTCGAACCGGGCCAGCGACTGGGCGCGAGCGACGAGCACGGCGCTGGGTATCCGAGCATCCGGGCCCACTCCTTCTTCGCCGGCGTCGACTTCGAGACGCTCCACGAGCAGACGCCGCCGCCGATCTATCCCTACCTACCCGGCACCTCCGAGCACGAGGAGCTGCGCTCGCACTACCGCGTGCCGGACAACCTCAAGCCCGGTCTCGATGACAAGCAGCTTACCAGACTCCTCGGCTTGGGCATCGCCGAGCCCAGCGACGACGACGAGGACGACGAGACCGCCAGCCTCGAGCAGCAGAAGCAGCAGCAACAGCAGCAACAGCAGAAGCAACAGCAGCTCGAGCAGGAGCAGCAGCAGCAGCGGCTCAGGGCCGAGAAGCGCGAGAAACAGCGCCGGCTGCGCCTCGAGAGGCCAAAGAAGAAGCCCGGCATTGCTGATCTCAGCCAGGAAGAGATAAGCCGCCGGCTCGAGGAGCAGAAGGCCAGTAACCCGTGGCATGGCTTCGTCGACGGCAATCTCATCGTCAAGCAGGGCTTTGTCAACAAGCGCAAGGGCCTCTTTGCCCGCAGAAGGATGCTCTTGCTCACCACCGGTCCCCATCTTTACTACGTCGATCCCGTCAACATGGTGCTCAAGGGCCAAATTCTCTGGAGCAAGGAACTCAGGGTCGAGCCAAAGAACTTCAAAATCTTCTTCGTGCATACTGTCAGTATAATCTCTTTGCTTAGCGATTGTCAGCCTTTCCATTCGACTATTATCACTCTATCCTCCGTTTCTCCTTACAGCCCAATCGCACGTACTACCTTGAGGATCCGGAGGGCTTCGCGCTCGATTGGTGCCAAGCCATCGAGGACATGCGAGTTCATTGTTACGGCACTGTCACGGATGCCACTTCCGGCTAAGGCTGCCCTCGCGTACTACCAGGAGAGATAAGACCGAAGAAAATCACGTCAGAACAAACTGCCCCATATTCAAAATCTCTGATCGTCGATTTCACTGAGGAGCCTTTGAAAGAAATAACTGTTCAGCAAGTAAAGTGATTTGTCACTTACCACAGACTTAAATCGTGATTTTCACTTTTTCGTTTAGATGACAATTTTTAGTGAGTTTCCTGAGACAGAAATTAATTTGGATAGTTGTAGGCTCAATAAGGGACCGAAACCGGCGAATCAGTTCAAAGATATGTTGAAAAATCATTTTAGGCTTTTTTTTTGTTCTTTGGGACTTTGATTTGGTTCGTCGAGAAGTGATAAAAATCCATATTGTTTCCGATGTATGTGCTGTAAATAGTTGTAATTATCGTAGGTTGACATTGCCGCTTCAAGCTTTTGGTCCCTCGATATATCGCAGTTCGAAACGAAGCGCGCGCTAATGATATTCGTCCAAAGCTATTCCTTCCACATGAACGAATACGTTTGTGATTCGAAGAAAACTCTTTATAGATAATTATATTTGATGCGGAAAAAAATTCAAATTAATGAAGGAGTAGCTCAGCGCCACTTTGACGTTCGACGCGACAATCTAGTAAATTTACTTATTTATTTGCATAATTACTGCATTGTTATACTAGCTAAAACTTGAATGTATTTACATGATTCTATAGTCGTTAGCGATGAATTATCTATAAATACTAGGTACATTGTCGCCGAAAGCGGAAGTGGGTATATGGTTGTATAGAAGATTGCATTCGTTAAAGTTTTTATCGCGATAGAGCTCTCAATTCCGTTTACCGATGTAATATACCGTTAAAGCGTAAATGTCCTGTAAATATTTGTGTAAATTGACGCGATTCTCATAAGTAACTATGTAAAATTGTTAGCATGAAGTAAATCATTTTAGCTATAGTAAAATTATAACGTATTGAGCTAATAATTTATTAATTTTTTGTGAATATTTTTTAGAGTCAAGTGTATAAAGTCGAAGCAAGAAAAATGCAATTTATTAAGTTATAATTTTTTTGTTAGTAATTATTTATAGTCGTATATTTCTTGGATTGAGAGCTTCATCGCGAAAATATTGGCGTATCGATAAAAATGAAATCGAAGAGAAAGTCGAAGCTGCCATGTGATTTACTTTTAGGTAGCCAGCGATATTTTCTTCGCTTTTCGCCAATTCAAATTCTGTAAAAATACGAATCCTAGCCCACAAAAAAACCTTCGACTCACAAAGTCTGCATACAAAAAAATAGAAAAATGGGCAAATAATATGTGAAATCGGCAAAAGCTGCTTCGTGCCCTTGGAGAGACTTGAAACAGGGTATTTATTCATTAAACAACTTACTGGCGTACTTAAGCAAGTTGAAAGTCTTTAAATTATCGTGCCGTGCTTAATAAGAAATTAAGGATACCTTTTTTTACGTAACAGCTACGTACGTCTCAAGTTGTCTCCGCAAAAATGTTTGTTTGCAGCATTTTGTCCTCAGACCCAGCAATTTATTCAAAATGACCGCTTTTGACGAGTTGCGTACGGTTTGGGCGGAAGATGACATTCATCGACTTAAATCACATTCTATTTAGTTCAATGAAATAAGTTTAAATTGACTTTATTAGTAAATGAAATCTAAATATAAAAGCACGATGTTATAGTTTAAGGGTGGTCGACGTTACTCGTTAGTTAAAACGCCTCATTTCATTCAACTGATCGTTGGAGAATAGCTAGATTTATTAAGTTACATATGTATACTATAGAGAAAGAAAGGTTTTTAATGTGGCACGAGGCGAACTTTCACGATTTCATAACGGCAACTGAGAGGTAGTGACGAGTCAATCAAAATTGAAGAATGTTCTTAACGTGAAGTACTTTCTACAGTCAGTTTTTCAATCAATTAGTTCAATAGATTCTCGTAGGAAAACATCGTTAGTTTTTGAGTTCCTAAGTGAGAAAATATTTATTAAAAGTTTTAACGTTTTTTTCTTTGAGAATCTCATGTTAAGTAGAAATCTTCACAGAACATCCGAAGTCTGTAAACTGGCAAGCGTATTTTTACGTGTAAATAAAGACTGACAAGAATTGCAACATTTTTTTCATGTTTCTAAATAGAAAATGCTAGAATGTTGTTTGACGATTTTTGTATGCTGTTCACTTTTTTTTATATGAGTCAGTGTTATTATTATTACTAAAGTTATGTTTATTTTCTGAATTGAGAGGCGACAGTGTCTTCATTATCATATAAGTTTAAAAGTACATTTATTCTTTACATTTAAAATTGTTTAGTAATTTTCGTTTTCAAATTTTATATTATAATTTTTCTTTGCGCATTTTCGTCGGGAGTGGAATACTTAAAAAAAACTTAAATCATTTTGAATGCGAAAAATCGCCTAAACTAGCAATTGCAGTATTATTAAATATATATAGACTTGCAGCGACAAATGTGCGAAGGTACGAAATTAATGTTAAGTGTAACATTTAATAAAGACTTGTACATAGCTACTTATATAATTGAAATTAGATTTAAGTCCTATGAATATATAACACGTCACATTATTTATAGTAAAATTTCTGAAATATCAACCTTTATGACTTATTTTTTGAAATTCAGCCTTTTCCCTATTCAGTTGTTCACAAATGTCACCAAATTATAGGTAATAATCAAGTAATAGTTGGCATATTTTTTTGAAAAAAATAAACCATATTTATATTATAATGTTAAACAATCTGTTCAATAAAGTTTAATTTAGAATTAAAAATTGAGTTTTGATCATTCTTTGGATCATAATCAACAATTTAATTGTTTTGGCATTGGTTGTGTATTTATATTAGTTATTTATTATTAGTTTCAATGATTTACATAACAATAGTAAGCTGTTGATTGCAATAACTTAGATAATAAAACAAGTGGTAAACTAGAAACAACACACATAATGGAAAATAAAGAATCAAATAATGACACTAGATATGAATTATGAATTATATATTATTGAATTGAATACAGTTATCAAATGCAAATATTTACATTTTTTATACAGAATAAGTTAAATCTAGTATAGTTAATTTTATTTTACAGGGAAATGTTCTATTATGTGTTTCTTAAGATCTACCATATTTTTTGGAGTATAAGAACATTTATGACATTTTAATTTACAGCTTAAATACTTTTCATATTTTTTTATGTCGATAAATACATGACCTTTGTCTTCCAACTCCTTGCAAATATCTTGAATAAATATAATCATAATTGGATTTATTTTAATAAAAACCAAAAATAACTTAAAATGAGATTTAATTACTGTATATACCTTTGGATGGGAGAAAGTATGGTGTATTAAATATATTCCAATGTCTGACAGTTTTTAAAGAATTGCTTATAAAGTCTGTACTAATAACGTGTAAGTGAAGTCTGTACATATTAGGCACTGCATGGTAGCCCATTCTAAAATAATGAAATCACATTTATAAGAAAACAATCTATAGTTAAAAAATTAGAATTCATTAAATATTGTTGACCATACTGAAAATCATAATCCTTGTGACTATCAATATATTTATTTCCAGTATGCTCCATGTGATGAAGAAGTTCTAAGTCATCCTTTGTAACTTTACTAATCGATGGTATATCCTTCTTTGGTATAATTAAATAATGATAAGTAGATTTAGGATATTTATCTTTAATGATGTACACAAATTCATCTTCCTCCAAAATAGATTTTGGATTTTTTATCTCCCGAATTAAATTGAATGACCAATGATTTTCATTCATTTTAAAGTTTGTGATCGAACAGTTTTTCATGTCTGTTTAAAAATTTGTTAGTATTTCATTGATGTCACAGTAACAATTTTTCTAGACCGTAATCTATACGCAAAAATTAAGAATTACTAAATAGTCCAAACGTAATTGTTTGATTAATATAATTACTCACAATCAAATAATTATACAATTGTCTTAGTGCCTTTTACAGTTATTCTATGTAATTTTATTTTGTAGTAAACAGCGTTCTTTTTATAAAACATGCATGAACTTATACTTGTTAAGGTTAAGCGAGCGATTCAATTGGTATCACAGAAGTTTCCTATTAATCGGACGTTCCCTTGCATATTAACGGTTCACTGTAAAAATTACTTTTGTAAAATCACTAGTCTGAAGGTTGGACACGAAACGGATTTATTCTGAGAGCAGTGAAATCGCTAGCAGATAGTAAATTTACTAGTCTAGCGTAGTAGTACTTTTACAACGAAAGTCAAAATTTCGGATATCGTAAAATTACTAGTCTTAGAGACGTCATTTTATGAGACGAATTGTCAATTTACTAGAATTTGTAATTGCACCAGTATGAGACTGGTAAAAGTACTAGACTTTAAGTTAGACATCAGTTGTAATTTTATTATTGGATGGTTATCATACAAAAGTATTTTTTATAATGTTAACAGGGAGTTCCGCACAGCAAAATAAAAGCATTTTATTAGTTCAACCCTCTCGAATTTGGAAAATATAGATATAGATTAAAACGAAAAAATTAGTAAAGTTTATTTTATCGTAAAGATTCAAAGTCTTTTTCAGAAATCGATAAGTATTTGTATTTGCTTATAAAACATTATAATCTCGAAAGTAATGAAATGAACAATTTGAATCGTCAAAAGTTTTATAAAAATTTTTGCAAATTAAATTTTTTCTATCATGTATTTTATATGCATGTATTAGATTTAATTTTCTAATTTTAATTTTAATTTTAATTTCAATTTTAATTTTAATTTTAATTTTAATTTTAATTTTAATTTTAATTTTAATTTTAATTTTAATTTTAATTTTAATTTTAGGTTTCAGTGTTAATATTGACTAGAAAAAATTATAGAAGCGATTTAGTGGAAAGGCTTCTCACCGATCGTTTAACCATATTTTTTTAATAACTTTTGTAAAAGCATAGTTACCTATTTGTTAATGTATCAATTGCTTCAGAATTAAATAAACTTTACCATAGGGTACATAGGGTACATAGGGTACATAGGGTACATATACCATAGGGTACGCTAAACCTATATAGATAGGTTTAGCGATTTCCAAAGAAGCGTTTTACGTTATTTTACTAATTAAAATCAAACAATTGCCTTATGGAGAAGTACATGAAGGACGATATTTTGTCATTTTCTAATTGACATTTACATAGAACGTTTCTTTAGAAAACTGTAAAAGTTTGATAAGATAAAGTTCATTCAGTTCTAAAGCGATTAATACATTAAAAATAATAGGTAATAGTACTTTTACAATAGTACATTTCTAAACTAGTAAACTAATAAGAAAATAATTTCAACTTAGTACGGATGTATGCACCTGAACGAAGATGGAAAATATAATTATATAATGAGAAACATTATTGAAATTCGAACAATTGGAACAATCTATTTTATTTAAATTTAACACCAATTTGCGCAGTAGGTTTGTGTATGCATAATAGCATACACATATACAAGCTTAAAATAATTTTAGAAATGTATTCACTTTGTGCCTTCTAATCTGTAAATGTTTTAGGATCACAATACATTAAAACATTGTATAGATGTACATCTACAAACTTTAAACTTAATAAAATTTAGTTCTTTTTTCATGAATTGCGACAATATATTATAATTTTTAATGCTGATATGAGAATCAATAATCTAATAACCCCGTAAAATAAAAAACATTGAAATTCGAATAATTGGAACAATTTATTTTATTTAAATGTAACGTCAATCTGCGCATTAGATTTGTGTATGCACAATACATACACATATGGAAGCTTAAATAATTAAAGAAATGTATTCATTTATGTATTTATTGTTTTTTTGTACCTTCCGATTTATAGATGTTTTAGAATTACAATATCAAAACATTGTATAGATGTACATCTATAAGCTTTAAATTTAATAAAATTGTGTCATTTTTTCATGAATTGCGATAATATAACATTATAATTTATTATTCTGATATAAGTATCAAATTTTGCAAATATCTGCACAATGTGTTTTTATTTATTTACATCAAGTCAGTTTCGCATTTAGATAAAAATATTCTATATATCTATACTGATTCCCGAGAACTTTCTAATTAAAAGTTTTAACTTATAATTTAGAATATTAGCTGTATATATTTTTATGTGATCTTTTTGACTAAGGCATGTTTTAGAAAATTCCTTAAGAAATGTTATGATAAAAACAAATTCATGATATAATTCTTGATAAAATAATTAAAATAAAATGACAAATTATTTCATAGTCAAAACATTATGAAAATGAATTTTAAGTGTGATTTCCACTCTGTCTCATGTATTTTCCCTAAACTTGTAGGGTTTTAGTGGTGTTGATATTTTTAAGCGTCGCATTCATAGTAGGTTACCCTAAAATAAAGAGATTTTAAAAATTATTCAGAAATATTAATATCTAATACCAATTAAATAGACAGACATTTTTTGTATAGAAATTACATTTTCAAAATAATAGTACATTACGATACAAGTGCGGGAAAGTAGATTTTAGTCTCGTGTAGCGTTTACGCCCGAGCAAAGCGAGGGTGGAATGGTACACAAGACGAGAAATTCTTTCCCGAACATGTGCCGTACCGTATTTTTTGATACGAGGTGTGGAAAGTGTGATTTTCAACGCACGTTTTTTGCCGAGCGTGCGGGAAAAACGTACTTTCCGCACGGAGTGTCGAAAATTATATAACTGAATCTCTGATTAAAGTGCTTTAAATTATAAAAATAATACGCCATAAAAAAGAAATATTTTATCAATGCTTGTGTTGATACATACTTGATTTTCTTTTATTTGATGATCTAATTTATTATTATAATTATTATAAAGTATCAGTTAATCTAGTACAGTTTATTACCTTTGCTTTGCAGCATTACGTCGAGATTGTCTTTTATCAGAGTGCATAGTTAATGTGTAACGTTTTGTATGCGACGGATTGATTCTTAACTCTCGAGCATCACTTTCTTTTTGTTTTTTTAATTTTTCCATAAATTTATTAATAAGTTCGGGGCAATTCAAATGCTCTTCTGGTTCCCAAGTATCTTCTTTTGCTGAAAATCCTTTCCATCTAATAAGAAACTCACGTGATTTATCTTTTTTGAAATAAACTTCGATAATTCTTGCAACTTCATATTCTATAGAACCGGTCGAATTTTCGGCATCTTGGTCATTATCATTATTTTTATCCTCTTTTGATTCAGCTACAAAATAAAATAGTTATCTTTTTAACCAAATAAACTCCTTCATGACGTTTATCCTTAATAAAACCAATTAAAATATCAATAGAATTCTTGATTATTAACTAAAATAATATATCATTACATTTCTTATTTTTCTTTTGGTTCTTGAAGTTTTTGTTTTGCTTTTTAATTTTTGTTGTTTTCTCATTCTTGTCTTTCTTTTCTTCATTAATAGGTTCATTCTCCTCTTGTTCAGTTAAAAATTCTTCTATTAACCTGTCACAGTTTAAGTCTTTCTCATTTTCCCATGTATCAGATTCTTCAGAATACCCTTTCCATCTTACTAAAAATTGACGACGACCTTTGATAGTGCGTTGATCAACTATTTTCTCAACCTAAAAAAATTTTAAATAATAAAGACAATAATTTGTAAGCCACTATCTATTTTTAAATAAAATTACATGTCTATTTTATATATATAATTAATATAAAAAATGTCTTACTTCATATTCTTCTTCTTCTGCTTCTTCATCGTGTTTTTCTTCTTTTTTATGAGAAGTTTTACCTTTTTTCTTTCCTTTACTTGAAGATTTTCCATTTTGTTCCATCTCTTGTAAGATCTCCTCACCATTTTCACTATTTTTGTTTTGTTTAGCTTTCTTTTTTTTACTTATAGATTTCTCAGTTTCTTCATCTGTTTCCCCTTTACCATTTTCTGGGATTTCACTTGATGTTTTTTTACTACGTTTACTTGCAAAAGGTTCATTATCTGGTGCCTCCTCTTCATGGTCACTTTGATTTTCATAGTTTATTTTTGCTTGACTACGAATGCTACGCTTTTTCCCTGAGAAGCTTGAAGTATCAACTTCATTCGTAGTTTCATTTCCGTTATTTTCAATGTGGGCAGAGTTATTAACTTCTCCTTCACTGTCACTGTTGCCACCTGGCCTTTTACATTTAGTTTTGTAAGCTCGAGGCATATTAAATTTCTAGAATAATATATACATTAATAAAATAAATAAATAAATAAAATATATTAATACTTATACAATTTTTCATTATCTAAACAAATTCAGGACTAAAACAATAAAAAAACAAATAATATAGTAACAAAAGCATTACAAAATCTACAGACTAGACTACTCAAATTAATTAAAAAAAAATTTAATTTAATGGAGATAAAAATCCATTGAATATTGACCCATTGTTTACGCGTGAATTTATAATATACCCATTATGAAGAACTATCTCAAAAATACATTAGTAAAACTAAAAGAACAAGATATAATTGTCTACAATTATTAATAAGAGAATTACAAATTAACATTAAAATTAGTTACATAGCAGCAACAATGTACTTTAACAAATTACCAAATGAGCTTAAAACAATAATAAAATAAAAAACGGAAATACAACGATCAAAAAATAGATAAGAGAAAATACTTATTAATTGAAGTTGTTGTTAAGCAAAATGAAGTATAATAGGAATACAGATCCTACATAGGAAATCCATGAAGAGGCTATGTTTCCAGATAGTTTAACACTAGATGTAAAAACCTACTTATGTGTACATGGAATGTGGAACTTTACTATAAAAGATCACATAGAAGAGTAAAAGTATACAATTTTACAAAAATGAAAAAAAGATTAACTGAAGAATTCAATATGATATTTAAAATAGCAAATGAATTTACTAAATTAAATAATCAAACAGAAAGAATAAAATAAAATATAGACAGAGATAACTTTAAAAGACCCGTTAATTAGTGTTTTAAAGATAAATTTCATTAAAGCATCAACACAAGAACTTAATAAACCTAGTACCAGAAACAATGTAAAATACAAACCAATTGAAACAATAATCGAAAAGCTTGTTGAAATAAACAGCAATAAAGCAAAAGCTACAAAAGCAAGAATTGTCTCAGGGAAACCAATACAGCAACCTAACTATTACAGGATAACATATGATGACATCACCTACCTAGGTAATAATAAAGCAATAATCTACTTTGAAAGAGGTAGAAAAGGAATATAAAGGTTTATGAACTCAATGTATTCATTAAAATTACAATCAAGTAACAAATATCTAGTATAATTAATGACATAGTTTTTACAGCATCTTGTAATTGTGATACAACTATATAATATAGATCAATGTTTCCTCATTATACAGTTACTTGTGCTATTCAACTTACATGCCTGATATAGGATATTTTACAACGAGAGAGATGCTAATCAGATACTGGTGAAGAAGAATATAAAACAACATTAAAGGACAACACATATCTGCTTGCTTGGTCTAGTATATACTATACTACTGGAGTATAAGTAGGTAGAACAATATTTTAGATTTAAGTATAGTTTCAGTATAACCAGACCAGTAAAGAGGAATTTAGTTCTGCTGGATTGTTTTATAAATCTAATGTATATTTACATATATTTATTACAACACTGTAATTTGTATATGCTCTGGTAAATAAATGAATAAATAAACAAATAAATAAATAAAATGTAATTTCTAAATAGATATGGTAAATAACTAAATATTTAATTTTTCTTAAATACCATTTAGTAACTACTTTTTTTTGCAACCGTAATTAATAATTTTATAATTACAATAACAAAACTAAACTCATATATTCTTATTTATTTTTTATTTTAAGAACCTTTAAGAAATTTTAAGAATATTTTAAAATATAAAATATTCACAAAATCAATATTATTTAAGTACTGGACAAAAATTTCTTTGAAAAGCAAAGCAAACGTGTTAATATATTATTTACAGATAACTTAAGGACCTCAAGGTCAGAACACAGCATTTAAGATTGATGAAATGAAAATATATAGTTTACACAAAGTTATAAGTAAAATCCTGCATTACAAAGTTGATAATAATTCTTAATGTTATTCTAAAGATATTTTATTCTCTGGCAATATTACTCGATATATAATTTATTTCCCCATTCTTTTATCTACATCTTATTAGACCGCATATTTACTACATTACCGTGTATAACCGCACTCAAGTCAAAACTGTTTTCAATAAACCAATTTTAAGTTATCAACTATAAGCGCACTGCCATTTTGGATTTTTCGTTTTTTTCTTTGCTAATTATAAATTATGCATTAAGTTTACAAAATATTTATTACGTCTAATATTCATTCTAGCATACAATTAATTTATCCATGAAAATCATGCATCAAGATTTTTTATCAAACACATATATGTTTGTAAAAATGTTAATCGTGCACCATAATAAAAGAAATCAAGAAAAATATTTACCTTTGAAAATAACGTTTATAATTCACTCAAGGACAATGGAGATTGCTACTCGGCTAAAGATGACTAAAAATGTCTATTATGTTGCCGTTATTTTCTACACGTATACTGCCGGAATGTGCTTGAAAATAGTTTGAGTTTTCTATGTAATTAGATAATCTCTGTGACCACGCAGCTTTTGTTTCGGTTATTTAGTAGGAGATTCACCGGCAAGACAAATTCGAAGAAAATTTTATTAAGCCGCAAGGTCTCAAGATGAATTGTATAGTAACGCTGTGCCGGCCGGGTGGTGGCTTCTTGAATTATCATCATATTCGGCACTCATGGCCGCGATTTTCAAATTCAATTTATGTTTTTTTATTGGAATTTTTAAGCCAAATAAGATATTCACCTTAATATTTATTAATATGATGTTTCAAAAAATATGTTTTTCTAAAATTAGTATTTTAATAAGATTTTTTTCTAAATCAAGGGACATCATGATTTATAGAAAATCAAATGAATAATAGTAAAAATGGTTATCTATTTTCATAAATATAAATAAAAATGATATTACAATTCACATTACAAGTACATTAATATGATATTTCTACATAAATTACATAGATCTTAAATTTACTTAGACCTTTAAGGGATTTCTACAACATAAGACATCAGATGCATACCGAATAGATCAAGGTTTATTTGTTTAATATCTAGGTGCTCAGTGATTGCGCAGGATAACAAAAATTATAACCATAAATTTTATTTGATATATTATCGTTATTAGTACGATTATAAATAATTTAATTTTCTTTTCTCATCGCTGTACACCTGAGCACTGATACTTCCAACTTATGTAGAAAGCCCCTTCATTAGCATACGAAGTCTTAACAATATAACAAATTCAATACACATCTAACATAATAGCTTATAAGCAGTGGTAACGGAATGCAGTATCATACAGTTTATCAAATATTTATATAATAAAAATTAGTAAAAATATGCTAAGAATATTTTCATAGCCGAAATAATTTTTGAAATAAAAAGTAGTTGAATATTTATTAAATGTTAGGAATTAAAACAGATTATGACACCTTTCTAATACCTTTTATGTTCTTCTTTTTGTCACGCGACGTGGCGATGAATCATCTGGACTAACTTGTCTTTTTCTCGAATTTTTCAGGGAAACCTTACTTTGCCTACCAGCGTATTCAGTTCTATCACCATCATCATCATCATCATCTTCATCATCATCAGATTCTAGTTCAAATTTTCCATCGGTTATATTTTGTGAGCCATTTTTGCTAAAGTCTGAGACATCTCGTAATTTGACTAAACTATAGCCCCTAAAATGAAAAATAAAGTTTTAAAAGATATCCATATAAAAGTAACACAACAATTAACAATTTTTCGTATTGAAAAATATACATACTCAATATTTCTATAGAGTTCCTGACACCATTGCTTGCCATTAAGATTTGATAATTGTGAAATAAATCTTTCATCGTGACTAATAACAATCAGCTGAAAACTCTTGTTGTGTTGAGCTCGGAGTTGTATTACTCTGAAAGATTTTTTATTACATGCTAAACCTTGCTTTTTCATTTATAAATACTTGAAATTTATTTTTACTCACTTTGACAACATACATGCTAAATTTTGAGCATTTTCTTCATCGAGATTTGTGGTTGGTTCATCCAACGCTAGTACAGAACAATCACTGCAAAAAGTATCAGCTAAAGCCATGCGAATAATTATAGATGCTAAAACCTGTGTAAAAAGATGACTTTTAATATAAAAATAATCATGAGTTATAAAAGAAGGTACATTCTATTACTTTTTGCCCCGCACTGCATTTTCCCTTCATGTCCATTTCAGTAGAACGTTTAACTTGAACCAATTTATAATTATAAGACCTTTTTTTATCGCCAATGCCCTCTGTCGTTTGTACACGAATTTGAATAGAAGATGTATCATTTCCACTGTATACTAAAGTCCACAACTGATGCAATAAGTGATTAACAGTATTCATTCGTTCTTCATGAAATTGAATCATAGCTTTATCCAAAACGGTAACATACGTCTTCAAATTTGCAATAGCTTGCTCTTGAACCTTTCAAAAGAAAACATTTGATGAACAACGTTCTATTGACAGTTTGAAAATTTGATTACTTTTATAATAATTACCATTAATTCACACTGTTTTTCTTTAAAGTTATGTCGAGCCATCCTGTATTTTTCTTGATTCAAGTCTTTTCTCAGTTTTGAAATTGAATTTCGCATTTCTCCAAGGGCTCCTTTGATAGAATTTTTCTGAAAATAAAACAAAAATTTGTACGAAACAAAATTTACTCGGCATTTATGTTTATAAATCTATACTTCTTCTTCATATTGTTCTCTCTCTTTTTGCAGTTTTATGTACTCTTCTTTGAGCTCACTATAGTTTAAATTCTGTAATATTGTTTTATCTTTAGACATTTTCTCTTCTAGTTTTTCTACTTCTTCCTCCAACTTCATAAGCTCTAAATTATCTTCCATCTCTTGTTTTTGTCTTTCCTGCGACTTACATTGTTCTTCAAGTGAACGAATTTTCTCTTCAAGATCTAACCTTTCCATTTTTTTGATATCACAATCTTTTTTTATTTGGTCCGATTCAGATTGGATTTTTCCCAAATTTTTATCAATTTTCATATTTATATACTTATTTACTTCGTGTTGTATTGTTTTCAACTCATGCATTTCAGTGGAACGTTTTGATTTGAATTCACTATCCTTATCACACTCTTCACGATTATTTCGCTGAAACAATAAAAAAAAAATCAATATAATTTTTTGAAAAGCTTTATTCAATCCTAAAATACCTTGAGTTCATTTAATTCCGTGACTTTTTCTGAAAGGGCATTATCGGCAATCACTAGTTTTTGACGCAGTGACTTTATTGATTCTTCAAGATTATTGTCTTTTTCAATTAAACTTCTTCGTTTATCTTGCAACTGTTTCAATTCTTGCATACTTTGACGTATTTTTAGTACTTCTTCATTTAGTTTATTTTTATGTTCTCTTGCTTTCTGTACTTTTTCTTGACATTCTTGAAGAGAAAGTTGAATACTATCAATGTTAGCTTCAATTGAAGTCACCTTTTTTTTAATATTGTCGCGTTCATTCTGAGCTTCTTGCATGGAGCGATCACCAATTTTACCTGGGCAACCAAAATAGGTTGATTTTTTGAATTAACTTGATTAAAATAAACTGCAAAACGTACCTGCTTTTGACATTTCAGATTTTTTTGATTCAATGAGTCTGTTGATACTTTGTTTTTCATTGACATAATTATCCAATAAGATTATTTCCTCAAAAATGTTTTTATAAGTACTCAACTTTTCGTCTGGCTCAATTAATAACATTTTCAAATCTTCCAGTTTTTCTTGCGACGTCTCTAGGTCTAATTTCTTCTGTTCTTCTATTTTTCTAAAAACGTAATAGAAATAGTACATTACGATACAAGTGCGGGAAAGTAAATTCTTGTCTTGTGTGGCGTTTACACCTGAGCGAAGCGAGGGTGGAAAGGTACACAAGACGAGAAACTTTTTCCCGAACATGTGCCGTACCGTATTTTTTGATAGGAAGTGTGGAAAGTGTGATTTTCAACGCACGTTTTCTACCGAGTGTGCGGGAAAGACATACTTTGCGCACGGAGTATCGAAAAATAAATTTTCATTTACAAATTGAACAACTTAATTATACCTAATATAAAAATTATTGTTCCAAATGTAATTTTAGTTTTTCTAAATTATCGAAAATATTAAAAATAACATATAAAACAATTACCTCAATTTAGGTAATTTAACTTCTTCAATTTCCTTTATTTGCTCAATAGTTGGCTTCAATTGCAGCAGTTCATCATATCGAACTTGTTCCATTTTCAACTCTTTCTCGCATTTTTCTAAATTCTGAGGGCTTTTTTCGATTTCTAAAATCAATTTTTTTTCTAACTGTTTCTCATCAGAAGAATTTTGAAAACCCCGCTCACATAGAGGACAACAAGACTTTGATTTTAATTGATTTATGTACTTCTTATACATAACCGATTGATTGGCATAGATTCCTCTTTCATCCTGTAGACATTTAACTTTTTTCTCCTGAAGTTTTAATACTTCATTGTAATCACTTCCTTCACATTTAAGATCTACTTTTTTTCTATAATCTAATAGACAGATGAAATATGTTATTCTGTACAATTCCTTGCCTGAACTATTGTGCAAAATTCTTATTTATACATACCTTCAAGTTCAAAGGTCAGTTTTTTCATTTCTATTTGATTATATTTAAGAGTAGTTTCGACTTCTGTCACTTTTTTTTGTTCGCATTCAATATTTTTTAGTATTTGAGTTCTTTCGATCGTCTGAAAGTCAGAAATATTAATTAAAAAAAAATACGTTTGTAATTTGGTTATAGTAATTTAACATACATACTAAATCACGATGTAATTTTTCTAAATTATTTTTCAATCCTGTTTCTGGGATACTCTTTCCAAACAATGATTCTAGATCATTTTTATTCTTGTTTTTTAAATATTGTATTTGTTCTTCTTTCTTTTTTGTGTCAGCTTGATGCAACTCCAATTCTGCTTGTTGAGAACTTTGTTGATGTAGTGATTTTATTTCACAATCAATGTTACTTACTTTCAAATTCAACTCTTTTCTGATTGATATTTCTATCTGTAACTTTCTTTTTATGGAATCCTCATTAAAATTTTGTAGAAGATCATTATAGGTTTTTGTTGCTTTCTGCAAATCACTTTCAATGAAATTCAATTTTTTCTCTGCTTCTCCTGTCTATACATAAATAATAGGCGCATTTAAACTTAATAACAGGTTTTAAGAATATAGAACTATATAACAGATCATATAGCAGAATATAAGGAATGAATGAATAAACTCTGCACCTTATTTATTTTATTTTTCAACTCAGTTATTTCCAAGCTAATATCTTGTCTTTCTTTTTCTTTTAGAGACATTTCTGACTCAATTTCAGTTTTTTCAATTCTAAGTTTATCAACTTCTCTTTGAACATATTTTTCCTCTTGTTCGTTTTCTTCAAATTTTCTTTTCATAGAGACAGTTAATTCTTTCAATTTGACATCAATCTCATCAATGAAATTTGTAGCCTCTATCATTATTAACATTCATATTTCAAAATTATATAATTTCAACTTTAATACACTAATAAGTGAATGAAAGTGAATATTTACCTTCCTCAGAGGAAATTTGACTGACATCTGATAAGTTCCATATTTTTAAACTTTTTATTAACAATTCATTTCGGCTCATCATTTTTTCATCAAATGCATACTTCTTCTGCATTAAAGCACCTATTTGAATTTTAGCTTCTTCCAATTTTAACGCTAAATTATTTTCTACTCTTAGTATTTCTTCCAAATCAAGTTCAATCTGAAAAATTAATTTAATTTGTTGTTTAGAACACTTTTATAGAAAAATTATACGTTTTTTAGAAAATGCAGTTACCTGTTTTTTACTTTGAGACTTTTGGGAGTAAGTTGTTTCATGAGTTTCTATTTTTCTAATTAATTCTGATTTTGATCCATTAAATATATGCTTAATATGTTGTTTCAGAGTATGTATCTTAGAACGTGTCATTTTATATTCGTTTTCAGTCAATTCTAGAATATTCATATAAATTAAAGCAATTAAATTTCAAATTATGTGTATCAAATATTATAATTACTTATTAGTTCCATAAGTTTATCATGGTTTTCTTTAACTTTTATAATTTCATCTGACCTTTCATCAATAGGTTTCACAGATATATTTATTTTCTGCATTCTTATGTTTGCTTTTCCTTCTCTTGTTACACAGTCATTAAGCTTGTCTTCTAAATTGTTTACTTCTTCAACCATGTTTTTCAGACCTTCTTCATAGGCTTTTATTGTATTCAATTCTGCTTGTAAATCTTTGATTAATTTGGTGGTAGAATCCATTGCTTTGTTATACTTTGAAGTGTCAAATATTTCATCAAAACGATCTTTCAACTTTTTTCCATCTTCTAGAGGCCAATTTGATTCCTCTTGATGGCAAAATATTACATAATTGAGAATAGGTTTTGATACTCCCATAGCAATCAGCATTTCTCTATCGACATCAGCACATCGACTGCTAATTTGTATAGGCTATAGAAAAACAAAAAAGAATAATAAACGAAAATGTATGAGAAAATCTGAATTAAAAGTATATAATAAAATGCAGACAAACATTTATTATTTTTTTATACCTTTTTGTTTTCATCATAACGAGTTATTGTGTTGTCTAGAGCTTGAAACTTTAATGAATTATTTTTTTGTCGACTAACTTGCATAGTTCGAGTTATTATAAGTCCCTGACCTTTTGTATCAATTATTCTTGCTTTTACCTGACCTCGAACCTGAAATTAATAAATCAAAATTATAAGTTTTGGTAAACTTAAAAATATTGATTGAATGATTAAATACTAAATATATTTATAAACTATTATGTTGCCGTGAATAAAATTAATAAATTATCGTACTGTATGGTTTAAAGTGAGCTTTGGTTCATGAACAAAAGATTTTCCTCTTTCAGAATCAGGTGGATACTCTCCAGAAGTAACATATTTAAGAGATTCAATAATTGTTGTTTTCCCAGTGCCGTTCGGACCAAGAATTAGGGTTAATGGCTTTGAAAAACGGATTCTAGCTTTTGCTTTTTCATCTCCAAAATTTCTGACGCCCCGAATTTCTAGGTCCTTAATTCTTGACATTTTTTTGAATTTCACTTTCAATTATCTAAAATAATGAACACGAAATTTTGTATTCGTGAATTTTCCAACAATACGAAATTAAAAAAAAAAATTCTGGACACATTCAACGAATACACAGTGTGTCAGAGGTGTGTACACATATGCAGGTACATATGTATAGATATATTAATAGACACTACCACGCGACCGCGGACCGGCAACCGGCGTTCAAGTTCAAATTTGTTCACTTCATTATACAGTCACGTTATACAACGCTCTTAATAGATTAGAGATGCAGATTGCAGACAGATATTGTATATGGTACAAATCAAGATGTAGCGCACTCTCACGGTTCAATGTAACAAACTAATATTTAAATACCATTACAATTTGAATAACTATTTTTTTCACATAAATTTTATAACAAATTTTAAATTATTTTCTAACTTTATAATAAATCATGATATATGTGTTGAAGTATTTCTGTTCCATAACTCTTTATATAAGTTTTGTTTTGAATCGCAATAATTTGTTGAAAAAATAAGTCTCGTAATCTGATAACAATTTTCGTAATATTCTAATACTTTTATAATTTTGTATATTTTATTGCAGTGTTGCAGTTTCTTAAAGTAAAACAATTTTTATTGGATAACTTATGAACGGATTGGAATTGTTAGATAATTTTTTTTAATAAAATGATTTGCTCAAAGCCTTTTATTAGTAACCCTCAAATTACAGTATTTCAACAGTTATTCTGGTTTAAAGTAAAATTTTATTTTTTAATATTATAGATATACCAGAAGTTCTTAGAACTCCTGAACAAAAATCCATAGAACACACTGAGGTATTTTTATTTCTATGCAAAAGAAGGCAATTCTCGAATGAACCCAAACTGACTTCCTATATCTTTTCAATAAAATAAATTTATATTGATATGAAGATATCATACAAAAATTTTTGAACCATAGACAAATATGATAAAAAAAAAAGAAAATGTAATTGTCAGGCGCAACTGGTAGTTCGATTTAGTTAGAAAACGAAAAATGAGAAACAAACTTAGTACACTTTCCATTACCTATAACTAAAGACCTAGAAATTTGTTACGTTATTAAATTTGAAATTACATTTAAATCTACAAATATAATTTTAATTAAGTTTTTTTATCAATTAATATTGATGGAATTTCAAAGCATAGAATTATTTGATGTATGTGGTGTATTTAACATTTTTTAATTTCGTCTATAAATAGTTGCGATTTGATTCAAGCACATGAAACTAAATATTAGTACAAATGAAAGATACGAGCGCACGAAGCGACATTAGTATCTATTATTTTATCAAAATAGGCATTAAATAATAAAATCATCTTAAATATTACTGAATTTCATATCATACATATCGATAATCAATAGTTTTATAAAAAATTGCAAAAGCAAAACAGATTACTTTTCGTGTAAGGTTTTCGTTTTAAATCTTACTTAATTAACGGAGACTTGGAAATACTTAGATATATTGATATATACGGGTAATAATGAATCTAGCATAATAACTTAGTACGTGACAAGTAGTTTTTTTTAAATATTTTCGTGCTGCAAAACCACGTATAAGTTTGTGGAACGTGGGTTTGTAGGAAAATATTTTGTTGTAATTTCTTTAAAAAGGATCTTCCGTACAGGGAGAAAGTGAAAAGATGTAGATATACTCACAGGTATTTAACCCTCAACTTGCACACCTCATTTTGGCCACGTAACTGCTCGGTGGGGTAAATCTACCCCAGTCCGAAAAACATCGAATAAATCAGAGAATTTTAGATTTTTTGCTATGAAAATTTTTTTTAGGTTAACAATTTTTAATGTTACACACACTGAAAAAAATTGTTGAAAAAAAATAAATAAATTTTATTTATTGTTAAAAATTGTCTGGGGTAAATCTACCCCACATAGCAGTTAAGGGTTAAGCAATTAAGATTGAGATGTAGGCTGCAAAAGTAGATTTTTTTAATAATCCAAAATATGAGGCAATTATAGAGGAAATTTTTTTAATAGGGAGTCTGTGAACTTATCATCTTTGAAAAATAGTAAATTTCGATTCTGATGCAAGAAGTAATTTGCATCCGTGTGAAGGGAGGGTGAAATTACTCAGTGTACACTCCAATAATCGAGCATGCTTGAAATCTCGTCCCACACAGGTCGTATAGAAAACAAAGTTAGATACATGTAAGAGAAAGTGATTTCAGCCTTGCTTCGCTCGGGCGCAAACGTCTATACGAGGCTCAAATCACGTTCCCGCACTAGTATCCAAATGTACTAGTTACATTAATAGATTTAGACATGTATAATTCAAGAATATTTCTTTCATAGACCCAAAATAATGGTTTATAAGTCAAATAACATTAATTGAAGATCATCATAAAAATCGATTATTAAAAAGGACTTTGCAAATATTATATTTTCTTTACTTTTTTTCGTTAATTTATTTAAATCAACGACTGCATTGTTAAAAATCATTATTTTTATAAACCAAAACATTAAAATCAAAGCTATTGAAGGCTACGATTTATATAGATTTTCAATCATTTGTAAATAGACGCCATCTCAAGCTTTGAGCTAAAGAAGTTGGATTTGATTTGATTCACTTGGTATCCAATAACGTAAAACTGCAGCAAAAAATATTTCCTGTGAGTTGTTTTAATATTTACAGGGATTTTTCCGTCATTACGTACGTATACTTTGAATTAAAAAAGGAAAACGTCATGGAGACTCGAATGAAAACGACTTTTTTTGTAGATTCCGTTATATGTGTGATACACCTCACACTCCACCGATCGTCTCGTGAAATTCGTCTTAATTTTATAATTAAAGTTGACGTTTTAACAATATTAATTGTTATCAGTTGGATGAGTTAGTAGTTAACAATATTTCTTGCAAGTTGAAAAGTTTCATACGAATGAAAAGTTATATTGATAATTTTTAGAGACCCGCATTAAAAATATCTAATACAAAACTTTGATTTACTTCAACATTACTCCAAATACGTAAAAATCTGTTCTAAAGTATTGCTAATCACTAATTACATTTGACTTGTGCGAAAAACAAACATTTGTCGAATTCATCCATGCATACGCGAATGTGCGTACAATATTGGATAATCACCTGTGTGACGAGTGCTCGCATCGCGAAAAGACACGGCGACTCGGTGTATAAGTATAATAATATATAATAGCATATATAAGAATGACAAGGCCACGAGGGGCAAGATTGCAACCAACAAGGAGCTCCGAAAGCTCCGATTAGTATTAGCGCGCGCCACGCGGTGGCATTCAATCAAGGCATTAGACTTGTAAGTCCGGCTACCCTGAGCCCTCCCTAGCCGTGAGTTCAAGACTTATACTTGAGTCCCGGTTCCATCAGTTTTGAATTCGGTTTCTAATGATTTATTCACAAGTCATTCAGCTGTGATAATTTTCAAACTTACCCGAGAGTCAATAACATCTATAATGGTTTCGATGCTTCCAAATGATTTAAAACTTAATAGAACAAATCTTAGATATTTATTTTTCTGATATATATCAATTATAAAAAGACCACATTTTTTGCCATTTTTTTCCTCCTACTTTCTTGCTTATTCATTCAATTTTCTAACTTTATAACGTTGTGTTTTAACGTTAATCAATTCAAAACTTAATATATTATAAATATACATTTCGAAAAAGCAATTATATTAGAATCACATCTGACGTATTTGCTGCAAAATAATAATCGAAAAAATGTTATGTGCTGATTTGCATTATATATCCTTATCTTGTCTGGAAGTGTGTTATGCGTATCAAAGGCAAGTTCACGACACACATGTTGTTGAATGACAATAAAAGGTAATAGAGACAAATTTTTATGCCCGATAAAACTTGCGTTTAAATTAGGAACGAACGCAAGTACATCAGTTGGGATGGTAAATTACAAGAGCTAGTATGCTTGATTACTTTGTATTTGAGAACGTTCAACAAAATAATTTCATTTTGTTAACTAAATTGATATATTCACTAACTTGTCTATAATTTGATGTTTTAATATCTGTAATGAATCTGTGTTTAAGAAAAATCTAATCCGAATTAAAATTTTATATTTATATATTATTTGAATTTCAGATTAAATATTATTCTAAATTTTCAGAATATAGCTTGATCTCTATAAAAATGTACACACGGAAGGCAAATATTAGTTTAGTGAACGTACTATTCTTATTTATGATATTATTAAGTAACTATTTTATTATTCGTGCGCAACATTCAGGTAAGTATATATTTCATAATTTTTAATAAAGAAGTGATTTGCAGATGCATATGTTTAAAGTTTTAAGCATATATTGCTATTTTTTAAAGTTGCGATTCAGTTTAGCTCAATGAGAGGTATTTTATTATTTCGTTAAATAATAATTCAATATAATCATTATATTATTTTAGAATGTATTGTTTTCATTATAAAATATCGATGCATTGATAGCAGTTGAGATTGCCATATGGAAGATTAGCAGACAAAATAAAAAAAACAATATTTTTGTAACTTTCTTTCTCTAATAATAAGTTACGTATAGCAATGTTATGCATATTATAGCAACTTATAAAATGTAGTTAGATTTTTAAAAAATTACAATAAATTGAGAAGCGATTGGTAATATTAGTAATAGGCATCACAATTTTTTCTTAGAATATATAGAACTGACAACGTGATAAATGTGAAGTTGTATCATTGCAGCAACTCAACTTCACATTAAGGTTTATTAAAAATAAAATAATTAATTATTACGATGTACTCTGGCTAAAATATGAGGATAACGCGTATCAAAGTTATAGCAAAATAGAATAATATATTCTGAGATTATGTCCATGAAAATTTCACTGGAAAATGGTATAAAATTTTAATCTGCAAATTTAAAATGAAAATCTTTAGACAGTATCATTACAGAAAGCAGACCTTGTACTACGAGTGATCAACGTGCAGGCGTTTGCGTTATGGCTAACAATTGCGAATGGTGGGTCAAAAAAATGAGAAACCAACAATTTCCCACTGGCTCCGATCGTTGTGGTTTCGCTGATCGTGACGTAATTGTATGTTGCCCAGTGCAACAATCTATAGGAGGAACAGTCATCTTGCCTAACAACGGTATTTTTACTTAATTGCACACGTTCAATTTATAATGATTGATTATTAGCTACGTAATCTTTGCTCTATGATTAGTTCACTTTTAAGTACTGCCCATTCATGTTTAATAGAAATATGTGACTAGAATCAATGTAATAAAGAGAAAACAATATCGAATAAGCTTTTCATGATTTACAATTTTTCTCACTGAATAAAAGAACGTGGAACTAATTCATTAAAAAGTCAAAATAATTTTATTTGATGTTAAAAAGTTGAAAAATGTGGTCCTCTTCTAAAAAACAACCTTTTCGTTTCGTTTCGTTTCGTTTTAATGGCAGTGGGTACCTGAGGACTCCGATGCGCCACAATTCAAATTTGAGAGATAAAATTTGAAATTTAAAAGAATTTTAAAGTTTTTATTGGTAAAAAGGGTAGGATAAAAAACAACCGGATAAAAGTGATGCGGTTTTTATTCGAGCTATGATTGGCTGAAAGATAGTCACGTGATCGGCTGTTATGGGATAGTATGTATATGTGTTGTGTCACTCATAAAAGATTACTGCATACTCGTGTGGATGATTAAAAGTTCGACAAGTGTATCAGTACAGTTGACGTAAATTTAATATGATTAATTTAATAATTAACAATTAAAAATATGATTTTAGATTGTTTTTATGTAAGATTACAGAGAGAAAAATGTACATATACATTTGACTGCTTAACCTCGAAATAAAAGCCAACTGATACCTGTATAGATAGATCTATTATTTGAACTTTGCTCTATGCGAAAATTTAGTTTGGAATAAACCAAATAGGCAATAAAATTACTTTATAAATTATCTCGATAAAATATTGTACAGTGTTTGGGCTTATTCATTTGCGTAAAATATTAGAATAATTTAAAAAAAAATTCACTCTGATTACAATCATGAATATCTACCTGTTATTAACATCGTGAAAGATACGCAATATAATTATGTAAAACTATAACGTTTTTAGAACTTGTATTACATTTTTTATCGTATTTTTGAAACTTTTTAGTGATTTCTCAATACAGAACATTAAATGATAAAAAATTAAAACTTGATTCATAGCATTTTAAAATCATGAGTATTAATTGTCAACGTAATTGCTTATATATTTACTAATAAATAATATTGTCGGCTATATCTCATTTCAAATTATGGGAATATTTAATGTATATTGAATATTTGAATTGTCAATTTCGCCAATAAAAGTTTCGATCTATTCATGCATTAAAATGAATGAGAAATAAATAGACAACACTAGTCTTTTAAGAAAACGAAGCTTACGAATTATATAGGAGCAAGAATGTCAATATATTTGTTTCGTTGAGCAAGTCAATTTTCACCCTAGCGTTTGAACTGAAAAGTTGTATTTCATCCATATGATTATCAAAAAAAAAAAAAAAATTAATCCTATTAACAATAAAACAATAAGCTTATAGCAAGCACTATATTAATCATTCTCATCTACAGTGATCCTCCCCCTCCTATTTTTTATATTTTAATTTTTTTAATATATTTAACTATGTTAAAAAAATAACGAGTCGCCGACATCCGCGAAATTTTGAATTTTCGTATACTTTGAAATGTTCTTATTATATATCTAAGAGTTTGAGATTTATATTTCAGTAGTAAATTAAATTTATGAATAATTTACATGGATAATAATCTGCAAGAAATATGCTGTTAATAAATCGTTTCGAAAACATAAGACGTTATGTTTTCAAATCATCATTACAAATCGTTAATTTTATAACCACCTGTGATATTGAAATTAATATTGTCCTATGAAAATTTGGTAGGAAGAGAAAGAAAATGAATGGAATAAATTATAGGAAAATACATTTTTATCTTTTCCACATTGTAAATGAAGAAGTATGCGAACAACGGAAACTAATTATTAGAATATTAACCCCGTTAAATTTGAAGAATATTCATGGGTGTTATCATAGAAATAACGAAAAGCACGACTTTAAACGTATTACTCGCATACTAATATACGACTGGAGCGATAATCACTACTATTGAGTATGTAAAGTTTAGCGGTTTATAATAGTATAATAGCTTTATCGATTGTAGGTTGAATTAATCTTTTGGATAATTTATCTTGAAACGAGTAAAAGTTCAAGGATTTTTGTGAAAAAATGAGCGAAGGTTGTATTTTTATTCATTAATGAATATTGATGTATGTAGTCTATTTTTTAAACAGCATGACTTATTCGTATCCATTAGAATATCCAAGTTGCCATGTAAAAAGTTCAAATGATGTAATATGTAACAGAAAAACGTAAAAGAAAGAACGAGGGAAGCTCGCTAAATAATACTAGCCTATTAACAAAATATAATATCGAACTTGTTTGATGCACATGCTCTAAGAGACGTAGCATGATTCCTTTATTGAATAAGTTGATATTGATACGTTGCATTTAACTATTGGTTGGTAGTGAACTATTCATAAATATGAGTATATTGCCCGCGTAGAGGTTACTTTTACAAGAAAACACCATAATGATTATTCAAAAGATAGAAAATCGAAAGACATCAGTTTGTAAATGGTAAGACGCAAATTATATCTAAAATATGTTTGTCGCACGTAGGTGATTATTCAGAAGGTGCAACATGCAGAATGGAAACTGATAGTGGACCCGGAGTGTGCATGGCAATATACAAATGTGAGTTTCGAATAGATCATGTTAGACAAGGCAAACGTTTTGATACAGCGAAAGGACGATGCTCATTCGAGGGTAATATAGAAATTGTTTGTTGCCCTTTGAATAAGCAGTTAGAACCGAGCGTACCACAAGCTACCTGGAGACCTGCTGAGCGAGGTCAGTAGTCCATACTAAAATAATATATGTGCAGATATTCTTTACAAGCTTGATTATTCGTTGCTACGCTGTGACGAGAAATTTTTAAATTACACAAAAATGAATAGTTTAATTTCATAAAAATGCGTGCCTGATGAGATTAAACTTGAAATTTTCTGAGCTTTTTCCTACTGCTTACTCTCCTTATTAAACTCGTAGTGCAAATAATACTTTTCAAAGGTTTTTATCGGGAATAATTGAAGACACAGCTTTTATGCGCATATTCTTTTTCAAATAGAGCGTGACTCACGTCCATTGTAAAATAAATACCCTTATACTAACTTTCCTCAATTTTATCTGTAAAGCTTCACGCGCGACGCGAGGCGACTTTCAATTTAAACGCATGATAAAATAGTAAAAGATTAATAATTTGAGTTATAGTTTCGTTGAAAAATTCGAGAGTACCAACTACCTTTTCATTGTCATTGATTTTTGTAAGATCAATTGATTTGAATAATGATTAAACATTAATATTCATATTGGTTATTGATAATTAGTATTTTTATGATAGCTTGTCAGCAGTATCAAGCAATGGTCGCAGGTTATAGCGGCTATGAAATTAACAAACATATCATCGGTGGCGAGAACGCTAAGTCGGGAGAGTTTCCTTTCATGGTGTCACTAGGATACCAAAATGATGAAAACGATCGTTCAATCATTAGCTACATGTGTGGAGGTTCTTTAATTACTGATCGGCACGTTTTAACAGCAGCTCATTGTATTTTGAACACTAATAATTACCGACTCATAGAGGTAAGCTGCAGAAATTAACCAGCTGGTTAAGATCTGTCGTAGCACATGTCAAACGCAAGTGGCTTGTAGATTTTTATTGTACAGATTTTCGAGCTACAATATAATGCTGTTGACATTTTATAAGACATCTCTTTTGTACACTGCAAAAATATATTGACAATTCAAAATATAATCATAATAATTAATATTTTTGCACTTTTTTCGATAGATTCGTCTTGGTTCTATAAGTCTACAAGACAATAGTCGCGATGTACAAAGGATTTCGATTGATGACATAATAACTCATCCTAGATACAGAATAAGTAGGAATTATTTTGATATTGCAATTATAACGATGAGGCGACCCATCATTTTATCGAATCTAACGATGCCGATTTGTCTTCAAACGTATAGCATTCCAGCTTTTAAGTCGTATTTAAATTCGGAAATGATTGCAACTGGATGGGGTGTAACTAATTATAACGATGATTCGCCATCTTTGAATCTCAAGAAAACTCGAAAACTGTCGTAAGTAATGCTCATAAGTTTTTTAGTCCTACAGGTACATCAACTCATTAATCCAGTTTTTTAAATCTAATTTTAAACTATGTATGTACCAGATAAAATGCATTTTTGCAAACTTTACGAAGGGATTTTCAAATGTATCAGTATTTTACAATACGAGACAAGATGAATGAAATTTATATATTTAACTCTAAATAAACAAAACAAAATTAGCATATTGTTCCCGAAGTTCAAATAATTACTGATACATACAATTGAATTATTCTCAGGAAAATAATGAGTCTAAAATTCTATCGACTATTCTCAGATTGATTGATTCGCAAACTTGTGGAGAGCAATACCGAGCGTCAAACAGAATACCAAACGGGGTGGATGACAGTTTGCTTTGCATATTGGACGAGAATCCCGTGGACCGATCTGATGTTTGCCAGGGAGACAGTGGTGGGCCACTGTTTTTAAAGTCAACCGTGGTTAGCTCACTCCTCGGTATCGTTTCTTTTGGCCAAGGTTGCGCCAGCTCTGTGCCTGGCATTTATACATCTGTTTACTACTACTTAGATTGGATAGAACGAATTGTGTGGCCAGCTCAATAAACAACAATCCTACCTGGCAAAACCGGTTCACTCAATTCAAAGTCTGCCGACGGTAAAGTGAATGTTTTGTAATATCATTACATACTTTGAAAATAGAAATGCTTGAAAAAAAACCAAGAATTTATAAAATCGCGATGTATTATAGGATTCATTTTTTTTTTGACGTAATCAAATAAATCGAGTACAAGTTTAAATTTGTTCTTTATATTATGACCCAATGCTTACTATTTGCCCTTGTTTATATTTTAGACGAGCAGGCCAAAAAAACTCTCATGCAGGCGTCAAACCGAGAAGAGTTCGTAAATACAGATAAATCGGCTTAAAGGTTCTTCAAAATGATAATTTTAGCCCAACATTAATATTCAATGATAGGTGATTTGTCAATCTTACGTATTTATTTGAACTTTTAAAACCACGAAAATCCGACTGAAGCAGGTCACCGCTGCAACTAAATATTGCGCGAATATTCTTAAATTTCAATGTAAGCTCTCAGATTGACAGACATTTTATGATATCGTAACAAACATTTTTTTACTAGAATTCAAGTACACGTGCACAACCACTAAATTCCTCATGTTTTTCCATTTCAACCTACGTGTAGGACACGCGTAACGTTATCCTCAAGCATTCACATTTTTTGTGTGGTAGATATATATGAAGATTGTCTTTTATGAGGGAATAACCAATTTCATTATTTATAACACCTATATTTCCAAACTTTTGACGATTTCCATGCACTGAAACCAAAATTTTCCATAACTTTTTTCTCTGTGGAATATTTAAAGAAATGCATAAAACTGTAATATTCATATAGAAAAGCTTTCTCTTTCAGAAAATGTAATGAGCTTTGAATTGAGATTTGAAACCGTAATACAAATTTATAGTTTTCTATTTATATTATTCATTAAAGTACTCATGAGTATACGTGAAGAATTACTTCATCCGATTAATAAAATTTCGATATGTTTCCTTTCTTCAGTTTACATTACTGAAAGTACTGACTAATGCGTGTTGGTACCTGTGATGCACTTCCGTATGCGGTGTTCAACAGCTATTTCACTACTCTTTTTTTGCCTCATCGAAAATTAAAATTCTTCGCCTAGTTAGCGATTTCACATACATGTTTGATGTATTTTACATTAATCAATACTACGTATTAAATACTTTTGCCTCGCATTATTGCGATCAGGTGTAAAACTACATCAAAATAATAATGTTTGATAGAGTTCTAGAGCATATCGCTGTGGATATCGAAATAAATAGGAATTTAATGAAAGCACTGCTTTCGATAGACGTTCATAGAAAAGAATTGTTTAATTGTCGTTTTTATAATTTTCAGTAGATATTGGTTTATCTTAACGACGATTGTCATTGCCCAACTGCAATTAGAGAGCGATCTTCCGATGCTGCTCCATCAAAATAAGAGGACAATCAGATTCTTCTCAGAGATCGCCTCTGATCGGACCATATAACTTCTTCTATCCAGTCAATATGAAAGTAAACGCTAGTGTAGACGGCAGGTACGAGGGAACCGCAGCTTTGACCAGCAGATACTACTCCTATTATGCTGCCAGTTCCATCACTACCAATTATAAGGGGACCTCCGCTGTCACCTTGGCAGGAATCAGAGCGTCTTGTTTTGTCTTCATCGGTCAAACAGATTAGACTGTCGTCGATACCTCGAGGCAATTTCGAAGAGTTTTCGTAAAATTTGGTGCATTCAAGTCGCTCGATCAACCTGAAGATAAAAACAGAAGAAAAAAAGAACAAATTAACGAATTAGATATCGCGCTGCATATGTACAAATCTTCAATATTTCTGTACGCTGTGCGCCAAGTTATTCTTTGTCGGAATCGCGTATGCTTTCTTTTTCAATGACTCACTGCATACTGGGAGTTTTCTGCAGAATATTGGAGCTTCCAATTTCAAAACTCGTGGCACCCCAGCCTGTGACTATCAACGAAGTTGCGTTCACGAGGGTACTTAGATTTGGAATAGGTTTCGTTTGAAGACAAATCGGCTTCACGTATTTCGTCATCACGGCTGGTCTTTCCAATTTCAAAATGGCAATGTCATGATACATCAGAGATTGTTTATATTTGGGATGATGTATTAATTTACTGATTTTTATATTCTGGACACTGTCCGAGGTGTCAGTTAGGTCGGTGGCACCCAGTTTTGCCTACAAACAAACGCAGTTTCCAAAATACATTTTCCTCAATTATGAAATAATATAAATTCATCTCTGGCTTCTCTGAGCTTTGCTCTTTGAATTGCGCTTGCAAATGAACTTACAGAAAAATCATTTTTCTGGCAATTAAGAATGCGAACTATATATTTTAACGCTTACCTCGCTCGGTTTCTTATTATGATTATTGATAACACAATGAGCTGCCGTGAGAATATATTGAAGAGTAATGAGAGTTCCGCCACAACTGTATTCTAACGCTGAGGGATTGGATTTTACTTGAAATCCCAGTGCTACCATGTGAGGGAATTCACCATGCGTCGCATTCACTCCATCGAAGATCCAAGGATTCACTTTTTCCTGATTACTTTCAGAAGTATTGGTGATTCCTCTCGTAATCATAAAGCAAGCTGATCGAAACATTTACTTCCATTGTTCATTTCGTTTTAAAAATTATTATTGTTTATTATGAGCAATAGGATTGTGTCTAGCACTCAAAAACACATTTACGCGTTTATTGGCCTCTTGATAAAGAGGAACAGAAAAAATAGAAAGAGTTTCTCGTCTCGTGTACCTTTCCAGCCTCGCTTCGCTCGGGAGTAAACGCCACACGAGAGAAGAATCTACTTTCCCGCACTTGTATCGTAATGTACTATATCATTCGATCATCATTTGTAATTAGAAAATCTCTTAAAGCAGTGATTGTTATCAGTAGTTGGAACTCGAGCAGATATACGGAGAATACACGTAAGTGCTAAAAAGATGAAATGCACGTGGAAAGTGCAGAGTCAACTAAGACAGAAGGTGGTAGCAGGTTGGGGTAATATGTACCTGCGTCAGCTGGTCGACGGCTAAGTTTACTGACGATGTCTTGGGTGTTGATAAAGGGGTCGTCGAATGGACCGTCGGGAGGATCGGTCCGAGGATCAGGCAGAGTCCAGAGAGGCGTCGGGGCGACCGTGGGCGCGGCGAGGGTGGTCGTGATCCGCGGCAAGGTCGCTGGACTGGTCGGGCTCGGGGGCACCGGTTTGCCCTCCACCTCCGACAAGGGGCAGCACACGATCTCGATGAAGCCGACGAAGCCGCAGCGGCCCGGCGAGTTGGAGAAGCGCAGACCTGCCTTGACCTCGCGAACTCTCAACGGACAGTCGGGCAGTTTGATGCACTTTCCGTCGCTGCCGTCCTCCATTTGGCACCTGTTGCCCTCTAAAAGTGTGCCTCCTTCGCTCAAGCAGGATTTTTCGGCATTGTATAGTAGATTAGTATCGCTGGCGGCAGAATATCGACTTCTTTCGCCATTTTCACGAGACTTTATTGTTCGACCTCGCCTAGTTAGTCAAACCCACTGAGTATCTCATCAAAATTACGTCAAATGCTATGCCGATTGCCGTGAAATCTACTATCGTCTATTTACTACCGTTATGGTATCAACGAAAAACATGCTAATCAACTAATATCGGACTGGAACAATAAAATCGTAGAAAATAGTGCTTCAATATCTAAGAGCTAGAACATACACGATTATGTTATTAGGATGAAAAGGCTCAGCCGCGTAAATGTATGTACAAGAGGCGCCAAGTGTAAGTTTGTTTTTTAAGACAAAACATCCGGCAAAGCATTTTTTATATTTTACATCGCTCACGAATGAATAATTACGGATTTTTATACCGTCGCAACGTTAGTCAATGAAACGGCTGGCGTCCAACTGTGCCTGGATAGCTTTCTCGTCGCCTGAATCACGGACGAACGATTGCATGGAAATTGTTGTGTTCGCCAACGTATCGAGTCCGTCAGGCGTGAGCTCGTGAGCTTCTTTACAATTTTGAGCAAGCGACGCGCGTACGTGCAATATTGTCCAATTGAGCCATTGAGTGCAGAATAATTGAGCGATAAAAATTACTGCATGCGCTGCGAAGAACTCCGAGCGTACGGATCGTTCAGCAACGATCCATCAAGGTTATATCGAAAAGCGTATCTGCGCTGCTCTGTTCTTTCCGTTCTCGATGATTCAATTGGACGAACGGAATAAAATATGATCGTCGAAAATAAGGTCGGCGATAAAGCTCAGCCTGCTCGCGCGAGAGCCGATCGCGCCGTGCAGAATAATAAAATATTTACTGGATGGTTTTCCAGCGGTGTGCGAGCCGCGGACAGACGATGGACCGCGCGTTGCTCCGTGCAAGAGCCAAGTATTCCAGCGGCCCGAGTAAAGGAGCGCTCTGAGCGTGCAAGCGATCTCAAGTCAGAGCGGCAGGGCAAAGGTAAGAAGCAACGAATGATGCAACGGCCAAGGTAAGAGAAGGACCCGCGCTGCTATACTTACCGTAGAGGTCCATTCTGGCGCCGACGGAGGCGAACAGCGCCAGAAGGACGAGCGCCCAGCCGTGCATGGTCTCGTCGCTGCGCAGAAGGACAAGGGAAAGCCAGCAGCCGGGAGAGCGCCAACTGAGCCGGAGAAGGAGGATAGCAACGCGTGCGCTCGGGGACTACGCGACGCTCTCACTGGGAAGTTCCGCCATCCACGCGCGGGCGCCGCGTCTCTCTGCGTCTTCGTTGCTCGCGGTTGTGTGTGTTTGCGCGTCATTATTTGGCATCGCACGCTCTCTCATCGGCGTTAGTATGAGTGAACACATATATAGCGCGCGCCCACTCGTTTCTTTTTTCCCCGCGGACAATCCGCAAATGTGAAAGCCGTCAATGTCTGTCCGAACAAGATGTAAGTGTGTGTGTGTGTGTGTGTGTGTGTTTTTTTTTTAACGAACTCGTGATGCGGATTTTCCCCGAATCTTCGCGTTGGCATTGACGACCTGATTTTTTCTTCGCAGCTCTCCTACGCGCAGTATAGCATGTTTGTAAAGCCCGAAATCACGGCCGCGATTACAAAGACGATTAATGGATAAAGCGAAGCGTCTTGGAAATTTCAGCTCTTGGCTCGTTCGGTGTATCGCTCACATATATCTTGCCAATTAACGTAGTTTGTGTGTGGCTGCAGTGTATATGTAAAGTACACGGAACAATTTCCTTTGTAAAGGCGCCTCTATCTGCTTTTTTAAAAACGTGACGGTCATCGACAGACGAGGCTTTTCTCCCGCTTTTTTCATAATCACGTCTGCTTTTTTGAATATCAATGGTAATCCGCCAAGATTGAACGTCGTAATATATTTGGACGTATTATATTTACGAAATTTGGCTACGTGTAGCACGAAACAATACCCCTTGAGAAACATTGTCACATCATTATTAAAATAATACATATTTTAACTCTTATAAAAGTTGATTGCAATAACGATAAAAGACGCGCAGGTGTGAAGACTGCTGTATAGATATATAGCGAAAGGAAGTTAGTGTGAATTGTCGGTGGCCATGAATCGCTCCTGAGACTTGAATTTGGCGAAGGAATGCATTTGCAAAGTATAACTTCGAAGATTCATATTGCTTTTACGCGCAGCTCTTTGTCCGATATGCAAATAAAGCGATGATCTCTTCTAACTCGATTGTCCGACGACTAAAAATGTTCAAAGTTGAATGTCAATACTACGATGCGATGCAACAATTAGGTATATAGTATTGCCTGCCAAACGACTGCTTAGCAACCGAGACGCACGGCCTTCACAGCTTTTACTCAGGTCGATATACAATAGGTGCATTTTTTCCTTACGAAACATGTCGCAGGTGAATGTTGAAGCTTACGATAAACCGCTGCAACATATCAGTAAGTTATCCATTTGCATGAAATGTTCCAAGTGTCGTTATTGTGTTTATTAACAGGTCTGGCAGACTGGCACGCTGAGCAATGGGAGCTTCATCAGAGTGCAAATAAAAAGGAATGCGAGTCGTTCGATTTACGATACAGCGCCAAGTCTCTAATCTTGGAGACGAATATCAAAACCGAATGGAACAACCACATGAACAATCATCGTCTAGCTGACAGGTTCGGTTAACTCAACTACACTACAAATATGCCTGTAGTTGTTTCCACGAATAAATAATGTTATAGATGTTAGCAATTGGAACGATGCAATTATTCGTCACCGCATATCGCTTACGATTATTTGGTACGCAAACATTTTCAACTTACACATATACTTTTTCAGAATAGGGGAAATTTCTCGCTGGCATCGTATCTTTGAAATATTACAAGAGCGTCTTCAGCAGGAAATCCATTTATTGATCGAAGAAAGAGCAGACACAGAAAAAGAGCTGGAACTTTTAGATCATCCCGAGCAAATTACAATCAGATGTATAGCCAAAAGAAATAATCGTAACTGTTCCGAGATCACATACGACGAGGGGGACATCGAACTGAAAAAAGAACTTGATCTTATTGAACAAATGAAAAATATTATGATCAATGAGTAAATTCTTTTTGTGGTTTACAACATTTTTTATTAATTAAATTGTAACGTTAATTTCTTGTACATTTTAGCATAAAAACAGCATCTGACAAGATTAACCGTTTAGAAGAAATAAAGTCTAAAGTAATGAATGAAATAAAAAACAAATCCGAAGCAATAAAAATCGATACTGAAAATTACGATCTAAATCGAGATTTTCCCAATTTTACGTACAAACCGTATGCTCTAAATATCTCTGAAAAGTTAGTAATTATAGTTATCCTTCAAACTGTATAAGATTATGTATACATTAAGTAATATCAAATTTACTGTTTTATGTAGCTCAGTGTCATATGCAAATTGGCTAGAGCACACGCAAAATCTAAAGAGAGAAACTGAAAACGAGCTGAGCGATACTTATACTTTGAGAGAAACTATGCATATTACCAAAGAAAAGTCAAAACATGACGTTAGATTTCAACAAGATGCAACGGATTATGCTTTGAGACGAAGATCTTTTGCCTCTCGGAAAGCAAGAAATGAACTTGAATGGCAAAATTTAAAGGTGATTTTTTTTATTTCCATGAATACTTTAATGTATTAGTTTTACGTTATTTGTTTGCAGCTTATAAAAGAAATGGAATATTTACGTAAGCAATTGGAAGAATTGGAAAGTGCTTTGCGAGCAAAGACAGATGACGTAAAATGCGTTCAAACCAGATTAGAAAATCGAACCTATCGTCCTGGCTTTGAGCTTTGCCAAGACGATCCGGAACTCGGTTTGAAAGATGAATTATTGACATTACAGAATACAAAAGAAGAACTTGCCAAAAAGATTGATAATACTCAGTAAGAAATTTTATAGCTAATTATATACATATATTTTTATTAGTTTTTTACTTCAATTGTTCCATTTTTTAGATCAAATTATTTCGACTTGGAAAAACTTCTGGATCGCGTTAATAACGATTTGAACAATAAAAAACACTCTTTGACCACTGATGTGATGTGTTTAGATATGCGTACCACTTTAATCAACAGAGACGGAAGTAGAGTATGGAACGAAACTGATAGAAATATTATTCTAAGAGGTCTAATTAAGGAACTTCCTTTAGAAGCAAAAAAGGCTTTCCATGCATAGTAGTCTTATCGAATGTTGTTTATTTATCGTAATATTTCTATTGATATTTTATTTGTCATATAAAATGACGTGGATATACATTTTTGTACTTAAGAGTAAAAATTAAAATATATTTAAAATACATTTTACAATAATGCTATTAATATTTACAAAGGTCTTTCGACCAATTTAGGATGAGCTTTGATCATACTATATTCATTTATGAAATCATCTGTAAGCTTGGGTTTTAACATTTTTTTAGCTCTATCGTATATGTTTGATACTTTTGTGGCTTCTCCGTGTTTCATCTCAAAAATTATATATTTAATCCAAACATCAGTATTATCTCTACCAAATAGTGAAGTTGCCATTTCATGAGGTTTGCGAGCATTGTACAGTGTTATTTCAGGTTGCAAAATCTCAAGAACAGCCATTTTTCTGTGCAGCTCCAAACATAACGGAGGAGTAAGACAAAGTTTGTCGTAAACTTTTCGTGCAACTTCAATATCTACGATATTTTAATATTATTATAGCTTTTCACGACTACTTATTAATATTTAATAAAAGAAATTATTTGTACCTTTTGTTAAAGCAATCCATTCTATATAAAGTGGTTTAAAATAATTGCTAATGGCTGATTTATTGTCTAATGCTTCTTGATAAAATTTTTCTAAAAGCTTGGGATTTTTTGTTTGAATGTGGAGAAGTTTCAACTTCCACAAAGAAATAGAGTTTTCTCCTAAAATTTCAATAGCCTGTAAATACAGTTATTTTTTTAATGTTATTGTAGAATGTTAATATATATATCAAAGCACTCAACATTACTTTTTTAAAGGTTTCTTCTCCTAATTCTTCTTGATCAGAGTGTAAAAGGTATTGTAATTTAGCTTGCCAAAGACTTTCACTTTCGGGAAAAGCTTCATTAGCCCAACAAAGAACTTCACACAGTTTGTTGTTTTTTTTAGTATCTTGATTAATTTCATTTACATTCAACATGTCAATCTAAAGTAAAAGAATATAATATTCAATATGTGTTACATTTGACTCATTGAAAGATATTAATTGAGTGTTATAATTACCCAGGCTAAATAATACTTTTCCTTTAACTTTTTTGCTTGATGAGCTTGCAACAGGGCATTTCTCAAGAGTTTACGTTTGAAATTTGGAAGAGTATCTACATCTTGATTTATTTCAAGCATGCAATCAATGAACAAAGACCACATTTCTTCTGTTTTTATTTTTTTTACTGCAATCTGATAAACTTCGTAACAATTGCTTATTTTGTCCCGTACAGAAACAGGCTCAGAACCATCAACTACCATTGAATTTTCATTATTGCATGTCGGTTGTATTAAACCCTTGAGTTCTCTCTGAGCCATGGTATCCCACATCAAAGGTTCATGAGGATATTCTACAATAATGTCACTAATAACAATAAGAATTATTAAAACTATTAACAAAATTATACGTGCATTATGGTATAAATTTGATAAAGATCTTATTTACTTGACAATCTTATGCTGTAACTTTTCTGTGTTTTTGTATTCTTGTAAAATATTTAAAAGTTCAACAATAAACTTCACATCTTTAACTTTTTGAAAAGCTTGTTCGTATATCAAATAAGCTTTTCTCAATATAGATTGCATATCTAAATCATTGTTACTTTCAGCATTTGTGTTTTCAGTTTTCGATTCAGCATTTTTGGTTTTTGACTGTACATAATCCAATTCCAACCTAAATACAATAAAATAGGGTGAATACAATAGAATAGCTTCTATGTTTATCATGATTGAAAGTCAATATACTTGAAAATAGTAGTATAAAGTAATTGAGAATTATTATGGACATGTAAGCCTTTAAGGAGAAAATCTCTGGCATTCTCAAAATTTTTATTTTCTTCTAGTTCCCAGCGTGCTGCAATGTGCCAACATTTTGGTTTATCTGAATGAACCAATAGCATTCTACTTATCATTCGACTTGCACAGCTATTGAATTTCTATAAATTCGTTGTCTATTTAGATAGTTTTAAATTTAAAGAAAGGAACTAGTATAAATTTACTTACAAAGTGTTTACAAAATGTGATATATGCTATCCAAAACCGAAGATCGTCTTGAAATCTATATATTGCTTCTTTATACAAATGATTAATTTTGTTAGCAATTGTGAAGTCAAGGTCAGATTTATTTTTTGTGATGCCAAATTTCTAAAAGAAAATAATTTTTACAGTACATAAACAATTATTGAAGTACTATTTGTTTTGAAGCCAACCTTTCTGCGCAGCTTTATTAGTTTAAGCAAATCCATTTGATATTGAATGTAACGTAAATAATCTTCTTTACATTTTTTATGTCTTTGCAGTTTGTACTCGTGTTCTTTCCATTTTTTTGTCAACTTTCTGTAAAGAAATGTATTAAAAGAAATAAATAAACCGGTATAATTTCATTGTTTCAATCTGGATAAATTAATTTTTTCAATTTAACCAAAGGAGAGATAGAAATGTCAATATTAATGTGCTAATTATAACCTATAACACACCGTATTTCTCCATCGCTCAGCATTTTCAATATTTTCATTTTTTCAAGAACTGGACGCATGTCCTCTATCTTTTTTTGAACAAACTCCGCCATGGTTGATGTTTTAATATTACAACAATAAAAAACTACAAACTTTTAAATATTTTGAAGTATATACTTCAAACACATGTTTGTTACGCGAACACGCGTCGGAACGCCATACTTATTTATATGGAATCAGCCTTACCGACCAAATTTTAGATTGGCTGCTCTATAGGTATGTGTGTGTTGCTTGTGCGAGCTAATGAATCGCCATCTTGGGTTTCGAGTAGATTGCTGGTTGAGGTTACTTTTACCTCTTGTTGAGGAGATCGTCGTGGAGTTTTCACTTGTTCCTGCCGCTAAACGTTTTTTATGGGAAATCAGTTTAAATAGTGTTCTTTTGCGATCAAATCGTAATAGTTTCATTGCAGGTTCCAGTTTCTCAGGTAACGAACACTCGGAAAGCCTACAATGTCGCTGTTCAACAAACCAAAACGAAACATCCGTCGTCGACCCTTCAACGACGAAGAAGAGGACAATGAAAACAAATCAATCGAAACTGAAGATTTACAAAACTCAAAAAATAAAGTAAAAAAAAAGGATAAACCTAAGCAGACTCTTCTTAGTTTCGGAGAGGAGTTGGAAGAAGGTAAGCAAATGGTTTTTCTTTTATTATAACGCTTTTTTCTATATACTGTCTGAAACCCTTTTAACAGTCTGTTAGTACAAGATTTGGTAAATAAAAATTGAATAGGATGTTAATTTTTAAAAGTGATGAATTTTGAATTTAATTTTTAAACATTTGTATTTATATTTTACAGCTGATGATGGAGAAGTTTTTAAAGTGAAAAAGTCATCAAGAAGTAGAAGACTGATGAAACAACTTGATCAGGAGAGGAAAAGAAAGAAAGGTGAAGAGAAATTGCAAGTGGACTCTGACCCATCGAACATGTCTATTATGCAGGAAAAAGATTTAGAAATAAAAACCGATGATCTAGTAGTAAGCTATCTCTAGATGTTCTTATAATACTCTTAGTCAGACCTATTTCATTCTCAGTATTGAGAAGAAAAAAAGCCAAAATCCACCTGCTGCTATTATTTATTTGATTATTATTTGGTCTTTTTTCTCAGCTAGTGTGTATGAATGTGAAAGCTCATATACGCTGAATATCTGCTAAATTTTGAAACTATTCATTTATTAATATTTTCTCTTTTCTTAATAGGTTAAGGTGAAAAATTCTGGTCCAATAATTTTAAATGGTCGAGATGCAGCTACTGCAGGCAAGAATGACTATAATTCTGAGGATGAAGTAGATACTAATCACGGACATAGATTTCAGACCAAGACAGATAGATCGGAAAATATGAAATTTTTTCTTGAAAGTAAAATTGTTTTCAATGAAATCTTTAGTTATTTTGAAAAAGATGTAAAAGGTGAAATGGAAATAATAATAAACTTTTTTAAATAGGTGGTTGTATACCAGATGCAGCTATGATCCATGCAGCTAGGAAACGGAGGCAAAAAGCTCGAGAATTAGGACATGATTACATTCCCGTAGAAGAACAAAAGTAAATTTTTATTGCAAAAATATTTTTCATTATTTCAAACATTTCAGAAAAGTTACTTTTGTAAAGTATCAGTTGAGCATCTTTTTAATAAAATTATATTTTCAGTGATGATAAAGGAACGTCAAGATTGATTCGCGAGGATGACGACGATCACAGTGATGATGAGAATTCTCAAGAGAGAATTAATTTAAATGTAAATACGGATGCTTTAGATAAAGAAAAACGAAGACAAGCTTTCCTTGATTCACAAGCACCAACAATGAAGCGTAAGTTTAAAAATAAAATAAATATCTAGTAGGATGATATTTTTCAGTTTATAATAATATAAATGTAACTAATAATAAATTCTTTTATTCTAGTATCTGATGACGAAAATGAACCTGAAATAGAAGAGTGGGAAGTACAACAAATTAGAAAAGGAGTCACTGGAGCTCAGGTAAGAATAGATAAAAAATAAAGTTATTAATAATTATTAATGATAATTATAGGCATTATTTATTGCTAATGTAGATTGCAGCAGCACAGCAGGATTCTATAATGCATCAGGTTGCGTTCGGAATGGGTTCGACGCATATGTCAGAATCGGGAATTTCAATTATGATGACAAATATGATACCTGCACCTCCACCACCTCCTTGTATACAGCCACCAGATCCAACAGAAGATGTACCTGCAAAAATTGAAGATATTGTGAATAAATTACGTGAGAGGTATTGAAAACTTAAATTATTCTGTGAAAATTATGAAACATGCAAAAATTATTTATTTGTTGTGTTTAAAAGCTTCGATATATTTGTTGTGATAAGATTTGCTAATGTTTAAATACTGTTTTAGCTTAAGTGAGTTGCAAGAGATACATGAACGGCATAATTCAAATTTTGAAGCAGTTGTTGAAGATTTGGAAAATAGTGAAAAAGAATATGATAAAGGAGATATAATTGCACCAAAGATGGCTCAGCGCTACAGATATTACCAAGAGATGCGTGGGTATGTCACTGACTTGGTAGAGTGTCTTGATGAGAAGGTGGGTTCAAAAATTAGAAAATCAAAGCAACTCTTTACACAACAATATTAAAATCAAATTATATTTGATATATTTAATAAAATTATAAAGTTTTAAATGATTTCATCACAAAAAATTACAATTTTTGCAAATTTTAATTTTTTAGCATGAAAATTACTGAAAAACAATTGATGTTGCTGCTGTTGAACGAAAAACTTATTTTTAAATTTTATTTGAATTCGTGCCTTTGTAAGTTAGATAGATTTATATTAAATAGATCTATCTATTTCATTCTTGTAAGTTTAAAGACTAAAAAATATTGATCAGGATTTTAAAAGGGTTTTATTAAATATCATCCGTTTTGACTTTTGTTAATATACAAATTGTTTCTTAACAGCTGCCTATGATTGAGTCCTTGGAAGTTCGTTGGACATCTTTATATGGAGATAGATCAACGGAACTTGTAGAAAGACGGCGACAAGATACAAGAGATCAAGCAGAAGAAGTTACAACTGCTGCAAGTCAGTTATTTTATTTCCTTAATTAAATAAATAGCGTAATAAAAATTTTAATTGTAGAATAGAAATACTCAAATAATTAAAAAGCTGTTTTTAATTATTGTAAATATTGTAAATAATTGATAATAATAGTCAGTATAAAGATACATTTAATAGTAAATATTGCAATTCTTGAATAATTATTGACACGCTTGTTTCCTTTACTTATATAAAGGGGGGCCTGTTCAAAGAAGAGGACCTGAGGACGACGCACGTATGCGGCGCGCTACAGAACGTGAAGGGAGAAGAGCACGACGGAGAAGAGCAAGAGAACTAGCTTCAATATTACCCAGGCATATCGACGGTATGTCAAGTGACGATGAAGTTACAGAACAGCAGAATCTTTCCTTTAGGCAAATAAAAGGTCCGTACCGTTCAATTTTTTGATTAAATTTTAATTATATTGTATAAAAGTTGCGTTACGCTATAAATACGATCGCTGAGTATATCATAAAAATAATCGACGTCATTGCTTTTGCTTTGTATATAAATCTCATGTAAGTTTTTATGTTTAAAAGTATTAGACTAAAGAATCTCTATTAAATATGTCTATATAAATTTAGGAAGATATATTTCACAAAAATAAGTAACAAACCAACCGCCTTATTTGTCGAGCTATTGCATTAAATTTTTCTCCATTGTTAAATAGATAAAAATTTACATTTTATTCATGGGTTTAGATTTTTCATTACTCGTATATTAGGTGATTTTACATTTGTACTTTCAGAGGACATCGAGAATGATTCACGGGAGCTCTTTTTAGATGTAGAAGATGACTTTTGTACACTAAAAGGAATTTTATCAAAACTTGAAGACTGGAAATCTATTGACCTAGAGTATTATACAGATACTTTTGCATCACTTAGCATTCCAAAAATGATATCGCCAATTATTCGATTACAACTTCTAACTTGGAATCCAATAATGGTGAGTTTATGAAAATATCTAACATACTTTGTTTTTACCGTTTTCAAATACAACTAATTTTTTTTTAATTTTAGGAAAGTTCTGATTTAGAAAGGACAAAGTGGTATAGTGCATTACTTTTGTATGCGTTAGATACAAAAGAAACTGAAGAATCTCTTCGTAGCGATCCAGACGTACGATTGATTCCGTCAGTAATTGAAAAAGTTGTCATTCCAAAGTTAACAAGTACGTTTATAATATATTTTTTTTATTAATAAAACGTTTTGTAACATTTTTAAATAATGTTTCAGCGATCGTTGAAAAAATTTGGGATCCTATGTCTACATCACAAACGTTACGATTAGTTGGGATAACCGGTCGTCTTGTGAGAGATTATCCAAATTTAAATGACTGTAGTAAACAAATGGAAACATTTTTCAATGCAATCATGGATAAAATGCAAACCGCTGTTGAAAACGACGTTTTCATTCCAATTTTTCCTAAAACGTGAGCTGCGTAAATTCACAATTTCAAATTTGAAATTAATTAATTGGTCGAATGAACTTTATGAATATTGCAGTATTATGGATCCAAAACACCAATTCTTTCAACGACAGTTCTCCATGGCCGTAAAATTACTTCGAAATCTATTGAGTTGGCAAGGCTTGATTGGCGATAATAAACTTAAAAATATCGCTTTAGGATCTTTGCTGAATCGCTATCTTTTAGCGGGTTTAAGAGTTTCTGCTCCTCCCGATGCTCTTCTTAAGGCTAACATGGTACGTTAATATAAATTTCGCGGTATAAATTTAGATTTATAATCGAAAAAAGTTAAATATCGTTTATTTCTTTTAAATTAGATTATGAGCACTTTACCAAGAGCATGGCTGCAAGGAGAAACAATCGATCACTTGAAAATGTTTTCAAGTTTAATACAACAACTCAGTGAACAACTTGATCAAGCTAATCCAGCTCACAAGTAAGAATTTTACGTATACCTGATTATTGATAAAAAAAATCAATGGTGACTGTTATTTTCTGTATTCGACACTATGGCAAATAGTGGCATTATCTACGCTTTTTACTATTCTTTTGGGTTCTACTTTCCATTGTCTCTTCAATTTGAAGAACATTCAAAATGAAAATATTTTTGTTATTTGAAACAAACACCTTGAAACGAAATTAAATGTTAACACTAAAGTTAAAACATCTTGGTGAAAAATTGAAAAATGTAATTATTTAATTACAGTGAAGCATGGGAATTCTCCAAGTCTATTCTAAAGATAATCAAACCACTGTAAATAAATATGAAGATCTATATTGCCGAAGCTCGGATCAAGTGAGTCAATGATGTAAATCAATGGATTTATTTGAATGTTCGAAACGAGCATCAAGTGGAACTGATCGATTTTTAAGTGAGCTCGGCGTTTAACTTAAGTAATATGATTGTTTAACAATTTTATATATTGTAGATATTTCGATTTTAAATCTTGTACATAATAAAAGTGACGAAAATGCCTATTAAGGAAGAGGAACATGTCTGTGTTTTTGCCCTTAGCTAGATAATATTTTACTCTCGAACTGATAGATGCATGTACGTGTGTGTAAAAGAGAAGTCGGAGAGAAAGAGGTCAGAGGTCATCTTATCTTAATCCTACTCTGTTCTCCTATTAGAACAGTCACCAGTCTATAAATAGTCTACGAACTTTTCTCACGTGCGAGTTTCAATTTTTGAGAGCTTTATTTTCGCGAATACCAAAAATTTGGTTTTGTGCTTTATCTCTTAATTCAAGCATCTTTGCTGTTGCTGATGAGCGCTATTTATTTTCTTATTGGCTCTTGGGTTTTAAGATTGATGCCTCTGCTCTGATCGTACACATTCAAAGTATCAGTGAAAACAACGTATAGGAAGAAACAAGACGGCCTCATTGCGGTCATCACTGGACTTCTATAGAGCAGTTCATTCGCAGCTGTCTGCCTTCTTTCACACGACGCAAGACGTCCAAGTACGTTTTCTCTTCTTTTTCTGTTATCTCATTTTCTCATTACTTTTCTCTCTCTCTCTCTTTCTCTTTTCTCTGTCTGTCTCTCTCTCCCTCTTTACGATAATTTTTTTATCTCTTTTCAAATATACTAAAACAACACTTCTATCACTAATCTTACTTTCTCTATTGATAATGAACATTTTGAAATGCGTTTGATAGTGTTTTCTAGTTTTTTTTGAGCAGTTTCTTCAAAGCTACCAATCGTTGATGGCATGCTTGAAAGTCCGGTTAGCACTTATAACTTGTCTTTTCTAAATCGTTGGAAAGCTGATGCCGAATCGGTACTTATTTCATTGTAGATATGTTGAGGGGACTTTTTTCAAATTATATCATCACAGTGGTAGTGGCAGTATTCGCTTATATATCCTTAACAGTCGAGATCAGCCAAGCAATTTTTACGCCGGGCAAAGAATATATTTATGAATATGAAGCGGTGTCAAGTTCTGGTGTGTTGGTGCCATCAAAAGCGCAGTCGTCTTGGGGCTTTGCCGGATTTTTGATTGTTAAAGCTTACTACGATGAAGTTTTAATACAGGTAATACATGATTGATCTAGGAATGTCGTTGCTTCGAGCCCTATCGTTTAAAAAAAATATCAATAGCCTTACATATTAAATTGTCAAGTTTCAAGATCTAAAAACAAAAGTTTCGAACGGCGCAGATGAGCTTGATATGAAAAAAAGTGGTATAAATGTTGATGGTCCTGCTGTTGATCTCTTAAAGCCATTTAAAATTCAATATAAAAATGGACGAGTAGATAATTTTAGCGTTGAAGCTAATGAAGCAGTGTGGGCAACAAACATTAAACGTAGTCTTGCTGGAATTTTGCAATTAAATTTAAATGCTTTAGAAACACACGCAGCATTCCACTCAACTGAGGTAAGATTTTTAAGTTTTTGATATCCTCTTGGCAGTACTTTGCAAACGTTTAGGCGAAAAAGTGTCGCCTTTATCGATCAACTTCAATATGACTCGCAAGACTCATTTTCATTATATTTTTGACTTTAATAAACTTATCATATTTAGACCTATTTATAAATACATTTACCACGATGATATTTGTAGGTGAATCATTATGGAGAGTGTATTATCGAATATATTATTGTGGTCGAATCAGACAATAAACGTATGATACGGAAATCAGTCGATCCTAGAAAATGTAAAGGTCATTCACATCGAGTTTGGAGTAATGTACCTCATATGCCATGTTCAAACGTCGATCAAGTGATACCATTTAATTCATTAATATATGATACTTATATTATACTTTATTCAATTTTATCAGCTGATATTTTCTTTGCAGAATCCAATATTAAAGTCTAGTGAAAGATTTTATGAAGCCAAAGTCGTAGGTAATAAAACACAATTCTTAAGCATTAATGCTACAGGTGAAATTTACGTTCAACCTTTTCAAAGTTTTGGTGAAGCTCATTTTATGACTTCAAAGTGAGTTGTGCATCAAAGACAGTATTGTTACTATAGTTAAACAATAAACAATTAATACTCACGAAGCTTTTATAATGGCTTGGCTCAGCTTCAAGTTTCGAGCTGTCTCGAGCTTTTCGAGCACAGAGTCAGCTTGAGCTTTCGTTCTTGTACTGACACTTTAAAAACCTTCTTAATTTTTATTCAAATACTCTTAGTCGTGGATTCCGTTCTTTAAATGCTATGTAATTTTCTTTATTAAAAAGCTCGAGTTCGACTTTGTGGAGCTTTAGCTCGAACGCTTGAGCTTTCTTGGCTGAAACAGATTTACTTATACTTGTTTTTTATCATTTAGAAAACAAAATTATCTGTTTGGTTTCAGCCAAAAAATGAGATTGTTATCAGAAAGAGATCACGAAGAAAAAGTACAGACGAATAACTTTCAAATAAAAACTCTTCAACACGATTTGCCAGGGGACGATTTAACTCAAGGAAGAGGGGTGTTGGACAAAGCTTCCATTCTGAAAACTGTAAGAGACGTTTACAAACTTCATACATTGAATTGTTGAATAAAATAAGCACGTTTTGCAGATCAGTGTACTGCTAGATCGTTTGAGTCAACGACTTGAAAATCCTGGACTCGATACAGAAGTTAATAATCTTCACAATACAACTATTTCTGTGTTATTGTACTATCTTGGTATGCTAAATAGAGTAGATTTACAAGCAGCCTACAATAACATATCTGGAACTAGTTACAAAGAAGAAACTGTTAGGTATTTACAATTAGGATGTGACGAAATCGTATACCTTTGTAATAATATAGTTAACTATGAATAAATTTGTAGGAATATGTTTTTAGAAGCACTGCCACAAGTAGGAACAACAGAATCAGCATTGTTTGTTCTAGAGCTTATTCAATCAAGAAGTGTGTCAGATATGACTGCAATTCAACTCTTGACTCATCTTCCTTTTCATGTTCGTCAACCTGATGTTCAACTGCTGTTGGGTTTACAACCATTACTTAATCTTCATAATAAAATTGCTCCTGAAGTTCAACACACTGGGATACTTACATTTGGAACTTTAATCTACAAAACATGTCTTGCTTATTGTCCGTATGAAATGCTTGATGATTATGTCAAATTTTACTTAGATAAATTGACAGGTACATAAATAAACTGGATACCGTTTGTTTAAAATCAATTCTATATGCTAACAGTCATAATTTTTTATCGAAGAAAGCAGAGATTATGAAAAGAAAATGGTATGGCTAGAGGGTTTGTCAAATATTCAGCTTGGTAGAGTTGTGGAATTTCTTGAACCTATTGCAAGTGGAAACAATGGAGAATCCAGGCATTTGAGAGTTCTTGCTGCATGGGCGTCTTTACCAACTGCTCCTCTTCGCCCTGATGTGGTATATTGTTAGATTTTATTGATTTTGTTATTACCTCAAAAACTGCGCTTATTTAGAACGCTGCAGAGGTACACTAGGTACCTGTTTGCATTACTCTTGGTTCTGTATAGTCATTATCATATAGATTTATTTTCCTTACCATTTTTAGCATAAATAAAAATATATCATTATAGATCATTTATTTTACGTGTATTAAATCATTAAAATACATTTTTCTGTTAGATATATCCAGTATATTGGCCTATTCTTACCAACCGAACAGAACATTTAGAGATGCGCATAGCTGCGTTAACGCTACTGATTGTTTCTAATCCATCAGCAAATCGTTTATTATCTTTATATTGGTATCTAAAGTGTGAACCAAACCCACATCTTTACAACTATTTTTATACTACATTGAAATCAGTGGAAAGAACCAAATTTCCGTGTTATGCTAAGATGTTTGTAAAGTTTTTTTTGTAATATCTATCATTTTCCATTTTTAAATATATATAATTTTTTTTATATAGGAGTGGAATTGTAGCGCAATTTGCTAGAATAATGAAAAAGCCGCCTTTCAATCAACACATTCTCACTGGAAACTATATGTTTGATTATCAAGATTCAAAAAGACATTTTGGAGCATTTGTTCAAGGTATACTCATTGCCAATTCCGTAACCAACATTCCAGAAGTAGCTTACATTACTCTAAATAATCATGGTACTGGATTTGATTTGAATCACGTTTCAGTATGTAATTTTGTTGTAATAAATTGATAAAAAGTAATCCATCCATTTGATACTAATATAATTTACAGATATACATCAAAGGTGAAGGAATATTAACTGCCATTTCAACAAATTTGAATGACTTAAGTTTGTCAACTCGTATTGAAGACATTCTCAAGAAATTTAAATTAAAAAGTTTGAATGGCAACCCAGTGCACTTTGAACTTATTGTTAAAATTCAGCAGAAAGCTGTTTTGTGTTTACATCTTAATCAAACAAATCTTGTAGAAGTATTCAAATGTGAGTTTTTAACTTATGGAGTATTGCAACAAAACGAAAAAATGGATCCATCTAAAGATATTTGAGTTTTTTAATTTCTTGCTTTTCAATATAAGCAGTTTAAATAATTCTATTTATTTTAGATATATCAACGTTGAAGGAGAGTACATACCATGTGTACGAAACAATGGAATTCCATGTAAATCAACAAAGAATTCATGTACCATTGACCATGGAGGCAATTCAAGTTACGGATTTGGGCACAAATGTAAGAGTAGCAGTGATTGCTACATCTTTATTTTCAATGAGAGGAAATTTCACTCACATTTTACGTGGTCGAAATAATCATTTTATCTTGAGGTATTTAATTTTGATAACGACATTTTTGTTACCACTAACAATATGAAATTATTATTTTTTTTTTTAGAACATCAATCCATGGAACTGAAATGGTTGAAAATTATAATCCCTTGAGCGATTTTTGGCATGCAGCAGTTAGATCTCAATCTGTTCATGGCTACTTGCCTGTGAATGTAACTTTTGGATTTCACGATACATTATTCCTTTCTTACAATACACCTGAAGAAAAATTCAAAGCTGGTCTCATTGCACACGTTCGAACAATTACAACTATCGTAGGTTTTAAAGTAAAAAATAGATTAAAATATATTTGTCCTAATTGTTCAGTTGTCCATACTGTTAAACGTTTACCGAAACGAGATACTAAGGTAAAATTTTATAAAAAAATTCTTATGACAATTTTTGCAATTAAAATTAATGTTTGTATTCAACGATTTTTTCAGTCCAAAACTATATACGATTTTGAAATTTCTGAGTTAGGAGGAGTATTTGGTCTGAAAACATTCGATTGTGAAGACAGAAGTCCATATGAAGAATCAATTTTAACAGATATTCTATCAACACATCAAAGCAATTGCCAAATATCGCCTATTCTGGAAGTCGTTCTTTTAGGGTTGCATATTTTTGATTACTTGTCTTATGTTCCACCATCAGGAAGTTGTGGTTTAGAAGCATATCTCAAACCAATTAGTGCGCTCTCTTCTGAGGTAAATGCAGTAATTTAATTTTTTTTAATATATGACAAACTGAAATTGTCACTTAATTATTTCATAGGTCAAATTCGAATATACGCAGCGTAATAAAAATTATATATATGCCTTAACACGAAAAAATATCAACACGGCGGAAATACTAAGTCAGTGGAATGTTGCTGTTGCATATGACATCACAAGTTGGCTTTCAGATACATTAAAAATTAAAGCAACTAGAAGCATCACTTCAGAAGACAAAATATTAAAAGTAATAAAAAATCGAATCTTTAAATCAATTTTTGTATAATAGATTTAGAATTAAATTTTTTTAGTTCTGCATTGAAGTAGATAGAGAAACTCCTTGGGATTGGGACTTTTTGAGCACAAAACCAAGTGATCCCACTGAAATGAAACTTCATGCTGTTTGGGGCTTGGCAAATGCAGCAAAAGGAAATTGTCATGGATCCTTACTCGATATAAGTTTGATTGGAGAAATATCTAACGATCAAATCAGAGAAGCCAAAGAAAATATATGGCCTTACAATGAGTGTCAAGAACAAGTACAAGGAAAATATTTTACCCCATTTACTGAAGCTTGCTATGAAGTTTCAAAAGAAATGTCAACTTTGAGGAAGTATAAAGTCACAATTACACATGAAAATGTAATGATAATTTTTTGTTATAATTTTGATATTACTATTAAGATATAATTTGATAATTTTATTACTTTATAGCTTCCTTTAAACTTATTAAAGTTAGGATGGAAATTAAGAGGGTTATATGACTTAGCTGGAGGGAATAGTTATAGGTTCGTTAATGCAAATAAAGTTACAGTCACAACAACTTTTCCAAAAGACTCCAATGTTGCTGAAGTATCAGTCAATGGTGAAAAAATATACACAGAATTTAATGCTAATTTAGTTGATAACATTTTAATTCGAAGTAGATTGCATAAATACATCAATAGTGCATTCTTGAAATCATTTTTCAGTGGGTATTTTACAACTGAACTAGACGTTTAACAATTGAACTAGTTGTTTGTGAAATCTAAATTTGCTTTAATTTTTAATAGGTACATGTACTCTGACACCTCAAGTTATCATTTCTTCCAAGAACATTTCTAATACTTATGTAATAGATTCAGAAATGTTAATGTTTGCTCGATGTGACTACAAAAATCCAAAATTTGCATTGACTGCAATAAATAGAGGAAGTTTTATTGAACTGACTTTTGATGATGAGACTGATAGAATAACTCTAAGTCTTGATGGCCAAAAGAGTGTAGTACACAACCATACAATTCCTGTACCAATGTCAAGAAATTTTGAGTTTTCTTACATTGGATCAAAATGGTAATGTATAAATTCTTTAGCACATGCAGCTGTAGTAACAAAAATGCATGTATTAAATAGAATTCTTTTAGAGCATTTTATGATATAATCACAAAATAAGCAGATCTTTGAGTTTATTTATTCATTAATTCATATAAAAAATTAATTACACAAGTTTTCAATTTACTAAAGATGCATTTTTTGTTAATTATTTGTAAATGTACTTAGAAAATTTACATTGTTAGAGCTTCTAAAATCTTAATTATATTTTCTATGAATTGATAGAATATTTCAATTACCTAACAAGTAACAATATTTTTAATACTAGGATCAGGATGGATAAACAAAGGGTTGACTTAATTTATGCAGAAATTCTACTTTATGTTCATTGGTCTCCTGATCAAATTCTCTTATTTTACCCTAATTATATCGAAGAATTTGTATGTGGATATTGTACATTGCAAGATAATAATGCAGGAAACTTCTACGAAAAACTATAGTATTGAGCATTTAATTTGTCATTGTGACTATAATAGATTATTATGTCAATGTATTACGAAGTGGTTAATGTGCATTTAAGAGTATCTTATTATAAATACTTGCTTACAATAAACAGTAATATTGACAAATATGCATTAATTACATTTAATAATTTTTTGGATTGATTCTGTTTCTTGTATAATTAAGTAGCCTTACTCGCGATCACCAAACTAACCTACAACACTTTCAATCACAGTCTGTATACATACATGTAAAAATTGATTCAAAGCATTTTTAAAATAATGGTATTTATTTTTGATTACTAATTTCTATAAGATTGTATTTTTTATAAGTAAAGTATTGGGGAGCAATTGAAATGAGGCAAACTGCTCTTACTACTTCTATGACTACAGCAATATCAGGATTTTTCAAATTAACTTTGTTTCCTGGATTTTTCTTTGAAATTATTTGTGCTAAATCTTCAATAACATCTAGGCGATTTAAATTGCTATTACTGTGTCTGCTTTAATAAAAGAAATAATAAATATTAGAAATAACAAATAAACATATTTTTAACAATCATCTTTCAACTTACTTAAATACTATACTAAAAGTTTTTGGTTCTTGAGCAAAATATTTTTCAAAGAGAACCTCAGCTTTAGACTTTATATCATCTAAGTAAGCTTTACAAACCACTTGAACTGGTAGCATTCTTAAAAGATATCTAGACTTTTGTTTTTTATTTTTATGAATGTCTTCAATAATAGCAGTTGAAAGTTTTAAGGTATCAGAAACTGTGGTTTTAATAAAAACAACATTGCTTACACCAGTATCAACAACCTAAAATACAGTTTTAATTTTTAATCTATGAACAAAAAAAAGAAATAAAACTTTAAGTATACTTGCTTGGAATTTTTTCTGTAATGGTGATTGTAAAGCTTCTGCTTTTAATTCATCCAGTTCTTTGTTCAAAGTAGCAGAGATATCTTCATCTTCGCTTTCTACATTTTCATCTTCATTGACTTTATTTTCCTCTTTATTTTCTTCATATTTATCTTTACTCCTTTCATTTTCATTTTGTTTAGCTTCTTCCTTTTTTATTGGTATTTCATTTGGTTCTACCTTATTGTCTTCGTTATTTTGAACACTAGTGACTTCCATAGAATTATTTATATCTGCTATCTATTGATCATTAACAATTTCATTTTAATACAACTATATCTCACATAAATGATTATATCTTACTTGTTTTGTGTCTATTCCATAAACTTTGTCAGCATATTCATTCAATATATTGTAAGCTTCACGGACGCAGTCTTTCTCACGGAAATTACAAGTACACAGGAAACCTTTCATGCCAGATTCTAAAGTTAAATGTTTTCGTTTTTTAAAGTCACTTCCTTGATTAGAAAAATAATTTTTTCTTTTCTTTTTTATATCCATTTGAAAAATATCACTGATTATATTAAGAGGATTTGTGACTGTTATGTATATCGGATTCCAGGTTAGGAATGCATGAATTAATAACAATAAGAATATTTATCTAATTCAACGAAGCTGTAACTATAAAAAACTCATAAATGATTCTCCTAATAGTTCTGACATCTATTTAACTATATTTATAATAACTTATTGTTTAAATACAGTATAAAAAGTTAAATAAATTTAATGCTGATTTATGCTGACAACACGATTGCAGTATTGTACCAGATTTTAATTTGACTCCCGTTCTCAGATCGCATTACGCATGCGTACAGAAAGGTATAATTCTAATTAACAAATATGAAATCGTAATATTATTATAATTTATAATTCTAAAGTAATGATCAAATTTTTTATAGCACCTCGTTTGTACAAAGAACTATATAAACCTTACAATATTAGAGTTATATATAATTCACATTTAATTTTGTTCTGAAAATAATTTAAGCAGATCATTTGAAAAAGAAAATGGTCTGAGCAGTTGCTACAATCTTAGTCTCTATATCTATGACAATTGATTAATTATAATTTTATTTAAAAATGTATAGAATGAAAACCTTAACGTTCAGTTTTTGAGCAATATACTCGTGTGTGAGTAATTATTAGGCTTGATATTTTTGAATTTTGCACTCAAAAAATTATATTTGATTGTTGATAGTGCAATAACTTTGGCTTGTGAAAGCATTCTTCACTGATGCTGTGTCTACAATAGCATGTAAAAAGCATACGCATAAATCAAATTGACGGTCACGTAACCTTATTTTTCATTTTTCTTGAGATGTGCTCCTGAAGTAAACAAATTTTTTAGAAGGATAAATTTAAAATTAATGATTTTTTTCATTTAAGCTGTGTTTACGAAAAAAAAAATTAGACAAACGGTTATATGACCGTCATCTCGATGTTTACACATATGCTTTACATGCTATTGTGGAGTGTGGATGCAGGGTAATAAGAAATGGCGTTTCAGTCAGACTTTAGACTTTCAAGGTTGTCAAGTGTCAAGAGAAAGTGTCATGCAAAGTTTATTATAACGTAATTTGATTGAACGTAATTTCTTTTCTACATTTCGACAGAATTAAGGTATTATATGTTTGTCAAACGGTATTTTTTTGATATTAAAAAGCAATCGATCATCAAGTAATGTCATTCTGTGCATGCGCAAAAACATTTTTTGCATTCGATGCGTACATTTTCAATGACATACGAAAATCTACATGTTGATTTCTTTGTTTGCTTGGAATTTAATCTGTCGTTTTGGCTTTGGAGCACTAGTAGGAGTCAGCTGATACTCTTGCTTTGTAAATATTTTGAACAATGGGAATCGACTAAATTCTAAAATTATCCGACTAACGTATACTTTTGAAAAGGTAAAATTATTGCTTGTTTTTTACATGCTTCTTTTGATAACAGTTTACATTAACGACAATTTCTAAAACGCAAAAAAGTTTTTTTTCTTTTTACAGTAAATAGCAAAATTTGTTATAAATTATATACAATAAATATACAAAAATGCTTGTGTTTATGTTGATGTTAGTTATACTGCTTTTCTATTAATACTTATTTACGTCTCGTTTATGACACAAGTTCTCTCTTTGTTTATTCAATGAAGCGTACTTTTACACATATGCTTAAAAATTTATTATTAATTCAGATATAAAAACTGATGGTATTGCTTGTGAAAATAATTTTATCTTGTGGTATTGTTAAAATTTATTTTAACTTATAACATTGATATATTTTGAAGTTTGCGTAATAGTAGTTATTTATACAATATGGTAAATTCTAAAAAAGTTAGTAAGTTTTTAGAATTTAAGTATTTATATGTAGGTGCTTTGTATATATTTGTTTTAGAAATAGGTTGAGCATAAGATACATTATATATATGGAAAATTTTTATTATATATACATACATATAAATAAAAAGTGAAACATTATATGTTGATCAATTTTGGCTGTTTATTACATTTGTTTGTTCAAATGCATAATTAGGACAAGCAAAATAGTCATGTAATTTTGCCAAGGTAAATTGAAATTTGAAATATTAAATTAAGAATCAGTTAAATATTTTTAAAATGATTTTTTTATATAAAATAATTTGAATAATGTTTTAATAAATGATAATACAAATCTTTCATTATTTTAAATTTGTTGGTGCAATACATAAACACAATAAATATTTATTCTGCATTTATAATATAATCCTTGTGTAAATCATTATCGATATAGGTATTCCCTTGATAAAAATGAGTAACAAAAAATTTAAATGTATTTTTTATATAAATTTGTACTTGTAATAAATGTACATAAATAAATAATAAATAACGGAATTATTTTCATTTTGCAGAAATGGAGTCCTTTTTAGATTTATTTGACACAGGAGAAAACAAACCAAGAAGAAAAAAATCTTGGAATGAATCTGATAATGAAGACACATTTGATTTTAGTAATAGTACTAATAACGACAATGAAGACAGGCTACCTCCAGAACCTGAACAAGGAAATATAGAGTACAAATTAAAGTTGATTAATCCATCAAGTCAAAGGTTTGAACATTTGGTAACTCAAATGAAATGGCGTCTACAAGAAGGTCATGGAGAAGCTATTTATCAAATTGGTAAGTCAAAGAATTGACAGGTATTAATCCAATATCATTGATTTTGTTGTTTTTATTCATAGGTGTAGAAGATAATGGAAAACTAGCTGGCTTATCAAAAGAAGATATGAAAGCTTCTTTAAAAACCTTACGAGATATGGCTACTAGATTAGGTGCAACAATAACTGTTCTTAGAGAGCGAACAGCTCATAGAAATTACACAAATAAGGATTCAAAAACTAATAATAATAAAAATAAAGAGAAAAAAGTAGCTGAAGTTTTAATTCGTAAGGTGAGAAAAGATGATAGAGATGAAGAAAGTGTGATTGATTTACGATTAGCAGTGATGGGTGGTCAAGATGCGGGAAAATCAACATTACTAGGTAAACATTAAGTGGAAAAAGTTGTGACTTTTTACAAATATTTGTTTATACTTATAGGGGTTTTAACACAAGGAGAACTGGACAATGGTAGAGGGAGATCAAGATTAAATATGCTCCGCCATTTACATGAAATAAAGTCAGGGAGAACATCATCCATTTCTCATGAAATTATTGGTTTTGATAATGAAGGTCATGTATTAAATTACGCAGAAATGACTACTGCAGAAGAAATTTGTGAACATGCTTCAAAAGTTGTGACTTTTATAGATTTAGCAGGACATCGAAAATATTTGAGAACGACATTGCTAGGACTAACGGGTAATATTGACGGCATAAAAAAATTTTCATGATTTCGTTCTCTCTCTAATAAGAATAAATTATTCAATATTACAGGTTATTCCCCACACTATGTCATGTTGGTTGTTGCACCACCTGTTAATGAAGTAGTGCAAGAGCATGTAGCATTGTGTTTAGTTTTGCGTCTGCCATTGTTTGTTGTAGTTACAAAAATTGATTTAGGATACTCTGACCCTCGTGATACTCTAGCTCATTTAGAAAACATTGCAAGGTTACAAGGGTGTGATAAAAAATTTGTTCTTCATAACGACAATGGAGATATTCAAAACAACGATCCCGACGTGATATCAGTGTTTCCAGTTAGTTGTGTAACAGGCGAAGGTTTAGATAAGCTAACAAAATTCATTCGAGATTTATCCCCTATAGAATCTGCATCACCAGGTTCAGATTCCAATTCTTGTTTGTTTCAAATAGATGAAACTTTTCGGTACGCCTTATTCATTTTTTCAAAACGATTCAGTGTTAATTTTTAAAATTGCATTTTCACTTTTCTTTATAGGGTAGCTGGCTCTACAGAACCTGTGTTAGGTGGATTACTAGTGAAAGGAGTGATTGCTTTAGGGACACGACTACTTGTTGGTCCATCTCAAAATGGAGAATTCAGTCCTGTAAAAGTCGTCAGTTTACATCGTAATAAGGCGCCTTGCTGCCTTGTAAGATCTTCGCAAAGTGCTAGTTTAACACTTGCTCCTCCAACAAAAAGAGATCCTCCTTTACCTCATTTACGACCTGGAATGGTTCTAGTCTCTATTGGAGATCATCCTCGTGCAACCCTTTTCTTTCAAGTACGTATGCACTACATTATTTTTTAAATAATTAAATAAGAATGGTCGTAGTCCGGGACTGCCATAACGAAAGATACTTAAATTTTATTGTATTTTAATTATTTTGAATCATAATATTTTCCGACAAATTTACATAAAAGCTATTTTGGTTTTATTTTAAATGTATGTACCTATAATTTTTAGTATACATTTTTTTAAATAAAAATAAGATATATTTGTCATTCAAAACTAATTTTATATCGTCATGTTACAATCATTCGGTGGTAGTATGTACATTTTGCATAAACTTATTTCTTTTATACATATATGTTGTTGATAAAATTTGGATGTATGTATGGACAAATGAAACCAAAAATAATATAACTAACAATAATTGTCTTTGTCGTAGTATATTATAATAATTTTCTTGTACGTTTTATACAATAATGAAACTAAATTTCTGTAAATAATATTTTATAATTGTAATTTTTCAATTGGTAAATTCGGTAATAGTGAGATTGTCCGATTCCAAAAGTGAAACAACATGTTTGTAATAACTGGAATAAGAAATATACGTTATAGACTGTAATATGTTTAAATATTTGGAAAAAACTACAATTATTGTATCCTAATTAGTAGTACATTTAAATGGATCATTATTCATTTTTAATTAAAAACTGTATCAATTGTTGGGCTTGCTCAGATGCCAAATTTATATTAAAAGTTTCTAATAAAATAGTAGAAATTTCGTGCAAATTGCTTTCTCTTATAAAAAAGTTGTTTACAAATTATTAATTGTATATGAAGGAATCTGATGACATTTTCAAGGACGTTAAGCAGCGCAAATATCATGAACACTTGTTTTACTAATTCCAATTTCTACAATACGTCTTAAAACTATTTCACACTCGAAGTTACTATATTAGTTATACTTGTATTTTTATAAATCGCGACTCCACTTGACCTACTATTTCCTCGTTTGTATTGTTGATATTTTCGAGTCGAAATTGCCTTTATGTCAATATAATGTTTTTTTTAATTGCTTGCTTCTCATAAACTCATTATATTATTTAGAAATATTATTTTTCAGGCGACTGTGATAGTTGTGTATCATGCTACTGCAATCTATCCAGGATTTCAGGCTACTATTCACATTGACAATGTGAGACAAACTTGTATAATTGAAGGAATAATGGATATTAAAGAAGGTGGATTGCAAACAAACGATACTGCATCAGTATTGTTTCGTTTTCTCAATCATCCTGAATACTTACACGTTGATATGCGACTTTTGTTGCGGGAAGGACGTACGAAAGCCATAGGAAAAATAACACAAATTTTTCCTTTAGTTAATTCACAGAACGGCGAAGAATAAACTGTTGAGCATGAGCTAAATTTATAACGAGTATAAATTTACAATCTTATTGACGGTATTATCATATTATTCTTATATTATTATTATTATTAATAATAATAATAAATGCTTAATTAATTAATTAATTAATAATTATTATTAATAATAATTATTAATTATTATTAATTATTAATTATTATTAATAATTAATAATAACTTCTTCTACTTATATTATTTTGTTAACAAGTAACAATAGTGCTGTGGAATTTTAAATATCTTTTCTTTAAATTACAAAAAAAAACTATTTTTCAACCAACTCATGAGTCTTGATGTGTCTTGATACTTACAAACATATTTATTCAATCATGAAAAACTTATGCAAATGTATAAATACAATAGTATAATTTATAATTATTATTATTATTTAGAAAAACTAGTATCATATGTAAGCAATCATAATTGAATGATCCCGCTTGGAGAAACGCAAATGAGATCTTTAAAAAATAGAAATTTCATAAGATTTCTTATATGGGATCTCTAAAAAAATTACATATATTTTTGAAAATGGAACATTTTCATTGAAAACTTAACATTAGATATATATTTTTAAATATATAATAAAAAATAAAAACGAATGTAAAAATTTAATTTATTTTTACTATTATTGATATAATTGATTTCTCATATGAAATCTCATGTAGGGAATCTTTTAAAATTAAATGTTTTTTTTATCCCATGTGAATGGGTTTTTTTCAAGCGGTATAATTGTAACTTAATTCGAGTTGTACATAAGACCAAGTATTAAAATTATTTCTAGAAACCCGTTATATATATAAAATAAAAATATGACCACATTATGTGAGTGAATTGATAATCGTAAAAAATATCTTTATTTCATAAATATATGATATTTATTTTGAAAATGGATAATTTTTGTAAAATATTTTACATTAAAATAAACAGTGTACAATAGTATTACAAATGTTTATGTCTACACTTATTTTCTATTTAGCATAGACATATAAGCTGAACGTAATTCCAACAATCATTAGCAAAAATTTGAATACGTTTAGTAATAAACAATTATAAAGCATATATATTACAAAATAATTGGGGTAAATCTGAGAATAATAAGCTTTAACTACAATTATATAACCACTTTCCTCAAATAAATCCCTTAAATAGTCGTAATTAAAAGAATGTCGTATAATATACATTCTAATTTGTTCATTGTATTATTTATTCTAATTTATTCATTTCGTGATGCTAAAGATATCTGAAACTATAAATTGCATTATCACCAGAGCTAATCGTGACACCCTTTACTTTTCCATGTATTGGTTATTCTTTTTTAAGGAATTTCGAGCTTTACAGAGTTTTGAAAACTATAATACTGCATAAATCTCATTGCTAACCAAATAGAAACATTACACATTTCAGTAAAAATTATGTTTTAAAATTTCTGCATAATAAGTCAAGATATATTTGAAGCCGTAAAATTCCAATTTGAATCCAGATTGACGCTAGCTTTTGTCATTCTTCATTACATTTCAGTATGCCATGAAAATTAACGTTTTCATTTCTATTGATGTCACTACTGTGTGCAAAAGATCTTATTATTTTTAGAGGAGCCACTCTTTATCCTGAATATTCGGTGCGATCGTTATTTGAACATTGGAAAAAACGGTGCCGAATTATGGTACCTTTTTGGCGGTATATCTCTCATGTATTTAATGATCAATAAGAAATGCCGTAGGAATTACAAAATATATCAAATGTGATTCTTAATGCCATAAATATTGACAAGGAAATCAATATTACAATTAAGGAGACTTTCAAAACCAATGGTCACATAAGTTTTACCTGGTCCACCTGAAAGAATAGTAGGATGAGCTCCCATCCCATTAGTATGTTGATCAAGGATTTCGATTTTTGTAATCATAGTTTGGCCATTGCTAGCGTAAGTTAATTTTTCCGTGACCCATCGAAGGAAGTGCCAATCCACTTGAACGTGCTTTGTCGCGAGAAGAGTGTCGCCTTCCTTTCGATCACCCACTATCAGATCATTGCTTGCTGCACTTGCATATTGAAAGAGACTCAGCATCAGTGCACAGCACAATATTTTGACAGCAAAGTGCATCTTTAGTATGATTTTCTGCAACAATTCAATCGTTTTCATATAAAAGAAAAAATCTCGCAATAGAAATACAGCGTAAAATATTTATTGTGTAAAACGCTACGAACGATTATTTGAAAAACGTTTGTCGGCTTATATCGAAGTCGAATTCTACAACACTGACATTTTTTAAGTCGTCATAATGGGAATTAACTCTGCAGGAAATTACGCACAAGCGATATCAAAATTCATGTCGCACACTAGCAAAAACACAACCGCTTCACTACAATCGCAATACGTAGATTGATCAAAGCGTCTTATTATCGCAAACCGTAGGCTAAAGTTTTTTCGATGATAATATTTGAATAGTTGCTCTAATTTCAGTTTACAAACGAAGTCAGTGTACGAGTGCGCGTGCACTTTTTTAATCCAAACATTTGATACCTCGGTTAAAATGTTTGTCCATTTCAATTTTTTATAATTTTTTTCATTAGTGATTAAGAATAGTTGCATGAGAAAAAGCTACCTATTTTGAAGTATAGAATTGCAATACCTGCTATAAACGTAAAGCATCTTTTGTCTATATATTGCGGTGGACTATACTATGCATTGATTTAAATTTGGCGGAGTTATCACACCGCTGTCGGTAAAACGAGGATAATTTGAAATAATATTATATATGTATGCCTATTGCCTGCGCGGGTTATGTTAGGGTCTGTCTCCATAGGGCCTGTCCGAGCCGGCCGAGATTTTTTATGGGCACGCCATCTCTATAATTTCGTGTTCAATGGCGAGTTTCATAGTGAATGCGAGAAACGCATCTATGGAGTGGCAGTACCCGTGGTTTGAAGTTTCCTGTCTGGCTGTCTCTATGCTCTGGCTATCCTCCATGTTCCTGCTCCAATTTTCATTCGGTAAGTTCGTAATTAATAATAATTCGTAAATAATTCCTACTTTTATTTTCATAAAATTGCAAGTTTCATAATCCCTTTTTAGAGTCATATGCACGAAGAGTTAGGCTTTCGAAATCCGTCAACTGTCAAATGATAAGTAGTAGCAGCAGCAGCAGTAGTAGTTGTAGTAGCAGTAGTAGCTGAGGGCAGGTGGTAGGTGAGAGAATCACAATGGCAGCCGAAATCAAGCCCGCGCCCGGGATGAACCAGGACAAGTTCAGCTCCAAGAAGCCTATACTTCTGTCGAAGCTCGAAGGTTGCAATGACGACGTCAATGCCGCCGTTATCATTCCCAGGGTTGACGGCGTCATCAGCGTCTGCGACGACAGGTCAGACTCACTTTTCTATTGTGTTTGCAATGCTTCTGATACTCGATGCATATCTATATGATGTATATACGATTAATTTATTTACATCGCATGCTTCTAGCTCGACTCTTATTGGACTCATTGTTTATAATGCAAATAGCAATCGTACAGTCACTTGCATCTTTTGTTAGACTTTTTTCAGACTATTTTTTGCATTGTACATATTTTTTACTCCTATTTTTTCATGTAATATATAATTTAATTAAATTATAGGTAAAACAGCAAGCTTTTTGTTATAAGTAAATAATAATTGTATGACACCTGAACAATCTTTCTTTATCTGCAAGTTCTTAGATAGGATGATTCAGACTGATTGCTTTATCTATCTGGCCTTTAAGCAATGTTTTGCTGTATTTTAGTTATGAATAAATTTTCTAATTACTATTGCAGAACTGTCAGAGTTTGGTTGAAACGTGACTCAGGACAATACTGGCCAAGCGTATGCATGTACATGGTTGCAGCACCAATCTCTCTTGATTTTTGTCCTGAAACCAGACAGCTGTTTGTTGGATTAGATAATGGTAGTATAAATGTATTTATCAAGATCAAATTCATTTATAATTTTTTCAAAAATTGTGAATCAAACGAATTTTTGGTTTTGTAGGAGTTTTTATTGGAAAGCGATTACAATCGTATGACAGCCATTCGAGAATACATGGCTCATCAAGCAAGAGTTGCTGCAGTAGTTTTTTCTTTGAGCTGTGAATGGGTACTTAGTATAGGTAGAGACAAATTGTTCCAGTTCCACAGTACTGAAAATGGAAAGGATCACATCAAATAATATGTTCAATAATCCAAAAGGTAACGTCTACAAAAAGTTGCTGTACCACATGCATGGAACATACACCTACAACATGGTGAGCATTATTAAAAATTTATAATAAAAAAACCTTTTGTTTTTCATAGTATATATATATATATATATTTATATGTAAACAATGAAATAACAAAACTATAAGAATTAAAGGTTATAAATGCACGTTTTTTTATTCAATATTTTTCTTAAATTCTACAATGTACAAAATTATTTCCTTCGTACATTGGTATTTTCTTGATTCTGGTATTTTACTGTAACCAGATGTAATTAATTTTAAAAATGGTTCAATTTCTGGCATTCGATCAGTCGTGGTAGTTGCTACATTATTTTGTATTATTTTCATCAATTTTACGCTTTCATCAATGGTTTTTTGTAAGTCATCGCCATCATCTACTTTTCGTTTCCGACAAAATTTATTGGTGATTTCAGATTTTGTTATAAACTCCACGTCGTCTGAAGAAATTTGTAGTTCATGACTCAGATATGGATCAAGCCAACTCATCTCATTATACAATTCCCAGGTCACTTCGGGTTTTCTTTCTGATCCAGATGGCTGGTATTTGCGTTTTTTTGCTTTTTCTCCTTTGAATTTTTTTACTAAATAGAACCATCTCGCTTCAATCTCTTTTTCTATTATTGATTAATGAATATTATATATACATATATATATTTTTTTATTTAAAATAAAGATTTATAGTGTATGAATTTCACCTGTAATGTGCACTTCGTATAGTTGATAAATCGCTTGGGAAATAGTTTCGAAAACTTGTGTTCGTTGCGATCTAAATTCAGTATAATATTTGTCATTCGACTTATCGTAAATAAAATTGTTTGGTTTCACCATTTGTATGATAACTTCATCAAGTAGTATATCTTTTTCAGTGTTTCCACTCATTTTTTATTTATGGCAAATTCAATCGAAGAACTATTGTCAATTTGAGGTTATCGGAACTGCTTTGCTACGCATTTAATTTTGAATAAGGATATACATCCATTTTCACCTCGTACAACGTACATTGAGTGTTGTGCTACACCTGAATTTGAGGTTATCCGACCTGCTTTGCTGCACATTCATTTTCATAAATATCTAAAATTAAAACTAATGTATTTGTTACTAAATACTTAAAACTAATATACCATTTGTTTTTTTGTTTTTTTCAAGTTTCTACACAATATGGAGGAGTCTTTTGGAAGAAATATAAATCTCGATAAAAAAATTTGTGTTTATTTGAAAAATTATTCATGTTTGTATGATAAAACACATGAAAACTATTATTTAATAAAAGTCAAAGATAAGGCTTTCAATGAAATAGCTGCTAAAATTAATTCTGACAAAGAGTTAAATGTCCTATTGACTGGTAAGTTATCATTTATATTATTATAGTATTTTTTTATATACAGAGAGTGAAAATACATTAACTGCATTTACTTTTGTTTTAGGTGCTATTGTAAGAAAGGAATGGGAAAATATAAGAAGGACTTTTGTTAGAAAATTTAACAAACCTCATTTAAGCAAGTACTACTTATACAATGAACTTCAATTTCTCATCCCTCACGTCATGAAAAAATACCAGTGTTTGGGATCAACAGAAAGTGATGAGCCGTCAACATCAAAAACTCAAGATATTGAAGTATGTAGTGAAAAGAATGATAAAATCATTCCACCAGTAAGCCAATGTTACTTTAATAAGAAAACTCATCTCGAAGAATTAGAAATGAAAGTTTTAAAAAATACAAGTACAGCTATGGAAAATATAAACATTTTAATGAAGGATAGTGATAATGAAGAGATTAAAGATAATTTTGTACTATGTATACAGCAAAGTTTGCAGTATGTCCCATCAACCCATGTGTTGGAATGTGTTAATGGGATATTAACTATTATGGATAAGTTTATGATATCTAATGAAGAATAAATATTAAAAATAAAGACTAACTGCTCTTATTTCTTTAATATATTTATTTTCTCAACTCATTTATATTGATTATTAGTAGTTTCATGTTTGAAAGATCCTGACATAAACCGTATTACAATATAAAAAAATATTTAAATATTATAAAGAACGTATATAATAAAAACGATTAATTTTTCTTTAAAAAACCATTCAATTCAGAATAAGTTATATTTATTAGTTACTATTTGGAAAACCTTTAACTATACACCTTTACAAAAAAGATAAATCTGAATGGCATTTACACGCATATGAACTTCTCCACCTCCTTGAGGATAATATCCTTTTCTTATAAACATCAAGCTCAAAGTTTCCACCAAATCTGTTCAACAGAGGTCTAAAAACATACTTAAATACTCTATATGAGGGCCAAAAGGTACATTAGTTCCTCCTTTGAGAATATAAGTTGCTGCCCTAGATGAAAATAGAGCACAAGGTAAAGTAACTTGAATGAGCAAACCAATACATCCAGCTGTTCTGGTGTCTACTATAAATTCTTGTTTTTTATTAAGAAAGGTCTCTTGGTATGAAAGTTAAGCAGGTTGAGCCTATTGCAGCTCCATGCACTTCAGCGTTACACATTTCTTTTAAAAATTTGACTCCTTCAAGATGCTGAGCTGACAAACCTGGTTTTGGACGACCTGCTCTTATGTTGCTAATCTCAATAGGAATTTTATAGAGTGCACTCAAACATAATGAAATTCGTAGCACTTGACCTCCTCCTTCACCGAGACTACCGTCGAGTTTTATTATTTTAATGATTGATTACATTCAGGTGAGTTGGCCACAGACTGCGGTATCAATTGCTTTGATGCAAAGACCATCTATTTATTGTAGCATTATTTGATATGCGATTATCGTCCTCAATCGTGCCCAGGACTACATGTGCTTCCTCTAATTGTATTAATTTCTTGCATTATCTTTTTTAATACTAATCTATGGCTCATCATATTGATGTCAATGTCAATTATACCTTCATTCTCGTTGGAAAACCACAGAATGAAATTATGACTTCTCATATTTTCCAAATTGAGATTGACAACACGAAAAGCTACTGGTACGTAGCGACGAAAATCATTTTGCATGATGTACTGAATGGTGAATTTCATTTTCACGTTAAGTTTTTCTTCTTCAAATGGCTTTGAATGTAAAACATTTTTCACAGATAGGTTATTCATTATTAAAGAATACTTTCTGGCATTCGATCAGTCTTCGTAGTTGCTACATTATTTTGTATTATTTTCATCAATTTTACGCTTTCATCAATGGCTTTTTGTAAGTCATCGCCATCATCTACTTTTCGTTTCCGACAAAATTTATCGGTGATTTCTGATTTTGTTATAAACTCCACATCGTCTGAAGAAATTTGCGGTTCATGACTCAGATATGGATCAAGCCAACACATCTCATTATACAATTCCCAGGTCACTTCGGGTTTTCTTTCTGATCCAGATGGCTGGTATTTGCGTTTTTTTGCTTTTTCTCCTTTGAATTTTTTTACTAAATACAGCCATGTCGCTTCAATCTCTTTTTCTATTATTGATTAATGAATATTATATATACATATATATATTTTTTTATTTAAAATAAAGATTTATAGTGTATGAATTTCACCTGTAATGTGCACTTCGTATAGTTGATAAATCGCTTGGGAAATAGTTTCGAAAACTTGTGTTCGTTGCGATCTAAATTCAGTATAGTATTTATCATTCGACTTATCGTAAATAAAATTATTTGGTTTCACGATTTGTATGATAACTTCATCAAGTAGTATATCTTTTTCAGTGTTTCCACTCATTTTTTATTTATGGCAAATTGAATCGAAGAACTATTGTCAATTTGAGGTTATCGGAACTGCTTTGCTACGCATTCATTTTCATAAATATCTAAAATTAAGACTAATGTATTTGTTACTAAATACTTAAAACTAATATACCATTTGTTTTTTTGTTTTTTTCAAGTTTCTACACAATATGGAGGAGTCAATCGATCAGAATCAATCGGAATTTATTTCTTTATAAAAACTGCCTTCTTATTTCTATTTTGTTAATATAGATTATTTATCTTTAAATATAATTATTTTGCCAGGGAACAGCTCCCTCATTGCTGAAATATTCTGCCAAGTTTTGCCGAATAAAAATAGGGTTTCGCATAACATTCTGATTAATTTGCCTATCTAAGTGTCTAAAATCGTCATCAACGTTGATTACATTTTTCGTAATTAAAAAATTATGTAACACTAAACAAGCGCTTATAATTAATTTATTCTTATCTAAATTATGAGCTAAAGCACTATTCAATAACTGAAATTTTGCACAAAGTATTCCAAATGCACGTTCTATAGTGAATCTGGCTCGGCTCAATCTATAATTAAAAATTCTTTCTTGATTTGACTGCAGCAATCTTCTATTGTACGGTTTCATCAAGTTAAATCCCAAACCAAAAATCTCGTCAGCGACTATTACGAAAGGTGATGATCTGTCACTGTTAGGCAACTTTGTTGGAGCAGGTAAGTTCAATTCATTGTTCAAAATTTTGTTATAAAAATTAGTATTTTGAAAGACACTGGAGTCGCTGAACGAACCTACAACATAAAGAAATTATTACATATAAATTAATTAAATTACTCTGTCTTTATTGTTTTAAAAAATTTATTCTTACCACCATCACCAAGGGTGAACCAAACAAATCTACTTTGTGCATCGCTGATTGCTATCAAAACTAAACTATGAAATTTTTTGTAGTTATAAAAAACACTTCCAGCATGAGCTGGTCTTTTTATTCGCATGTGCTTCCCGTCTAGAGCTCCAACACAATTCGGAAAATTCCATCTGTCTTCAAATTCCTGGGCAATACGTAACCAATCCCGTTCGTTGGGAAATTTCACGTAAATTGGCAGCAGAACTGAAGTAATAACGTAGCACGTTTCGTGTATGATTTTAAAAAATGTAGCTTTTCCAATTCGGTAGTGCGCGCAATAAGTTAAAGCATTTCCTCCTTGAACGAAATAACTGAAATTTTAATAAAAATTAATATTTATTTTTATTATGAGATGAAAATACTTGACATAATTGTATATAAATAGTTACTGTATTGTTATAGCCAGTCGAATATATGCAGAAATTGGCTCTCTAATATGATACTGCTTCTGCAACTGATCAGCAATTAACGTATACAACTCTTGAAAATTGCCTGGTGTCATCTTAAATTGATTTGTAAACTCTTCGTGATCATTGATTTGTAAATATTGGCATACTGTAGCAAATGCTCCTATAATATTCCTTATTCTCGGTACGATATGTGGCTTCACCCACCATCTCCGCAAGGCCTTCTTCTTTTTTTTTATAACTTTTAATGTTTTAAGCGAAACAAGTATAACCTGCATTAATGTCCAAATTCTCATAACTTTTCGTTCATCTAGTCTCATAATTAAAATCTGTAAAAATAAAAATATTTATTATAAATTCAGCGAATAAACACAAAGTTTAGAATAAAAAATAATTGTATATAACTTTTTTATGAAAAATAATGAGTAAAAATATATAGCGTATGCAATGCTCAGTTGTACCGCCTATGTTGCACGTTAATGGGTTATGATCCAATGAAAAGCCGAGATTGGTGATTTTATTTTCTTTGTTTCAGGACGCGTGCATGCCCACTACAGTGTGCATTGAACCTTCATTGTGTCAAGGCAGTTTTTATAAAGAAATAAATTCCGATTGATTCTGACCGAAAGTATTCTTTAATAATGAATAACCTATCTGTGAAAAATGTTTTACATTCAAAGCCATTTGAAGAAGAAAAACTTAACGTGAAAATGAAATTCACCATTCAGTACATCATGCAAAATGATTTTCGTCGCTACGTACCAGTAGCTTTTCGTGTTGTCAATCTCAATTTGGAAAATATGAGAAGTCATAATTTCATTCTGTGGTTTTCCAACGAGAATGAAGGTATAATTGACATTGACATCAATATGATGAGCCATAGATTAGTATTAAAAAAGATAATGCAAGAAATTAATACAATTGGAGGAAGCACATGTAGAGTCCTGGGCACGATTGAGGACGATAATCGCATATCAAATAATGCTACAACAAATAGATGGTCTTTGCATCAAAGCAATTTATACCGCAGTCTGTGGCCAACTCACCTGAATGTAATTAATGTTCCCTTGAGAAAATTGAGGGCATTCTTGAGGGAACTTAAATCGTCTTCAACTCCTATTGCGACAAAGGAGCTCGTTGAAAAATGGCATGCTGCATGTTTCACCAGTAGACACCTGTGGGATGATGCCAAAAATATTATTCGAGATGTTAGGTTGTTTTCTCACGTTTAAACATCTGATAATGATTTAACATATGATTATTAATAAATTTAAAATAATAAAATAAAACCTCTTGTAGTTGATTATTTCTAACCTATCTAACCTTTTCATGTTATGCATCTTATTGCTTGGTCTTGACACTATAAATTTTGTCGGAAACGAAAAGTAGATGATGGCGATGGCTTACAAAAAGCCATTGATGAAAGCGTGAAATTGATGAAAATAATACAAAATAATGTAGCAACTACCAAGATTGATCGAATGCCAGAAATTGAACCATTTTTAAAATTAATAATGCTCACCATGTTGTAGGTGTATGTTCCATGCATGTGGTACAGCAACTTTTTGTAGACGTTACCTTTTGGATTATTGAACATATTATTTGATGTGATCCTTTCCATTTTCAGTACTGTGGAACTGGAACAATTTGTCTCTACCTATACTAAGTACCCATTCACAGCTCAAAGAAAAAACTACTGCAGCAACTCTTGCTTGATGAGCCATGTATTCTCGAATGGCTGTCATACGATTGTAATCGCTTTCCAATAAAAACTCCTACAAAACCAAAAATTCGTTTGATTCACAATTTTTGAAAAAATTATAAATGAATTTGATCTTGATAAATACATTTATACTACCATTATCTAATCCAACAAACAGCTGTCTGGTTTCAGGACAAAAATCAAGAGAGATTGGTGCTGCAACCATGTACATGCATACGCTTGGCCAGTATTGTCCTGAGTCACGTTTCAACCAAACTCTGACAGTTCTGCAATAGTAATTAGAAAATTTATTCATAACTAAAATACAGCAAAACATTGCTTAAAGGCCAGATAGATAAAGCAATCAGTCTGAATCATCCTATCTAAGAACTTGCAGATAAAGAAAGATTGTTCAGGTGTCATACAATTATTATTTACTTATAACAAAAAGCTTGCTGTTTTACCTATAATTTAATTAAATTATATATTACATGAAAAAATAGGAGTAAAAAATATGTACAATGCAAAAAATAGTCTGAAAAAAGTCTAACAAAAGATGCAAGTGACTGTACGATTGCTATTTGCATTATAAACAATGAGTCCAATAAGAGTCGAGCTAGAAGCATGCGATGTAAATAAATTAATCGTATATACATCATATAGATATGCATCGAGTATCAGAAGCATTGCAAACACAATAGAAAAGTGAGTCTGACCTGTCGTCGCAGACGCTGATGACGCCGTCAACCCTGGGAATGATAACGGCGGCATTGACGTCGTCATTGCAACCTTCGAGCTTCGACAGAAGTATAGGCTTCTTGGAGCTGAACTTGTCCTGGTTCATCCCGGGCGCGGGCTTGATTTCGGCTGCCATTGTGATTCTCTCACCTACCACCTGCCCTCAGCTACTACTGCTACTACAACTACTACTGCTGCTGCTGCTACTACTTATCATTTGACAGTTGACGGATTTCGAAAGCCTAACTCTTCGTGCATATGACTCTAAAAAGGGATTATGAAACTTGCAATTTTATGAAAATAAAAGTAGGAATTATTTACGAATTATTATTAATTACGAACTTACCGAATGAAAATTGGAGCAGGAACATGGAGGATAGCCAGAGCATAGAGACAGCCAGACAGGAAACTTCAAACCACGGGTACTGCCACTCCATAGATGCGTTTCTCGCATTCACTATGAAACTCGCCATTGAACACGAAATTATAGAGATGGCGTGCCCATAAAAAATCTCGGCCGGCTCGGACAGGCCCTATGGAGACAGACCCTTAGATCGCTGCACTGTATCGCCAGTCGCCACGTCCCTTGGTCGTCGCGGGTCGGTCGAGTCTCAGGTTTCATCTCGTCTGCTGTTGTTTGTAAATTTCGTTAGTGTTGCATGATCACTGTCAGATTAAAATCTTTATAAAAAAATGTCTATTAATCGTATTGAACAACATTCATTCATCTTGTCTTTGTTCGCATCCCGTTACCAATTTACTTTGGATTGTCAACTCTCGCTTCTCAACTGCAAACCATTATATACGTAACCTGAAGCATCCGAGTAGCATCTCAATTTGCGTTGCTGGTCCAGTGATTAAGTGAAGCAAGATTAATCTAGTCTTCCAGGTAACACTTATTTTATATTGAAGAAATGTCTTTCGGATTATCTCAAGCGTTAATTCACACTTGGCATGAATCATTTTATAGAACAATGAAATGTAGTTACTGTGGCAGAAATTCAATTATGTCGTCATTAACAATAATAATGCTATTTATCTTCAATTGTATTCTTTTATTTGAATGAATTTGTAATGTTTTGGTTGGTATTTTAAAAATACTTGACATTTTTTACAAAAATATGTTGAAACTGATTATGTAAAAGAATTCAATATAAATATGTAACTGCCAAATCAACTATTTAACTTGAAGTGAAAAATTATCAATTAATTATATATTCTAATTGTGTTTGTTTAATTTGCATAATTTTTCTAAAATGATGGAAGTAAAACTTTTTAAGGTTATAAATTGTATACTTTATCTGTTACAAATAAATTTTTTATTTTTTAATTTAGATAATGCATTTTTATTAGAATTTCAAAATACTGTCATTTAATGAAAAGCAACTTATTTTAATATTTGTTATCAGATATATTTTTTTCAATTTCCAGAACACTATATGTATCAATAAGAACATATTCGATAGAACTAACTTTTATTGTTCACTAATGCTTGAAGGTGTTACTAGGCAGTCTTTTGGCTGAATAGGAAACAAGATAAATTTCTGTATTTAATTAAAATTTTGCAATTAAAGTAAAGTTTGAAATGTTGTATTTTTATGTTGCAACCATACGTAAAAATACATTAGAAATACATGAATTAAAGAAATAATGATATAATAAGTTCTCAACCGAACAAACACATTGATGAATTTTAATAGAAGAAATTAATTAAATATTATTACATTTAGATATTATCTGTTTATATAAATAACTCAAAAGTTTATTTACAGTTTCATAACAAAAATGTTTCTAATATGCAATAGAACTTTCTCGAGGATAGAGAAACTGAAGCTTTATAAAATCATTTTTTGATTGTACAAATATACCATAATTGCGATTACTGTAGAAAATATATTTGAAAAACAAATATGCATTGAAACATATAGCAACTTTGTATTAGAAAATAGTAAAATGTGAAAGGTTTAAGTAAATCGAGATGGAAACAATTAAAAGCAGAATATTTAATAAATAACAAAAATTAATTACACTAACGTAGCGATGAATTTTCCGCTATCATCATTTTTGAAAATTCGCGCTCTATCAGTTATTGGAAGGAACACATATTGGACCGTCAAAATGGCGTGTGTCATTAAAAGTTTAAGACATATCTACATTGTTGCTTCATTCGCATATTTCGTATAAATTCACGAATTCTCGATTGAATAGTATCTGATGGAATGAAAGTGTAGAACATTTTAGTAATGATTATTGATTACTGCAACCATTTTATTGTTATTTAAATATACAGTTCGAAGTCATATTTACCTTTTTTTATCAGAGATAGCGATCTAACAAGTTAGAGTTGTAGATGATCCCTAATAGGGCATACTGTTATTTGGCTTGCATGAGTAATATAATATAGACATATATGTGAAATAGATATAGCGATACACCCGTGTGTACAGTACAGTCAAGGAAGATACACTCCTATCTACTTTGATATAGGTGTACTGCAAGTTTCTACATATTTTCGTTCTTGCTCACTTCTAATTTATTAGTGGTTTCACGAATAATTATTCGCTCAACCATGTTGTTCATTGATTTCACTACTGTTTAATTAGGATAATGAAAAAAAAACGGCATAAGGTACACTTGGAATCTTTTTAACCTCACTTGTATTTCTATATGCGTGTTTTAATAATCGATTATTGTTTAGCTGCACATATAAGGCACACTAAAGTGAAACCACGGCTGTACATGCAAAATCTAGTCTGAAGCTAGGTAAGCATGTCACTACAAAATGGTTACGTACGACTTATCGTGGCTTTACAACGGCAAATAAAAAAATAAAATAGAATCGAGTAAACGTATCTCGGCAAGCCCTGAAACGTCATCATTAAGGTTTCGCTTACGCATAATGCTTTGTTAGCTAACAATTTTTATGGTGATACCACTGCGACGGACGAATTTTTTTTTATTTCTATTATTTCATTCACACAGTGATTCCTTGAAATAAATTACTTGTTCTATCTTTAAATAATTAAAATTGAATCTTTAATAGCTCATAAACTATCAGACCAATTTGAAACTTTAGTTTCTCACACTTAGTCTGGCGTGTTTTAATTTAATTTAATTTTAATTATTAATGTATTATTGAGATATCATTTTTTTCATACTCTATATGTGCATCCATTTATCAGGGTTCCTGACTCATGCAGTGTACACATATAGCTTTATAAGTATAAAAGCATAGATTTAAAATCAACAATGATATCAACCAACTGTCAGAAGTTAATGCTAAAAGAAGCTTAGGTCACTTAATACTTTGAAAATTCTAATATGTTTAATATTTAAAAAAAACTGTAATTTACAGGAAATCAATTAAGATGGCTCACAACTTGACACCAAGCGTCAACTGCTCATTAGATGACATAGACTTGAATGCCCTCAAAGATCCTGCTGGCATTTTTGAATTGATTGAAGTAGTTGGAAATGGAACGTATGGGCAAGTCTACAAGGGCAGACATACAAAAACTGGTCAGTTGGCTGCGATCAAAGTTATGGATGTGACTGAAGATGAAGAGGAAGAAATAAAGTTAGAAATCAATGTATTGAAAAGATACTCTAATCATAGAAACATAGCAACATATTATGGAGCATTTATAAAGAAGTCACCACCTGGGAAAGACGACCAATTGTGGTTGGTAATGGAGTATTGTGGTGCTGGATCTGTAACTGATCTTGTAAAATCTACGAAAGGCCAAAGTTTGAAAGAAGAGTGGATAGCTTACATATCAAGGGAAATTCTTAGAGGTCTTAGCTATCTTCATAGTAATAAGGTGATTCATCGTGATATAAAAGGGCAAAATGTTTTGTTAACTGATAATGCAGAGGTGAAATTAGTTGATTTCGGAGTTAGTGCTCAACTCGACAGAACAATTGGTCGTAGAAATACATTCATAGGAACACCGTACTGGATGGCTCCAGAAGTTATTGCTTGTGACGAAAATCCTGAAGCAACCTACGACAATAGAAGCGACTTATGGTCTCTCGGAATAACCGCATTGGAGATGGCAGAGTCGCAACCGCCTCTTTGCGATTTGCACCCAATGAGAGCACTGTTTTTGATTCCTCGCAACCCTCCTCCGCGGCTCAAGTCAAAAAAGTATGCTAAAAAGTTTCACGGATTTATCGAGACCGTACTAGTTAAAGATTATCACCAGAGGCCATACACTGAACAACTGCTCAAGCACCCATTTATTCGTGACCAGCCCACAGAGAGGCAAGTGAGGATCCAACTGAAGGACCATATCGACAGATGCAAGAAACGGAAACAAGAGAAAGAACGGGATGACTATCGGTACAGTGGTAGCGAGAATGAGGACGACGAACCGGCCGTCGCGGGAGAGCCATCGTCTATCATACAAGCGCCCGGTGGCGACACGCTCCGACGTAACTTTCAGCAGATTCAGGAGGGCAGGACACTGTCTCAGGAGGTGTCGCCGCACAATGCCGCTGCCGCCAAGGAGAACAAGCAGCCGATACCCAGCCGCGCGACCAAGGAGAGCGAGAGTCAGCAGCACAATCGACCCTCGGTGCCGCACAGACTGATCGTGGTGCCGGATCCGCACCCACCTTCCCGACCACTACCTCCCACGCCCAAGGATGACCCACGACAGTCGCACAAAGTCCCAACTCCACCATCTAATCACCAGGCGAGCAGTGGGGGAGGCGGAGGTGGCGGCGGCGGCGGCGGCTCCGTGAGCGTGGCTGTCTCGCAGAGGAACAGCCACGTGTTCAAGCCTATGGCGCTGATGATCGAAAGCGACAGCGACGACGACATGGAGGACGTGAGCGGCACGAGCAATCGGAACGACGGTACGCTGCTGGCGAGTGATCCGCCCAAGCCGTTGCCTCAGCTGGATGAGTCGTCTTCTTCGTCATCGCGCGGCCACGGCAACTCGCAGCACGAAGCCGGCGCGCCAAACCGGCCGCTGCCGCCGACGCCCGACGAGGAGGAGAGCAGCGAACACACCCTGGTGATGAAACGCAACCGGGAGGAACGGTCCGGTCGGGTGGCCGGTGGCACAGCCAGCAGCGACTTCCAGCGGCTGGACAGCCCGGGCTCCAGGACGAGTTCGGTGCTCCCCGACCTACTGACCTCGTCGCCGGGTCAGCGCCAGGATAAATCTATTAGCGACGAGTACCGGCAGGCGGTGAAGTCGCCACCACTAGCGCTGCAGCAGAAACAGCGCTCGTTCCTGACTTTCGGCTTCGGCGCCGGGCCGGCCAGGCGGGAATCGCACGTGAACGTGAACGTGACGCCTACCAGTCACGACTTGAGCAGCGACACCCCAGAGATCCGCAAGTACAAGAAGCGCTTCAACAGTGAGATTCTATGTGCAGCCCTATGGGGCGTTAACCTATTGATCGGTACGGAGAACGGCTTGATGCTGCTCGATCGCAGCGGCCAGGGCAAAGTATACCAGCTGATCAGTCGGCGACGCTTCCAGCAGATGGAGGTGCTGGAGGGCCAGAATATCTTGGTGACGATCAGCGGCAAGAAGAACCGGGTGCGTGTTTACTACCTGTCCTGGCTCAAGAGCAAGATCCTGCGCACCGACGGCCATAGCGAACAGGTAGAACGGCGCAATGGTTGGATCAACGTGGGCGATCTGCAGGGCGCTGTTCACTTCAAGATCGTCAAGTACGAGCGCATCAAGTTTCTAGTGATCGCTCTTAAGGAGTCCATCGAGATATACGCCTGGGCGCCCAAGCCCTACCACAAGTTCATGGCATTCAAGTCGTTTGGCGAGTTAGCCCACCGGCCGCTTCTGGTTGATCTCACGGTCGAAGAAGGCTCCCGTCTCAAGGTCATCTACGGAAGCACCGACGGATTCCACGCCGTCGATCTTGACTCCGCCACTGTCTATGACATCTATCTGCCCAAGCACACCCAGGGTCCCATCTGCCCGCACTGCATCGTCACGCTGCCCAACAGCAACGGCATGCAGTTGCTGCTCTGCTACGACAACGAGGGCGTCTACGTTAATACGTACGGACGCGTCTCCAAGACTATGGTGCTCCAATGGGGAGAGATGCCTACGAGCGTTGCCTACATCGGCATTGGACAGATCATGGGCTGGGGCAACAAGGCCATCGAGATACGCAGTGTTGAGAGCGGCCACCTCGATGGAGTCTTCATGCACAAAAAAGCACAACGTCTCAAATTCCTTTGCGAGCGCAACGATAAGGTCTTCTTCTCCTCGGCCAAGGGCGGCAGCTCCTGTCAGATCTATTTTATGACCCTAAATAAACCCGGAATGGCAAACTGGTGATCAAATCTAATCAGCCAAATTTTTATCATAATTATATGTAGATTCGTTAGCCTTTGCCAACAACGATTTGTAACAAAGGTTTCGACTTACTTCAGCAGATACGTCGTGCATCCGTCACAATGTTTCGTGCTGTGGGACAGATCAGTCAAATATTATATGCCCACTTTTATCGCCCCCAAATGCTCTTTACCTAACTTTTTATTCTGATACATTTATTGCCATGTTTTACTGCAATCCCAGTCAAATAATTGTCTACCTAAAAGCACGGTTCCACGTTGACAAAAAGTATTTTCGACATAAACTCTAATAGCACAATTTCTCTACCGAACAAGACCAATATAATGACTTTTTATCCAACGTAGACACAGTTAAGGAAATTTAAATCATTGTCATCACATTGAATCGACAAAATTACTCGTCCCCTAAACATTAAGAAAAGAAGCAAAATGGAGTATATTGTCTTGCTAAAAATACTTTAAGATATACGATATTTTTTTCATTAAACTCTTTTTTTTTACAATGCGTCGCAGCGTTTAAGCTTTTTCTATTCTGTTTTATGTTACGTTTAGTTATACAACAATTATAATTATTTGCGTCATTTGTGAATGTTGATGCTATTTTCTAGTTTTATATATTGCAATTTAATGGAAGATAAATGTCGTGCAAAAGCAATAGCTCAGAGATTCAATCGAGAATGTTTTTCCAACACTCAGTGTCAATGACAATACAATTATTTATTAGTCTAATTTATGTATTATGTAAAAAAAGTAGTGTAAAAAACTTTAATTTAAAGAAAATCTAGAATGACATTTTTGTAAACAGAATAGAATGTGATTAAAAATTGTGCGATTCTTGAAAAATAAAGAAATTAAGATTCATAACTTTCACTAGGAAAATCTTATGCAAATAGTGTTCACGGTTTACGTGATATTTGTTATTTATAATCCGACTGCCAGCAGTAAGATCGTAGTTTTTCATCAAGTATTGTCGAAAATTAGTGTCAAGCAAGCACGAATGTATAAAAATTCAATATTAACGTTTAGTTAATCATATGATCAAAAAAGATCTATTCTAAAAACAACAAAGACAAAAGATTAGGAATGTAAGCACTTTAAGTTAATGAAACCACGTATGGTCGTAAGTTTAAGTATATTAAATTACATGAATATTATTTCTATTTACAATATATGTTGCAATTCTAATGATAAATATTGCAATCTAGTTTTTATTTTGCGAAATTAATTGTAATTTTAGTATTATTTGATGGATCTAAAATTTTATAACTTTTTTTAATATTGAATATGAAACAGTTTTTATAAATCTTTGTATAAATCAAACTTTTGTAAACTTGTAATTTTAAGCATATCCTAAGCGATATTTTGTTGTAATAATTTTAAGAACTTTATAAAATAACCTTTATACACTATACTATAAAAACCTTATTAAACATTTTTCATATTATTTTATAAAAGCAAAATTTTCACAAAAAGTATGTAATTTTAGATACACGATTTTCTAAACAGAACATTTTATATCTTCGAAAAGCAAGTGCGTATAATCTCCATTGTAGACCTTCATCACGGTACATAACATTAAGAATAAGCTCATATAACTCAATATAAACTGATTTCTATAAACTTTTATAATGACAGCTTTAAATACAGTACATTTTTAATGTAAAATACTTGTTAAAAGTTAAAAATGTAAATGTTAGTGACAGACGATAGAGCATTAGGCAGGCATTTTGCGTCAGATTCTTTTCTAGATTTATAATTGATAATCAATCCATGGTAAGGGATGTGACAAACACTAAAACACCTGGCCGTAAAAGTATAATCAAATTCATCAACTGTTATTGTATCGTTAACTTGAGTTGAAAAGTCAAATATTCGAGCCAGTTCGTAATAATTAATCGTGCTCTTAGATCAGTTCATGATGCTTAGCTTTAGAAACGTGCTTGATAGAATTATTATTGTAGGAAGCAATTCAAATTTAGCAGGGACTTTTACATAAAATCAAATTGTTTTCAAATCAATCGTCAGTTTATTTCTGCAATGGATACGGTATATTTTGTACAAGTTATTAAGATTCGTATCAAATTATTAATGCTCTCTATCGGTTCGATTATTGATTTCTTCACAGACTGACAACTAAAAAGTTAGTCAGTACATGGGGTATATTATATATTTCAGTCTAAGCGAAATGCATTTCTTACAACACGACGCGACACGTTCACCATTATATTATATACTTTCAATAGCATCTATGTAATCGTCTGTGCATTTTTATTTTGTTTCGTAATATTTGTTTTGTCTAGATTCGCAAGAAAAAAACAAAAACAATTATACGAATTTTTGTTCTAATAAATCATATGTACGTGTTAAATTCATTGAGATTTTGTATTTTTCCGTTTATATTTCCTTTTCCTCTTAGATAATAACAATACAAAGGTATGTTAATTTCAAATGATAAAATATTGAATTTTTCAATTAATTTTCGCATTATTTTAAAAGTCAAATTAATTTAACCAATTTGAAAAGATCACGCACAATATGTTCTATTTGGTTTTGGTATCTAAAATAGTAAAATGTAAAACTCCATTGACTTATAATGTATATCTTTAATTAAATTTCAATATGAATTACCAACAATTATATTTCAATTAATTCTATCAATTATTTTATCACAAACTTTATCTTGTTATTCAATTTCTAAGCTTTTTTAACAGTAAATCACCTAACTAGTGCGGGAAAGTAAAGTAGATTCTCCTCTTGCCTATATCTTACTGTTCTCGTTTCATTCAGGCGTAAATGCCATACTAGATGAGAATCTACTTTCCTGCACATGTATCGTAACGTACCATTAAAAACGTACGTCATGGTAAGTTATACAGCATTTTTATATTTCACGCTAGCGAATAACATTTCTAAAATATTTCAAAAAACATAAATACTCATAGAAAGACTAAAATTTACATAAACACAAACTTTTAGTCTCATGTAAAGTAACTCACAAGCTTAAAAGTTTGAATTATTGGAAAAAATCAGGTGAGCTCAGAGTTCACTCGAATCGAACTCCTGTAGACTTATAGTAAGTATAAGAATACAGATCGCAAATAATGCATAAATAATGAATTTCTTAAATATTCAGTTGTATTTTACAAATCAATTTTTATTCTAGAAAGACTGTTTTCATTTTATTTATCTTTTCAGCTTAACTCCCGTAATTTAACATATAAATTGACATAGAGTGCTCGTATCATGAAATTGTACATTATATTACATTCATAGTAATTATTAGTACATAATTTTATATATTTATATATTTGGAAGTACAAAATTAGCCTCTTGCAATAGACCCGCAACGATTATTGCAGATAATCTTCACAAAGACTTTACAAAATGCAAGCAAACATATCAATATTACAATCGATAAATCAATGAATATGAAAACCTTTTTCCTATCATAAAAATTATATACATACACAAAAACGCGCGCGCACACACACACACATTTTTAATATATTTTTCTCGAGCTAATAATTTTAGTGAGCGAATATATTTCTTGGATAAATGCTGAATGAACATAAAAGAAATAGTGAAACAATGGATTTCGCGTTTACTCATTGTGCCTAAAATACGCAGCATTAGCGAAAATAATAACACAAAAAAATAAGATCATGGGCATATATTTTGTTTCATATATAAATCTTTTTTGGCAAGGATCTATTTATAGTGAATAATATATTAAAATTTTATCAAAAATTTTAACCATGGCAAAGCTATCTGTTGGTATGCTATTTGATATATAAATTAAATAAACAAGACTTAGTTGGTCTTCTTAAGATTTTCGTTCAAGATGCACTTATATTGTTGCGTCGCCAATCCTAGTCTCGCGTTCTACTAAGAATTGTAGCTAATTTGCATATCGTTGATCATTCGTTATCAGTTTCATATTTTTTACACTAATAAGTTGCCATGAATTATAAAATTTTTATTTTAGTAAAATAGAGTTTGTACTATTTTTTTAAGTAGTTTATTTTTATGCATGTAAGAAAACGATGTACCTTACTTTTTTATTTGGCTTAAACAACATTTTTAAACAGTGAAAAACATCAAATAGATTTGCTGGAGAGGCCACAAGTTAAATATTGGACAAAACATTTTCGATTTTCTAAATCAAACTTCAAGAATTTATTATTTTAATGATTCATAAACAAGGTCTTCGGATTGTTTAAGTCCTACTGATTATTCTAGAGCACAGAAGTTTTATTAGTCAAGAATAATAAATTATATGTACTTACACTTTTTGTGATCAAAATACCTGAGCAAAGTGTTCTTTTTTTTATTTCTTATTTATATTTAAATTTCGAAAAAGAAGTTTTACGTTGATTTATTTAAGAAACTTGTAAAAATAATTTGTTAAAACAAGACATAATACATTACTTTATTTTTTTTGCTTGTTTGGTATTTAAAATATTTTATACTAGTACAGTTTAATTTTAATTTTAAAATCTTCTGGAATATGTTCACGCATTCTCATTATAATTATTAACTTTTTCAAAATTTTTATTAATAAATAAACTTTTTCTTATGCATAAGTTTAACTTTTCTCTGCGTTCATTTTAACTTAAACATTTTTTTAATTAATTTGAATGGATTGTGTTTATACAATAAATATTTATATTTTTTTCTGATGACTCATTATTGCTTGATCTTGTTAGTCCTAATTTGGAAATATTAGAATCAGTTTTTTCCTTGATAATAGTTTTTGACCGCTGCAATTCTATAAATATATACAAACTCAATAAAAATAGAATATGTAGGATGTATAGTATATATTATTTAAAACATTGATAAAATATACCTTGGTTAAGTGTTGATGAAATAGTTTTACTATCTGAATTTACATGGTTTTCTTCTTTAGGGAACTCTGCATCTTTAGGCTTAGAATCTGTTTCAATAATAGTATTATTTGTTGTATCTTCCTGGGTTGTCAATTTAGATTTTTTATATTTAACAGCTACAATAATACATTGATATCAAAACCATACTCAGTCTACTATCACATCAACAATTAAAGAAGCATTACCGTCACGTTCATTTGCATGAAAACTATTTTTTGATAATCTCACTATATCAAGAGGTGTAAAAGATCCCTGCAGTAGAGTTTTTCGTATAGATTTCTTTTTAAAAAATCTGTACTTCTTAGTTACTGAAAGTAAAAGTAAACGTCAAAAACAAAACTTCAATTTATAGTAACAAAATACAAATCTTTTTCGTTTTTTTTAAATAAAACTCACACTTTCTAAAATAAACCATGTTGATTAAAATTTGTGGATTTAGTATGTATGTAAAATTTCATACGCTGATGTGATTGAGGTGGCTTATAGGTTATTTGTACCTAAAAGCTCTACTAATTAAAATATAATTTATTTTAATGTTTAATTCGTTAACTATTTATATAAATAAATTTTTTTATACAAAAATATTATTACATATATAAAACTAAAATAAGTAAAACATTAAAGAATCCAAATCTAATAAGACTTTCTCATAACATCGAAATCTCTGATCGAATTACTGTCAGTGTGACACTTCTTCAACAATAACGATTCAATAAAACAAAAGAATAACGGTTACAGATCATGAGTAATTGTTGGATGACCTGTAATATTCGCTTTAATAGGTCTATTATATATGTCTGAATTATCTAGATTATGATTATTTAATTCGCATTACTTATAATTCAATTATTTAAAAAATAATTAATTAGCAATTTTACATGCTTAAAAAACTTATATGTTTACTGTGCAGGACAACAGAATTTTTATAAGCGATTGAAAGAAACATTTTATAATAGATGAATTTTTGAACAATTAGGATCTCAGAATCTAGTCAATCTGATACTGGTCTAGTAATCTCATATAAAATGTAAATATCTAGATTAATTTTTTTTCATTCAAACTGTTCATATAAAAAACTATATCGATTTTCAGACATCGACTATCAAACGTGTAGCATATAATGGTGAAAAAAGATAATTATATGATAAATTATTTTGCTAATAATGTTGATATAGAGTAGATTAATTTTTTTTATTGCACGTATTCTGCGCAATCCCAGATATATTCAGATGACTCAGATTTTGAATAAACAATTAGTTTTTTATCTTGATAATCTCGGTACACGTCTGATGTCCATTTTTCGACGTTCGATGTTTTGTTAGGGACTTCTCTACATAGACATCCAATGTCGGACAGCAGCATCGGATAACAATGAAAACATTATTATAATGACATATTTGATGTTTCTTTATGTAAAAATCTTTAACGAATAAGTATTAATAAAATTGATGTCAAAATATGTGTCTACATTTTTATAAAATGTTTAAGTAAATGTATTTATCAAAAATTTAAATTAATCTTATGGATATATTATTATTCTAGTATATAGTGTATATGGTTGAACTGAAATAAATTTTAAAGTAAATATTAATTATATAAAAATTATTAATTGTTGATTTTCATATTATATTAAAATATAGTAAATATAAAACATAAATAACTTTTTGTAATAAATTAAGTTACCAATAAGAATAGTACATTACGATACAAGTGTGGGAAAGTAGATTCTTGTCTCGTGTGGCGTTTACGCCCGAGCGAAGCGAGAACATGTGCCGTACCGTATTTTTTGATACGACGTGTGGAAAGTGCGATTTTCAACGCATGTTTTCTGCCGAGCGTGCGGGGAAGGCGCACTTTGCGCACGAAGTATCGAAAAATATTTTTTGTTATTGAAAGCACATTTGTAAAATATCAAAGATTTATTAAAATTAAAATATACAAATGTTTTTAAGTTTTATGTTTAAAAAGCAATTGTCAACATTCCTTACACACTTTTGTTCACTTCTTACAAATACTGAATCATAATAAATCACACTAAACTCACTTTATAAAAATATAACTAACTGTAGCCATTATGATACAAAGTAAATTCAAGTGGATTGCGTTAGAGATTCTCCAAGTAATAACTAAATCATAAAATTAATTTAAGTAATAAACGAAAATTGAATAGTTCAAAAAAACATTTTTATAATAGAATTTCTTAAATAATAAACATTAATGTAGAATATTTTCAAAATTACATGCCTATTATCCTTTACAATTAAAGCATTCATTTATCGAACAAATAGTTATAATGTATCTAGTTATTGTTTCTTAATATGTCTGCATTTCTTGACTCATAGTCATTATAATTGCATCATCATCCAGTGCATAACTAGCCAGATCTGAAATTATCATTTTTTATTGTAATATGTAATTAATGGCTAACATATTGTAGAACATGCGTGCAGAAGGGTAATAAGCAATCAAATAAAAATGTCAATAACATAAATATATAAAAACTTTATAAAGCGCAAACAAATAAAACCACATAACAAATGCTAGTGCATAATCAGTGCACATAATAAGTATAAAGCGAAACCATATAAAACTACATAAAAAATATTAGTGCATAATAAGTGCAATACTTCATTTATTTAATCCTTTGTGAAGTTTATCTTTACTCACGAGTATGGCCTTGTTGCAGTGGATATGCTTTAGTCTTTCGTAACAATAGTTGCAATATCCAAAAGCTACTTAACCATATAAGAGCTCCAACTGAGAAAACTCTGAATGTTATTATACCTTTATATTTATCCATAAGGTAGCCACAAAGTAGGCTTCCTGCTGATACACCTGTGTTATATAAGAAATAAACAGTAAACATCTTATATTTAAAGCTATATATGTTTGCTAGCAAATTAAATATATTACCAATTCCTTCGAAAATTGCCCCCACAAGTCCTTGGATAGTTGCCTTTGTACCCGAAGGAGACACTTTATCTCCATATGAAACCATTGTTGGCCAGCATAAGCCGAAAGAAGGGCCATGAAGAAGTTCAAGAACTAAGAACACCCACACATTAGCAAATATACTGTAAGCCATAAACCTGTAAAAATTTTTAATTTATCATTTTTCATTGTTTAAACTGACAATATTTTATATGAACAATGTGTTTAAAATAGAAATACAATTAAATTACCTAATTGAATATATCAAAAGCACAAGGCTCATGACATTTATATGTCCTATTTTTCTCAGAATATTGCCTGATATAAAGTTGAAAGGCATTTCACCAAAGAAACATTGAACTCCTGTAAGTAATCCTTGTAAGGTTTTCAACCATTCTTTACCTGTAGAAATATCTTCAGTATACCAGAACAAAAAATTCCATACTACTCCAGTACACATGCCTGCACCTACACACCACCAAGCAAACACAAGTACTCTGCCTTCTTTAAATATAGACCATAACTCCCAAAATACTGATGGCTCATTTGTACCATCCATTGGCTTCTGAAGATTAAAGATAAATCATATATCGTTTTGAATGTTATAAAAATTTGCATAATTATACATTTGAGTATGAAACTTATTTGGTTTCAAAAATTAAAAATATCAAAAGATATATTAGGTAATTTGCACTACTTTAAAAGAACTTTGGTCACATTCTAATGATTTTAAAAGATCTATAGAAAAACAGTTATTTATTTCGCAATATCTCAAAACCAAATTATCAATATTATGATATGTAAATTAGGCCGTTCTATGGCATTAAAATAATAAGTCATATTTTCTTTGATAAATTTCTTTCCTTAAATATAATGCTGATAACAGATATATAATAAGAAAAATACAATAGTGGTAATAAAAATGAATCTACGTAAGATGTTGTACTACTAAGCCTTCTTATAAAAATGTTGAGACATGCATATAAATTTACTTCACCTTTTTTAACATGGATGACACTGCAACATCAAATGCCATGATAATTAGCATGATATAAAAAGCAGAACTATAATCTTTTATTTCTTGTCCTTTACTGAAAAGATCTATAAGATATCCTATACCAATTCCAAATATTCCAACTCCAACACTTCCCCACATTTTTTGTTTTCCATAATCATGATTCTTTGAATCTCCTAAAATGAAGTATTCAGGTGGGTTTAAATTATTACTTAATAACTATATATAGTTATATATAAATAGTTATATATATATAGTTATATATATATAGTTATATATAGCTATAGCAAAGAAAATTGTCAGTTTATACCTAATAAATTAATACAAATTGCATCCCCTATACTAACTACCACAGCCATACCAATCCAACTGATAATGCATGCCCACAAAAACCATTGAAAATTCCAACTAGATGGCTTTTGAGGATCAGTTTGGCTTATATTTTTTATCAAACTATCAAGATAAGGAACTTTTGGACACCTTATTCTACATGGAACATCAAATGGAGACATGGCACACCAAGTTTTTGAAATATTCCCAGAAGCAAATGTGGCACTCTGTACCTTCATATATAAACATTTTGTTGCTTCCTAGAAAAAAGTAAGATTTTTATAAATTTAATAAAAGATCATTTATATAATAAAATTTATTTTTAATTTAATTTAAATTATATGCATTATTTTTTTATAAATATAACAAAGCATTAATTTAAATAATTTGAAACAAGGAATAAAAATAGGCAACTGATTTTAAGATTTTGCAACTCGATGTGGTTTCTTTCAATATAAATAATTCTAATTGACCTATATAGGATTCATTTTAAATAAATAAATGGAAAATTAGGAAAAAAAAGTAGAAACATGACTTACTAATTGATCGTCATAAGACATATTAAATGATATTTTGAAGTTTATCAATTTTAAGTTTTGCATTTGTTGTTCATACTCCATTTTGTCTTTGTTAGAAACACAAACATCATCTATATGCCAAGAGTTACAAATGGAAATTGTATCATTTGGTGTAACTGAACAAACTAATTGACAGCTAACTATATCTTGCAAATATATTGGTTCTTTTGGTAATTCATCTTTGGAGCATATTCTTAAAAAAGTGTCTCCACGACATGTCAGTCTTGAACTAGCACTAGGTTCTTCTTCAGGTATGAAGTTAATTGTTAAAAAAGCTATAGCTAAAATAACTTGAAAGGCAATGAAAATTCCTTTATGTAGTCTAAATTTGTCTGCAAAACTTCCAAAAAGTGGCTTTGCTATCAAGCCTGATATTGGGAGTATTGTATATATAAAGCCTACTTCCTTTCCTGAAAATCCCAGTTGTTTAGCAACTGTTGGCAGAAATTGCATAAGTGGACTAGTACCTAAAATAAAAAATTTACTTAGATTTTCCATTAGACCAGAAAATACATGAATGAGACCAAATCATAAATTTGATAAGTGCTGATAAAATTCATAAAAAATGTACATTTATCAACAGAAATGAGTGTTTGTATTCTTTTTTATCTGGCAAAGCAGTTTTTTAAATTAATTGTCCTTTATTACAAAGCATAATATTTTGACTCTATTACATTGGAAAATTATTTTTAAGAACACATAAAATAAATATAAAAAAACATGTAATAAATAAAAAAATAAGTCATTGAAAATTATTTACATACACTTATAAAATATTCTTAGAAAAAGTTTTCAAATTCTGTGAAAATTAGAATCAATTTTACAAATGCATAAATAATTGTTCATAAATAGTTTTGATCAATTATGTTCTTATTAATTAATGCATGCGATAACCTATAAAAGAAAGTTACTAGCAATAGTGATAATAAAAATTTGAATATTACTGACCTGCGTAAAAAAGGAAATAATGTGCCTTTATAGGTACTAAGTCTCTATTTATTCTATTAAACATGTTAAGTATATTTTTGAAGAACGTCCAAATATTGTGTACGGTCTACAACTAGCCACTCGATCCAAATATCTAATTCATCCATCAAAGTATTTCATTAACTTTGATAAAATGAATAAGTTTCGATTGAAGTGGTCCTCTCTTGGTGAGGACTTAAGATAAGCTTCTCAATCACATGATACTCACTAATTGTAAATTAATTGGTTCACTATTTCAGAATCCGAAAATTCAATTTATCGGAGTGACTATACAATATATATATATAAAAGTAGTGTTGTCTGCTACACTTCACATGCGTATATATACTGATATGTGCTTGCCTAATCGGCTCCCCGGGGGCCACGGGGCCCGACATATATATATATATAGATATATATAGCTTGTCGGCTGACTGCGAGCATGTCCTATAGTGACGCAGCACACAACGAAATTGACCCCGTATCCCCTTCGCCCACATTTCAACCAGACGTAATATATATTATATGATGTGTGATAGCGTTGATACGCGCGAACACTTTTTTCAAATATCATATTTCTTTTATAGCTCCCTTATATGACTAAATTATGACAATTACATATGATCTATCCGTTAAAAAAATTATATTAGATTATTTTTCAATTCAGAAATGGTTTTATATTTACATGAAAAATATTAATGTCAATTAAATTCTTATTGAATTAATTTAAGAGTTATGATAATATTACTCCACTGCTTTGAATATTTTGTAATCAGCGAGTTTTTTATCTAAAATACTAGTTCAATTACAAAAAAATATGCTTCTACAATTATCAGTCATTGACAAAACACTATCTACTATAATACAAAACTGCAGCATTGCTCTGTAAAATGAATTTTTTCTTGTCATTCTACACATTCAGTGTTTGACGCTGTATGGCTGCTAAAACAAGGAAATTCAACCGGATTGAAAACGATATTACAAGAACAATTTGTTTTACAGATAAATACGTTTATTTTATATAAAGTAGATATAAGTAGATATAGCTGCTATACATTTTGTCACTGACTGATAAATGTAGATGTATATTTTTGTAATTTTAACTTCCTTGGATAAAAAATTCGCTGATTACAAAATTGTCAAAGGAGTGGAGCATTATTATTATAATTCTTTAATTAATGAAATAAGAAATTATTAATATTAATATTTTTTAAGTAGATATAAAATTATTTTCTGAATTGAAAAATAATATAACCATACTACTTGTTTATGCCAATAAATTTTATGTAATTGTCATAATTTAATTCTGCCAGATAGTTTTAGAAGAAATATTTGATTTGAAAAAAGCTTTCGCGGGTGCCAACGCCACCGCATTGGGTATGTTTGTTGAGGTTCAAGTGACTAGGAGTGGAGACGCTATGCGCTCCAGGGTTGTAGGCGAGGATTTGGATGACGACACAACTTGCAGGAGGGAATTAGAGCCTGAGATGCACGTTGTTCAGTAAATGACAAAAACGAGTTTTATTTACTCTAATTTGCAAACTTATACAGGCATGCTCGATCCCCCAGAGCTGAGGGGATGCGAGCATGGGGAGCTAATGCGCCGAGAAGTCGCTGCGAGGGGCCAGCGTCTGCTTTCGCGCTCGCCGCGCGGGTTGCTGAGACGTGGCGCCTCCTGATGCTTGCAACGGCAAGCTGGGCGAGGCCGCCACAGCCACTCCCTCCCTAGAGGTTGCCTGGTGAGGAGGCAACCCCGATGAAGGTCCTGGCTGGGCGTTTAGTAGGCTGGGTCGGCTGTGCTGCGGTCGGCGCAGGTGTGGTTGCTCCCAGAGGGCTTGCTCGTTGCGCATGCGGCACCTGAAAAGAAACTGTGCGAGGCTGGGCGCCGAAGTTTGCGGATGCATTGATGTTGGCTCATCTGTGGAGATGTAGGCAGGTTTCAACATTGATGTCGATACTGTCTGCGGATTCCCGCTGATGTCGATGACATATCTTTGGTCGTCCAGCCTCCGGATAACTCGGTATGGTCCTGAGTAAGGCGGTATGAGCGGAGGCTTCACTGGCGCACCCAGCTTGAAGACTTGCGTGCATGTACGGAGGTCGCCGTGCATAAATTGCCTTGTTTTGACATGATGCGAAGTAGGTGTGGGTCGTATGACCTGGAAATACTTGCGCAGGCGGTCGAGAAAAGTAACTGGCGACGTAGGTAGATCCTGGCCTACGAAAAATTCTCCTGGAACTCGGAGGGTTGTGCCGAACGTGAGTTCAGCAGGAGAAGTTTTGATGTCTTCTTTAAACGCTGTCCTTAGCCGTGCGGATGCGCGTCGCTCCGATGAGCCTAGCCAGCGAGCTGAAAAGTGCCGATTCGAACTGCGCTCCCTGGTCTGTCGTAATGGTTAGTGGTGTGCCAAATGTTGATATCCAGCCGGAGTAGAACGCAGCAGCAACCTCTGTACTCACTAACGAGCGGCATGGTAATGAGATCCATGTGCACGTGGTTGAATCGTGCTTCGGGCACGTCAATGCTGCTCGGTTGGTTGCGCGTGTGGCGATGGATTTTGACACGCTGGCATGGAATACACTCACGCGACCAGGTGAGCGCGTCTCTCCGAATGCCAGGCCAGAAGTACTTCTAGCGGAGCTTCCGTGCCGTTTCTCTGCCACTCGGATGAGCGGGGCCGTGGATGACGTCGAAAGCTGTTCTTCTAAGGGCGGGTAGTAGGTACGGGCGTACTGTTCCGGTTGAGACTTCGCAGAGCAGACGATGTCCTTCAATCTCAAGCCTCTGTAGACCGCGTGTTGACTCATTCTCGTGGGCCGGTGGATCTTGGTAGGCTGCCTGCGCTTCGCTGATACTCTGCGCGCTGAGCCTGGTGGGCATGTTGATTGCGCAGATTCTTGACAGCGCATCAGCGACGACGTTTTCATCACCAGGGATATGGACGATCGTCGCGCAGAATTGGCCTATGTAGTCTAACTGATGTAGCTGTCTCGGCGATGCCTTTTCAGGACGCTGTAAGAAGGCCTTTGTGAGCGGCTTGTGGTCGGTCCTGATAGTAAACTCCTTGCCTTCCACCATGTGAGCGAAGTTTTTCAGCGTTGCAAAAACTGCCAGCAGCTCGCGGTCGTATGGGCTGTAATTGCGCTCGGCGGCTGAGAGCTTGCGGGAAAAGAAACCTAGAGGCATGTGCTTGCCATCGACAAGCTGTTCGAGCGATCCGCCTATAGCCGTGGCCGAGGCGTCGGTGGTGAGGAAAATGGGCGCGCTGGGGTGCAGAAAAGCAGATGAGGTGACATCAGCGAGAGATTGTTTTGTGTCAGCGAATGCCTGTTCCAGCTGCGGCGTCCATGCGATGAGTGTTTTATCCTTTTTCTTTGTGCTTTTCGCACTTTCATTCAGCAGCGCTTGCGATTCGGCTGCATGAGGAATGAGTGACCTAAAGTAATTGATTGCTCCCAAGAAGCTTTTAATTTTGTGTACTGTCGAAGGCTTTGGGATGTTGAGGATGGCTTCTATTCTTCCTGATGGTGGCCGGAAACCTTCGGCGCTGAGTTTAAATCCAAGGAAGTTTACCTCTGGTTGGCCGAATTGGCACTTTTCCCAGTGGATTTTGAGACCGTTTTCAAGCAGGACGTCAAGAACGGTACGCAGGTGCTCGATGTGCTCCGGCATGCTGCTCGATGAGATGAGAATATCGTCTATAAAGACGGAGACACAGCTGAGATGTCCAAGAATGCCATGCATGTATCTCTGGAACGTCTGAGTGGCATTTCTCAGCCCAAGTGGCATTCCAACAAAGTCGAAAAGACCGAACGGGGTCGTGGTTGCCGTCTTATGAATGTCCTCTGGAGCTACGGGTATCTGAAAGTAAGCCTTTTTAAGATCTATCGTGGAGAAAATCTTTTTACCGTGAAGCAACAGGAGCAAGTCGTTGATTCTCGGAATCGGGTAACGATCTGGAACTGTTTGGGCATTGAGATTCCTGTAATCGCCCGTTGGGCGCAGCTTTCCCGATGACGATCGCACCATGTGAATAGGGCTGGCGTATGGGCTGCTCGATGGCCTGATGATGCCAGCGCGAATGCATTTTGATTGTAAAATTCGTCGAAGATTGCTGAAATCTCGCTACCCTAATCAATCAACGCGTTAACCGAAATGCCTTCTATAATAATTTTAATTTCAGGGCATTTTCTGATATGAATGTTATCTTCATTGTTTTCGAGCTCATTCTTAATTTCATCCCGGGGATCATCAAATATAGTGCATAGTTATCCTTCCTTCGAATTTTTGCTCGAATCGTAAATTTTTACCGTTGCTACTCGCTGAGATTTTTTTTTCTTATCCGAGTTACGAGGAGCAACGCTTACTCGTTTCCCGAGGATGTAGTGTTTTCAAGTAGTTTTACTGAGTCTTCACTGATCTCCTCAAGGGAAGCTTTGGGCTTGCGCTCTCGCCGTTTACTTTGAGATTTTTGAACCGAGGAATTGATTGAAATGCTATTGACTTGGTGTTCATTTGCATTCTCTTTGGATGAGTTACGGTTACTCACATAATCGTCATTATCAAATGAAGAGAGTATTCTAATAAATTCAGATACTTTGCGTACACTTTTAGCTTGCACTAGCAAGCGTACATCCTTATCAAAATGACGTGAGAGTTTATCAATGAGTTCTTCCTTCTCTAAGCTCTCGTTAATATCATAAGCTAAATTTATTATGCGAATTGCATAGTTATACCTAGATATTTTACCACTAGGGTAATACTTTCCAAATTCAATTTCCCGCATAATGTTTCTACGGATTTCTGCATTCCAAAATTTTTCTCTAAACAAGCGTTCAAAATCATTAAAGTTATTGATTTCCAGTTGTACTAGATCATACCAAGCAGAATTCACACCGGCTATTGTTTGGGAAATTAAACAGAGCAACTGAGCCGTATTACAATTACTTGCTTGTAAATATCTTTTAAAATCATTCAGATATTTAATGGGACGATATTTGTAGCTGTCATCAAACTTTGGACATGTCAACGTGGGCTGTTTGAAAGTCTCTACTATCGTCTCGTTAACCGTATGTTTACTGTTTTCATTTACTATTGATTTCTCTACTTCTACTCTAAGCTCTAAAATATTCTCTTTCATTTCGTTAATAATATTATCCTTAGCGCGGATAATATCATTTAAGTTTTCATCGCAACGTTCTTTCAATTGTTCGATAACTACATTTGAGTCATTCAAATTTGATCTTAATGTGGAGATCAATGTCTCCTGTTCACTTATTTTGCATGTTAGTCTTTCGACTTTATTGCAAAGTTTGTTGATTGTTTCAGACATGGTAGCGAAATCATG